TACATTGGACATCATTTTTGTTCCAAATTCAGAAATGTCCTGCACCATAAAACATTATGAAAGCTTTAATAAGGCCTTGAAAGAAAAAGCTTGCCCGATTGTACATCAAATGTTGTGAAGCTGTTAGCTGCTGGAATACGGGAGACGATGGAGTGTTCCCTTCCCCACTGTAACTTAGAACCTGAGAGACGATGGAGTGTTCCCTTCCCTACTGTCACTTAGAACCTGAGAGACGATGAAGTGTTCCCTTCCCCACTGTAACTTAGAACCTGAGAGACGGTACAGTGTTCTCTTCCCACTATAACTTAGAAGCCGAGCGACGATGAAGTGTTCCCTTCCCCATTATAACTTAGAACCTGAGAGACGATGGAGTGTTCTCTTCCCACTATAACTTAGAACATTAGAGACGATTGAGTGTTCCCTACCCCGCTGTAACTTAGAACCTGAGAGACGATGGAGTGTTCTCTTCCCACTATAACTTAGAACCTGAGAGACGATGGAGTGTTCCCTTCCCCACTGTAACTTAGAACCTGAGAGACGATGGAGTGTTCCCTTCCCCACTGTAACTTAGAACCTGAGAGACGATGGAGTGTTCCCTTCCCTACTGTAACCTAGAACCTGAGAGACGGTATAGTGTTCTCTTCCCACTATAACTTAGAAGCCGAGCGACGATGAAGTGTTCCCTTCCCCATTATAACTTAGAACATTAGAGACGGTAGAGTGTTCCCTTCCCCACTATAACTTAGCATCTGAGCGACGATGGAGTGTTCTCCTCCCCTCTGTACTTGGGGCCTGGGAGACGGTACAGTGTTCTCTTCCCACTAAACGTGGAGCCTGAGAGACGGTGGAGTGTTCCCTTCCCCTCTGTAACTTAGAACCTGAGAGACGATGGAGTCTTCCCTTCCCCACTGTCACTTAGAACCTGAGAGACGATGGAGTGTTCTCTTCCCACTGTAACTTAGAACCTGAGAGACGATGAAGTGTTCCCTTCCCACTGTCACTTAGAACCTTAGAGACGTTGGAGTGTTCTCTTCCCACTGTAACTTAGAACCTGAGAGACGATGGAGTGTTCTCTTCCCACTGTAACTTAGAACCTGAGAGACGATGAAGTGTTCTCTTCCCACTGTCACTTAGAACCTGAGAGACGATGAAGTGTTCCCTTCCCCACTGTAACTTAGAACCTTAGAGACGATGGAGTGTTCTCTTCCCACTGTCACTTAGAACCTGAGAGACGATGAAGTGTTCCCTTCCCCACTGTAACTTAGAACCTGAGAGACGATGAAGTGTTCCCTTCCCCACTGTCACTTAGAACCTGAGAGACGATGAAGTGTTCTCTTCCCCACTGTAACTTAGAACCTGAGAGACGATGAAGTGTTCTCTTCCCACTGTCACTTAGAACCTTAGAGACGGTACAGTGTTCTCTTCCCACTATAACTTAGAACCTGAGAGACGATGAAGTGTTCCCTTCCCACTGTCACTTAGAACCTTAGAGACGTTGGAGTGTTCTCTTCCCACTGTAACTTAGAACCTGAGAGACGATGAAGTGTTCCCTTCCCACTGTCACTTAGAACCTGAGAGACGATGAAGTGTTCTCTTCCCACTGTCACTTAGAACCTGAGAGACGATGGAGTGTTCCCTTCCCCACTGTAACTTAGAACCTGAGAGACGATGGAGTGTTCTCTTCCCACTGTAACTTAGAACCTGAGAGACGATGAAGTGTTCTCTTCCCACTGTCACTTAGAACCTGAGAGACGATGAAGTGTTCCCTTCCCCACTGTAACTTAGAACCTGAGAGACGATGGAGTGTTCTCTTCCCACTGTCACTTAGAACCTGAGAGACGATGAAGTGTTCCCTTCCCCACTGTCACTTAGAACCTGAGAGACGATGAAGTTTTCCCTTCCCCACTGTCACTTAGAACCTGAGAGACGATGAAGTGTTCTCTTCCCCACTGTAACTTAGAACCTGAGAGACGATGGAGTGTTCCCTTCCCCACTGTCACTTAGAACCTGAGAGACGGTACAGTGTTCTCTTCCCCACTATAACTTAGAACCTGAGAGACGGTACAGTGTTTTCTTCCCACTATAACTTAGTAGCCGAGCGACGATAAAGTGTTCCCTTCCCCACTATAACTTAGAACCTTAGAGACGGCGGAGTGTTTCCTTCGCAACTGTAACTTAGAACCTGTTACAGTGTTCTCTTCCCACTATACACGGAACCTCAGAGACGCCAGAGTGTGCTCTTATCATACTCCACTTTCCCACTGGGCACGATGTGTGCAACCTAGATCAAGTCTTTGGTGTGACATGTGGCAGGGGCTGGATGGCCTGGAACACGGTCAATGCCATCTCGAGGTTCATGGGAACTTGGCAATAACAGAAGCAGATGTGGAGGGAAATGTTTTATTTTGGATTCAGGAGGAAGAGAGAACATGCAAATGCCCTCAAGGTACGTGAAAGTGGGACAAAGTACATCCATGCCACAAGGAGACATGGAACATATAAATAAGCAGCATTCGTCACAGGAAATAATGATGACCCCAGTTAACACTAGCCGAGATCTTGTGACCCCGGCATGGTTATTTGTAGCCGATGTGTTGATATTACAGTGCATGAAGAATTATTTCAAATTCTAGCCAGAAAGAAATGTAAATTGATGTAAATTGTCCATTGACGTCCTTTCTACGATTCTGACTACATCATACATTTCTCCAATACTTAGGTCCTTTAGAGCGTGTACATTTTATTCAATTTCCACTGACAGACACATTTTACATGAAAACTTAAGGAAAAACTTCATTCCATGAGCCATTTTGACTTTTATCCTATGTTCCAACGTGTGTTTTTTTTTATAAAACAATGCACATGATACAGTCGGAATCGTACAATCGACTCTGCTTTTAGAGACATTTCAGCACATGAATAGGGAAAGGGTGTGTCGCTTTTTTTAACCTGAGCTTTTCAGTTAATGTTTCACCACCAGATGCCAAATGCATTTATATGGTTGCCATTCAGAAAAATGTTCTGAATATTGGCATTAGGGCACTAGTGTGAGCATTGGTCCCCGTTTGTGTTGTCTTAGGTTCGTCATCCTCCAAAACCATCATCGTCAGCCATGTTTGCCAATAATGCGCCATATAAGTCGCCCCGAATGACAAGCATCCCACTTGTCTCCTGCCCACACTATATTATTGAGCCATTTTCAAAATCGCCGCGAACAGTGCTAACTAACACTGAGATGCATCACTTTGGTACTGTGGATGCACGCTGTAGGCACTCACAGTTTATGGCGTTCCTGATAATAAACTGCCTGGCAAATGAAAGTAAACATTTAAAACTTGGATTTGACCAAGACATTACAAACGTTATCAAATACATAATACCTATAATCCTATTAAGTCCTTTTTCGCTTATTTTGCGGTATCCGTTCAAGGAAAGTAGGTGTGGTGGTCGTAGTGGTAGGTATACCAAATGTATACCAAATGTATACCAAATGTATGCCAAATGTACTACAAAATTTATGCCAAATGTGTACTTGATGTATGCCAAATGTATATCCAATGTATACCAAATGTATGCCAAGTGTATGCCAAATGTATACCAAATGTATTACAAACTTTATGCCAAATGTGTACTTGATGTATGCCAAATGTATATCCAATGTATACCAAAAGTATGCCAAGTGTATGCCAAATGTATACCAAATGTATTACAAACTTTATGCCAAATGTGTACTTGATGTATGCCAAATGTATATCCAATGTATACCAAATGTATGCCAAGTGTATGCCAAATGTAAACCAAATGTATAACAAACTTTATGCCAAATGTGTACTTGATGTATGCCAAATGTATATCCAATGTATACCAAATGTATGCCAAGTGTATGCCAAATGTATACCAAATATATACCGAATGTATATCCAATGTTTGCCAAACGTATAACAAATGTTTACCAAATGTAGACCAAATATTACCAAATGTATATGCTAAAAGGAAATTTCATTGTGTTATATTTAGGTTAAGTGATAATGTAGGTTTTCCAGTCTGGGTACAGCTCGTTGATTCCTTTAAGGAACCAACCATATGATAGTGTAGTCACGATGTAATGGGTCAAATGTGTGAATCCAATATTGGTGTTCCCCGCTGTGATATAGCTGGGATATCGCAAAAGCGGCGTGTAACCCAACTCACTCACTCACTCACTCACTCACTCACTCACTCACTCACTCACTCACTCACTCACTTATAGCTGAGCTCTTACGAAAAAAGGGAATCCCCGGGTATAAAGTGAAATGTTTCTCAAGGAAATATTAATTATAAACACGGTAAGAAGAGATTACATGCCTCGGTGGATGAACCATTTATATAAAACGACGCGAATAGAGGGACGAATATGCCACGAATAAAAGCGGGAAAGTGTGGAAGACTGATCACGTGACGTCGACAAGGATGCCTATATGCATTAAATCTTCAACAATCAACTTCCAAACAATGCCTCCGTGTTGCCGTATATCAGCTTTGTGAAAAAGATGAATGGATGAATTCACAGTTGTCATTTGCACAAGACGTTTGCGAATCTTTACCATGGCCGATCGGCACGTTCCCACTTCTTGCGGCTTGTACGCATTGCAGAACTATTTTACGACAAATCGTAAGATTGTCGGCTCGAATAAGAAAGCTTTATAATTTTTTCAGGTATAAAGCTTACATGTCCTCCACACGTAACCACGACATAGATTTTATGTCTTTGAACTTTGACCCATAGGTCAGACTTTAAACATCAATGCTCAGTGTTAACCCTTTAACCCATCATGTTATTATCGCAGCCCTGCTAATACCGCTAAGGGCTTCCCGTGTTTTCTCAGCGTAGTGAACATCCTCGAATAATCGCTTGCATCACGTGATTGCTAATCCTCGTTGTCACGTGATAGGGAGCAGAAGAATGGGGATTATGTTGTTTATAAATGTTTGTCATAAACAGGCTGGAAGGGTAAGAATCATTTTGAGGAAGTATGGAGGCCAACGCGAATAGCAAAACGTGATTGCTAATCCACGTTGTCACGTGGTACGGAGGAGAAAAAACGGGATTATATTGTCTTTAAATGTTTGACATGAACAGGCCGGAGAAGCAGGAGTAATTTGGGGGAAGCATGGAGGCCAAAATGAACATCGTGTTTTTTCTAATGTTCTTTGTGCAGGCATGTAAGTATTAAACCGATATTGTGAAGGATCAAATCCCGGCGTTAACGCTGCGACTGGCGTGAGTCTAACGTTGAACTGCACGCGTGGCGAAAGCCGCAGATTTAAGATCGCTTTGTAAATGAGTTGTTTAAATTGTGATGAGGTTTGCTTTTAATATGTTGTCATGGCAGGTGTATTTCGGAGGGTGATTATTGTACTAACATGTCATTATTTCTGACATTAAGGAAAACATATTTTGCTTGAAAGATTGGTGTTCATGGAAAACATATTTTACTTGAAAGATGAGGCAGATAGTGGGGTATAGCGGTTTATGCCGTAGGTCGTTACGCTGCAGGTCAGAGTTCGATTTCACCGCCTCCGTGGTCTAGTGGTAGAGCGTCCGCCCGGAGAGCGGAAGGTCCGGGGTTCGATCCCCGACCGCGTCATACCAAAAGACGTTAAAAGATGGTACTTGTTGTTACCCTGTCTGGCGCTCGGCATTAAGGGGCTAAAACAAGGACTGGTCGGTTCGGAGTCAGTATACTGTGTCTGAGTGGGGTATTCATGTTTAACTGCGGCATGGTATCTCAGTGAGCTAGCACTATAAATCAGCATCAGTCCGGACTAGTACAAGCAGCCACACAAACACACACACGTGCATGCACGTCGCTATATAAGTGCAATAATCTTGGACGCGACGTTCAACCCCATTTCACCTCACCTCACTAGAGTTCGATATTCCTCATTGATACAATGTTTGAAGCCCTGCGTAAAAAGACGGAAATATTGAAAGCGGCGTTTGAAGCCAAACGTTCTCCGAGGGAGGGACCTAAGAACGAAGCATCGCCGTCGTCGACTAGGTATCTTCTGGCATATTCTTGCAAAAAACACATGTAATTTTCATTTTGAATGAATACATAAAAATGACACGTTTCCTTTCCGTGAACATCTTCCAGATTGTTTCAACGTGAGATGTCCGAGCGGGTTCATCGCCAATGGTGCCAAATGTTACAAGTTCGTCAACTGGCAGGCTTCGTGGCCAGAAGCAAAGGTATCGTAAAACAATGACACGTTTAATATATAGGTCTCGATCAAAACATCAGGGGCGACCATTGATTTCGCTGAAACTAATGCAGAATAACTGATATCATACCCTCACAAACACACAAGTGTCTAGGTTATTTGGGAAGCTAGAAAAGTTGTTAATAAGTTTATCTGGTTTTCGTTATGAACGAGTGCTGAAGGGATAACCACGCGTTTCTTCACGGGCGGGTTCGGTAGCTTTCGTACTGAAAAGCCGCATTCAAAATCATATACTGAATTCCCTAATTTAACACTTTCTTCACATATACTACTGGCTTCGATGTCATTTAAAGGTATCAAACGCGGGTATTTTGAACAAGAATAAACCGTAAAATAAGTTAATATTATTTTCAACGCTTTTTTGCCTTTTACGCTCAATGAAACCTTATAATCCATACTGGTTAATCTCTGACGGTTTATATTTATTATCAGTATTTATTCGTTATGATTTTATTACTTTTATCGATAATATCAATAGTGCAGGGAGTATTGATACTCTCAACATTTTAACTTTTCAACGATAAACTGCCATCAGACAATGAACAATATACTGCAATACACTGCCCACCTGTTAACACCATACAGAAAACTTAAACGTTGCATCTGATGGCGTGAACACGATACAACAATTGGTAAACAAAAATGTGGCTTAAAACATGATATTTTAGTATTCGTGTTGCAACTCTCATATTGTATAATCATATGATACCCATGTAAAATAACAGAAAAGACGCTTGTGGTCTTGGTTTAAGTGTTTGATAAACACACCAAAGCACCCTAACCAGAGTTATCTGGTTGACAAGGAACAGCTTGAGGACATTGTTTGTTAACAGTCAACTCTAAATAACATCTCTGGTTATCTCAAAGTGTCACGTTGTCTATCCCATCGAACAAATGGATTTTAAATGTATGCCATATATTTGTGCAGTCACAATCTCTGAACACATACAGTTTTTTCACGCCCAAGAAGCCAAAGTAATCTCTTAAGAAGTATTGTTAAAATGTTTCAAGCCGCGTCTCAGTTGTGTTATTATATTCCCCAGCCTTCGAATGTCCTCCAATAGTTTTTCTTGTTTATTATTAGCTCGTTTCAGTCATAAGATGTTTGCCGCTTGCTTTGTAAATATTGACGTCTGGATTATTCCGCACCAAAAGCAAAAATATTGCCAAGCAGATAACACCCTTGTCAACACAGCTGATGCGGTTTCCTTTTTTAGGGGGTGAATTTTGTTCTAAAGAAACAGAAAAACTCTTAAATTGAATTCAAGAACGGGGATGGTCTGCGTTAGAAAATTGTTTGATCTGAATCACGCGTTGTTTGAAATGACGCAGTTATCAGTGGTCCATTCATATCATGTCATCCCTGTTTTGCTTATTTGGATATGGTATCGGTTTTAGAAAATATTCTCTGGCGTTGACTATTTGAATTTACATTATTGTTATTATAATTGTCTGTATATTGACTTTTTTTCATTTATATCAATATAATTTTGACAATATTCTTCAAGAAACAGATGTGAGTGAATCTGAGCGCAATCTGGCTGGCTATAATTTATTTAGAGTTGATTTGAAAACAGGACATATACTTCCATTAATGCTGTGCGAATACCTTTCTTTGGAGGTACAGTCGAGCATGCTCTTTCTACGAAGGTTTCAAGAGTTGTTTAATCAAGATTACAGCGTTCAAGGCCTTAACTCTATCAAAACGTTTTATGGTAGACATGTGGAGGAAATTTCCAAATTTGACGAATGAGTGACAAAGATTGTGTCTGATGCATTTCCCCCATTTTCCCAGTACTTTTTTTTCTACTAAACCATCAAAGTGTCAGTGGGTGCATTCTTGGATAAGAATATGTATATATTTTAATACAACTTTAGCCACGTTACCCCCACCACACCCTCACAGAAGCTGAATTTATTGTCTGTTTTCCTGTTTAGTCTAAACGAAACTTTCTCTTCACAAGCAAAGTTTGTGCTCTCGACAATACAATCCAGTGGAGAATGGTGTGTCTCTTTATTCCTTGTCGTTATCTTAGAAACACGCTAAAACATATACAACTAAAAAAAGTGCACAATATGTGCACTTGAGACTTTTGGAAAAAGCTATAATAAAAAAACTAATTGTAACCAGAGGTATAGAAGCTCACCTTTGGTAAGTGTCTCTAAGACGTGTGTGGGAGGGTAGAACAATACTGTAAAATACTTGGAGATATGGTCCGAGTTTTCATTGATATTGTTCCAGTTCTCTGAACATTCTGTGATAGGTTTTTTATTCTTTGGTGGGCTCAGCGATCGGACAATATGTCTTATATATATAATTAGTATGGGTTGAATAAAGCAAAATGAAATCATTAAAACAAAGCGACATTTTGCCCTTTAGAGATGGTATATTCACACATAGCAAAACGTGATTCCGGAACTATGATGAATTCAATGCAGCTGGGTGTTGATTAACTGCAACCTTTAATCATTCTAAAACATTATGACTGAGTTATTTAAAAAATAAAAATCGACAAAAACATGACCCCATTCATAAGAATTTATGGTAAAAGCAGAGTTCATTGTACTATTCCGACTATATCATAAGCATGCGTCAATGAATCATTATCAAATTGTAATGGCACCAGGTGTTCGCGAAAATTAAATTCAGATTCATATTTGCTGTCCATGAAGGTATACTGTACACACAGCAAATCTAGTTCTGCTATTACTGTGAGTGAATAGGAGAACAATCAGAGTAAATACCCACTATTTCAAGCGGCAAGTTTACAGTATGTTATGACCGATATGTCAGCTTCAGAATAGCAATAACCTATAACAGGTCTAAAACAGAGGATCCAGATTATCTTGTTCTCTTTCCACATGGTTATTCAACATATTACATTAATTATTATCTGCACATCCTTAGAAATTGTAAACGCCCATATATTAGCTTACATTTTAAATATGCCTTTGGTATTAATTATCATACATTCGTTCAAATTGTAACATCGTGTAGCGCCCGCTTTTCAGGTTTCACATGTTTCACGTGACTCACATGCAGTCTCATAATTTAGTTTTTAAAAAGCGTTTCAAACTTTTCCCATTTTCCAAACCTTATCAATGCAAGGGTCATTTATCTTTTGTATTCCGGTAACTTTCATCAAATGCACGTACAATTGAAGACCTTTCCCAAGTGGTCACCTTTGAGTAGTTTGGTGAATAACCTTCGACAAAAGTTATTGGGGTGAAAAGATGAATGTATGATTGAGTCGTGACCTTGACCTTCAACGGTTACTTTACTCGAATTGGTACACTATGCTTGTGGGAGACAAATTGAATATTCAACTGATTTCATGCACCTGCCGTTGCGACCATTTGGATTAATTTCTAACTTAATACCCTATTACATGTATAATAATATTATTAATATGAAAAACGAATATTATGAGAGTTGTCCAAAGATTTAAAGCAACATGGCATATAGTTTCGCATGCTTTGCAGTTTGGCAGGAAAGTTGTATGCATCATTAATGTGTGCTCTGAAAGCGGCCATTTGTATTTTTTTTCAAATGAAAACAATTACTTTCGTGTAGTCAGGCTCATGTATTATAGAAAAATAATATTGATATGTTAAACTTTTTGAAGGAGCAGAGTTTTCAGCGGACAGATTGTCAGACGGATATCATTACGTAATCTAACTTTGACTATGTTACGGCTAGCCAATTAATATACACTGTGCAATGTGTGTTAGACTAAACGACATTGCAAACCAAATTGTCGATTTGTTATGTCTTAAACGGAATTGTTTTCACATTTGTTCAAAAATGTCATCGAGGAAAACAGTAAAGCAAAATGCACGTGCAAGTTATGGCATTCGTAACTTGTGGTAGTGGCTATGAAAAGGCAAGCAGAAGCCGATAATTTGTCATTCACTTGTCAACATTTTTCAAGTTCAAAAATGCCGAGACTCAGCGCTGCCGATCGGAACATCACCATGGGACGTATCCAAAGAGGAGAACCGCAATCTTCTGTTGCACGCCACTTCAACGTCCACCACAGCACCATTTGCCGCCTTTGGGACCGATACACACAGCTTAATTCCACTACATGACCTTCCGAGAACCGGCCTACCAAGAGTTACCACCCCTGCACAGGATTGCTACATTCGACTGTTCCACCTTCGTCATCGCAATGCCACAGCTACGGAGGCTGCAGGACCCATCCTTGGTTTGAGGAGGATATCGGACCAAACTGTCAGGAACCATCTTCGCGAGGCTGGAATCCGACCCAGAAGACCAGTCATCGTCCCTGTTTTACAACAGATCCATCGACAGCGACGCTTGCGTTGGTGCCATACGTTACAGCCTTCGAATTTGAGAAACTGGAGACGAGTGTGGTTTAGCGATGAATCACGATTACTTCTTCAACGGCGAGATGGAAGACAACGTGTTTATCGTCGTCGAAATGAGCGTTTTGTCCAACATTGTGTACGTGAATTCGACAATTTCGGTGGCGGTAGTGTCATGGTGTGGAGGGCCATATCCTACACCACGAGATCTGACTTGGTTGTGGTTCAGGGAAATTTGATAGCAAATCGCTACATGAATCAAATTCTTCAACCTCACCTTCTTCCAAGCATTGACCACCAGAGGGAGCTGTTTCAACAGGACAACGCTCCACCTCACACAGCTCGTGTCACGGTAGACTACCTTCATAATGCCAATATCTACGCTTTGCTCTGGCCGTCGAGATCACCAGGTCTCAACCCAATCGAACACCTCTGGGATGAACTTGATCGAGGTGTCCGTCAACGTCATAACACGCCGCAGACACTACCACAGCTGGCCAACGTGTTACAAGCAGAATGGCGCAGAATTCTGCAAGACAGAATTCGTACACTTCGCACCAGTCAGTGCCGAGGAGATGCAGAGCCGTGATTGCTGCCCGGGGCGGTCACACGAGATACTGAGTTCAGCGCTACATTGTGGCCGTATGTGACATGGCAATGAACAGTTTTCAATGTCTTTGTACAACAAGAACATGTGACTATCGAGCTCCAAAATTTCATATTTATGATATTAAATATATCGACTTTACTAGTTACAATAAATTTACAAAAGATCTACCTGAGCGTTCCTTTTCTTTTTTTGAAGTGTGTAGATGGATATTGCTCATTGCGGCGTTAAACAGCCTATTTAGTTACGTCACTATCACTGTAGACCAAGAATGTGTATGTATGTTCATGTTTTGTACCTATTCAAGATACTTTGTGAGAAATATTGAACTTGATCTCTCACATTTGCTACAGGTGATGTGTGATGTCATGGATGCGCACCTGCTGGAAATAGACTCGCCATGGGAGGAACAGTTCATCCTAGAGAGACTCGACTTTGTTGAAAGTGGGTTGGAATAGATTTTGCTTTGACTTACTTATTCATTGTACGTTCTGTTGACATTCCTAATAAGTGTTCTCCAACAAATATTTAACAATGTGTACAAAATGGACAACAATCAAATGCAGTCTTTTAAGCTTAATATCAGGGCATTGAACAGAAAAGTGAAACCGTCGAATTCAGTCACTTCAGGGCTCGGTTAATCCAAATTCACCTAATAAATTTGTAAAAAAATATTCAAATTAAGAGTCAGCTAAATGTCCAGACTAAAATCGGGTCGTAGGAATTTCAGGTATAGAAATCTCTGCATAAAGCAGTGCCGATTGTACGATTCCGACTATATCATGGGCATGTACACGTTATTCTGTGTTGACGCCATGTTAAATAGTTTCGTATGATTTCAGATGAGATTTCTGACGGCTCTTTGTGGATCGGCGCCACGGACATCATCAATGAGAACGAATGGGTTTGGATGACGAGTGGTAAGCGTGTTGGCTACCGGAACTGGAATAGGGAAGAGCCGGAAGCCATGATGAAAGTTCATGGTCATTGCCTCGCTGTCACTCCCAAGCCAAAGTTCATCTGGGAAGAGATACCATGCAAGCAGGAGCTGTTCTTTATTTGTGAAATGAAGTAGGTTAAATTTATTTATTTAAACGTAAATGTTATACTTCAATTAGCCGTTTAATTATTATACGAGGGGCGTTCAATAAGTTTTGCAACTTCAATATAAGACCAAGTCGCAAAATATCTTTTGCACTTTTTTTTCATTATAATCTCCATTCACCTCAATACACTTATTCCATTTGTCCTTAAAGCTTTTAATACCACTTTTATAGAAATCCGCAGATTGGCCCTCTAACCACGCCTCTGTGGCAGCCTTTATGTCCTCGTCATCCTGGAAGCGTCTTCCACGTAGGGTAGATTTCATTTGCCGGAACAGGAAATAGTCACTGGGGGCTAAGTCTGGGCTGTACATATAAATCACCCACGCTACAGACAGGACTTAGCCCCAAGGGACGCTTTAACCAAACATTGTGCATGGAACCGGCTAAAGTGCAAGACACCAGGTCACAAAAGGTTAAACGTCGAAACATCCCCACCTAACACCACACACACATCCACATATTCAGCTAACGTTTTGAAGAACAAGACAAAATATATATCTAATATCTTTTTTATTATATTTTCCACCTACCGACCAGGTTATTTAACACAAAACACTTAAAGCAAAAAATAAAAACAGCCTGGACAGACAGATAGACAGACAGACAGACAGACAGACAGACAGAGAAAACAGCCTGGTTTTAGTATGAAAGGATTGACTAGTTGCATGATGCCAATTGTTTTTTATTGTTCTTTCAGTATGGACTAAGATACGAGTATGGACATGCACAGCTTCTTGGCACAGGTTCCTGGCACAGGTTCCTGGCTCCACCATATCAGTCAATATACGGGTCTTACAACATATGTTGCCACATTTTAATGGAGGGACTTTTAATGGATCTAACTGAGTTCCCTACATAAAACAAAGTAATTTATACCTGTGAATATACAACGTTTAAAGGATAATAAAATTGTGATTTAACATGAAATCACCTGGGTTTTTTTAGTACATTGCTTGTCGTTGGTGTTAGTTAGTTATGTTTATGGCCGCTCTTAACACTGTACATCACGGCGCTTTAGCTTAATGGGGACGTGAGGTGAGATGAGAAGAAAAGAGGTGAGGTGAGGTGAAATGGGGTTTAACGTCGCGTCCAAGATTATTGCACTTATATAGCGACGTGCATGTACGTGTGTGTGTGTGTGTGGCTGCTAGTACTAGTCCGGACTGATGCCGATTTATAATGCTAGCTCACTGAGATACCATGCCGCAGTTTAACATGAATATCCCACTCAGACACAGTATACTGACTCCGAGCCGACCAGTCCATGTTTTAGCCCCTTAATGCCGAGGGCCAGACAGGGAAACAACAAGCACCATCTTTTAACGTCTTTTGGTATGACGCGGATCGAACCCCGGACCTTCCGCTCTCCGGGCAGACGCTCTACCACTAGACCACGGAGGCGGTCTACTATGTTGTTCATAAGAGGCAACTTAATGAATTGGGTGGCCAGGCGAACAGTCCTTGTTTCATTCCTTAATTATTTACAGGCCGCCGTCATTTACATGTAGCTGGAAAAAATATTGTTGCGTGAGGCGTTAAATAACAAACACACAACACACTATTCCTCTGTCAATTAGTCCAGATACATGAGTTAAACAAACAAGGAAGTACAGTAAACTACGTTTATAACGAACTGACGGATATAGCGAACTTACTTTTTTGTCCGGACTATTTGCTGTAGTTATGATGTATATATGCTTATAACGAACTACGGTTATAACGAAATAAAATTAGTGGTCCCTTTAAGTTCGTTATATCCGTAGTTTACTGTATCATAAAGACATCTGAGTGAGTCATATGGTTTTCGACGCTGTCAGCAATATTCTAGCCATGTAGCATGGGGAGACGTCAATGTGGGGTGAACGAGTGAGTAATATGGTTTTACGCCATTTGGAGCAACATTCCAGCAATATTTCGTAGAGAGACGTCACGGCGTCGTGAACGAGTGAGTATGGTTTTACGCCGTCGTTAGCAATACACCAGCAACATCACGGCGGGGTGTACCAGAAATAGGCTTTAACCCATTTGAGGAACTGAACCCAGACCTTCGGCGTGACGAGCGAACGCTGCAACCACAAGACTACATAACCGCCGGCGTGTTGAACGCAAGCTTTAACCACTTGGCTGCGTTAAACAAATCACGGCGGCAGATATCTGAATTGATGTTTCATGTTAATTTCACAGAAAAGAACACATTACAAAACAAATCCGACAGATGCAAAATATTTATAGCTATAGAATAAACACCAGGAGCATGTCATGAGACAAATTAAATCAAACACAATTTCCCTCTGGAAATATGAGTTCCTTTTCAAGAGAATAAATACGGTTGTGTATCACTTTAAGCAGCCTCTGTATCATGTCGCGACTAGGAAGACCAAGAATTAGATTTACAAATTGTTCCCACGCGATGGCCTTGGGTCCGACATATTAAAACCGGCACCCCTAGGCCGTCCAACCTCTTCTGGAGCCCCGTGTCTATTTTTTAACTTTTGACAAAAAAAACTTCCTTCCTTATCATAAGCTTAGGGGCCTTGCCCAAGTTTTAAATGAGCTTATAAAATAGGTTAATTGAGTTTCTGGTTCACCCCGTGTAAACGTGTTCGAGAGTGCTTACTTCCAAGAACGGAAGTGCCCGCCTCCCAATGTGAAAGGTATGTTTCAATTTTGTCAATAGGAGTAGGATCTTAATAATATGGACGTTTAACACATTATACTCCAAACCGTAATCTGTAACGGCATCATGAGTGCACATGCACCATTTCTGTCATCAAGCTACCCTTAGCATTCAGCTGGACAATGTGTGGCATTAAGATTTAAGCTATCAGTCGCAATTTTCCTTTATCAATAACATAAACCTCAATGTATTAAAATTTAAAATGATACTAAATAATAAAATACCCATGCCAATATTTGTGAATATACACATCTGATAGTTGAGCGATGTTGAGATATGAGTGTTTGAACATCAGACTTCGCGTCGACAAGTGTCCGCCTTCAACGCGGGTGTGTGTTTCCTAGCAAGAACACGTTTGGTCATTCATGTGTCCTCCACCAAGTCGACAAATCTAACGCTAGCCCTATTTATTTGAGGGGACACGGGTGGCCCAGTCGTCTAATGCGCCGCGATTCGATGTGCAGAGTTGCGTCCCTTGGGCATGCCAGAAACCTATGATTGTGGGTTCGAATCCCGGTTAGGCCCGATTATGTTTCTAGGTTTGTCAGCACCATACCCGTGCTCGTGGGTTTCACCGAAGTGGTAAACGTCCAAGACCTGCATCACTTGGGGCTTTCCTCCCACATTAAGCTGACACGCCGTGATATAACTGGAATAATGTTAATAGCGGCGTTAAACCCAACTCACTCACTCACTCACCTATTTTTTTTATAATGTGCTCGTGGAACTATGTTGAAAGGTTCACACCGTCCTTAAAGTTAGTGAATATGTTTGATGTGCAATAGACTTATTAAGAATATTAGGGAATGAAGTGTTGCGTTCTCGCCAAGCCCTTGGGCGTACCAGAAACCTTGGTCCAAGATCTACGCTGATCATTGTCCCTTCCTCAAATTAGGGCGGGGTATGGACTCCGACCCTCCGTCAGACATCGAATTCTCTGAATCCCATATGGATACAAGGATGAAATTGTGCATGCATCATTTAGGGATAAATATGATGATCGATTTCGTAAACCATAATTGAAAATCAATATTTCACAGAGTTGTGACCCTTGTTTTCTTGCCATAGTGCAAGGACTAAATACTCAAAAACGAGGACAAACCGCACATGTTGGTTGGTTGGTTGGTTGGTTGGTTGGTTGGTTGTTTAACGCTCAGCAATATTCCATCTATATGACGGCGGTCTGTGTGTGAAATACAGTACCTGGCTCGAAACAATTTTTTATTGGTTGCCTAGCAACAGATAACAGGGAGAAAAAAAACCTGTAATCACACATAAGATAGTGTGAAAAATTAACTTCCTGAAAAAGCAGGTGAGGTGAGGTGGAATTGGGTTTAACGTCACGTCCAAGATTATTGCACTTATATATAGCATGCACGTGTGAGTGAGCGTGTGTGTGAGTGAGCGTGTGTGAGTGAGCGTGTGAGCGTGTGTGTGTGTGTGTGTGTGTGTGTGTGTGTGTGTGTGCTTGTACTAGTCCGGACTGATGCTGATTTACAGTGTTAGCTCACTGAGATACCATGCCGCTAGAAAGCTAGAAACATAATCGGACCGAACCGGGATTCGAACTACAATCGTAGGTTTCTGGCGTGCAAAAGAGACGCAACTCTGCACAGCGAATTGCGGCGCCTTGGGCGACTGGGCCACCCTAGTCTGGGAGTGAATCCCAAAGTGATGCTGGTATCAGACGTTTACCATTTTGTGAAATCAGCAACTGGGTATGTTATTGACAGACAATTTTCCATGAACGAGGCGAATATGGGATTCGAACCAACAACCAGTGGATCCTGTCTCGTCTGAGGAATGCAACCCGCACCCGCTTAGGAGATAGGAGTGTTTGGTTTAACGCCGCTTTGAACAGTGTCTAGTTATATCTCGGCTCGTCGGCTGTATGTAGGAGGAAAGCCCGAAGTGATGCAGGTCTTTGAGTTTTACCACTGTGGTGAAGCACTGGTCTGGTGCTCACAAACCTAAAACATTCGAACCCTAGATCATCGTTTCTGTCACTCTGAACGGATGCTCCTCTTCACAGCAACCCGCAGCGCCTTAGATCACAGAGCCACCCGTGCTCCGTTGGGAAATAGAAAATAATAGACCTACTTGTTTAAAAAATTGTGAAAAGTACTTCAAGTACACAGCCGGTAGCCTCTGGCATCGAGCGTTTGTCCTAATCACACCCACACGCTTAACATTCGCAATGTAAACGAGGGCGGTGTTTTCCTCCCAAAACTACATATTTTCGTTACATATTTCCAGTAACCCGTCGCAATTGATTAGTAAAATTCAAACATTTTTTTTTATGAACTTGTCGTGATCAACATTACGTAAAATAGTGTTTGCATGCTTCCTTGGTTACTTTTTAACCACCAATCTAAGATTGCAACTTTAGAAAAGAAAAATATATATGCCAACTCACTTTCAGATATACACGCATCTTCAGGCAAGTGGTGTCAGGCTGGATCCAAAGCTTGTTTTAAAGATCTCAGATGCGTACTTCTGACGTACAAATTATAGGCATATACTTTTTTCATTTCTCTTTGGGTGTTTCGGGGAGTGTACAGTATCGCTTAACGTAGCAATGCATCGATCAAAAATATAAAAGGGTCTAAGATATATGCTTAGAAAGTTGTTTCTACTTAACTTCCTTCCAAAAGTGTATAGGAACTGGTCTGTGTGAATTCTGATTCAATGTTTCCGAATATTCCAGGGTTGCCTAAACAATCAAGTCATGGCAGCTATAGTTTCAGTGAAGCTCAAGCAATGCGGGAATGATATGAGGGGGTGTTCAAATGAAGCCCTAGTTAGTCAAGGACTCAGTTGAGGCTTCTGTTGTGATATGGGCATTATCAAGTTCATTACACGACTTCTTCAGAAAAAAAATATCTCGAAGAGTTGACCTTTCCTTACTCCCCTGAGTCTGAGTTTTGTTGTTTGTTGTTTAACGCTGCACTCAGCAATATTCCAGCTATATGACTGCGGTCTGTAAATAATCGAGTCTGGACCGGACAATCCAGTGATTGACATCATGAGCATCATTCCACGCATTTGGGATACGATGACATGCATCAACCAAGTCAGCGAGCCTGAACACATGATCTTGTTAGTCGTCTTTTACAACAAGCATGGGTTGCTGAAGATGTTCACGAGTTGCCTGTAGTAGGTATCTTGCTATCTCACAGTAAGAGGGACTACTCTCAAGTGAGACCTGCTGAGAAGTTTCACACCGGAATTGTAAAACCTGATGAGAAGTGTTTAATTTGAATTGAAAGACCAAGGTTTTACATAGGAATTGTAAAACCTGATGAGAAGTGTTTAATTTGAATTGAAAGACCAAGGTTTTACAGTTGAATTGGGTGAACAACCTTTCAATATGCATCCATTAAATGTTAATTTTTGTCTGGCTAAAAGTCACACTTTTTTCACATGAAAATTCCATGACGTCAATCAAACCTGCCTCTTCACATACCATGACACTAACTGTATTCCCACTGCGTCACCGGGGCAGGTGATGAAACCGTGTCCAATCTTACAAGTGACTAACTTCAGTCTGTCACCTGGTCTTCTGGCTAGCTGGCACTGGTTTATACAACGACTATTGTATTGTCTCACTGTAAGGTATCCTCACTGTAATATGTTTCCTTATTCTTTATGGCATTTCTTGCATTTAGATGGTTCATAAGTTAGTTAAAACACTACTCTGAGGGTTTGGTTGAAAACGTTTAACCTCAAGCTCGAGGTTTTGAGCTTGGGGTTTCACACTATCAACCAAAACCTCAGAGAAGAGTTTTTACAATAACATCCCCATACAGTCCACTTTTCACCCATGGGGAAGTGTGGGGGGTAAAGGATCCATGACAAACGACAACATCTCACCTCTACCTCTCCTATAAATCATAATTTGTAAAAACAACAATAAAATCCGGTTTCCTAAAACTTTATTGAAATGTAAAAATATAATTAATAACAAGGTTTTGTTCCGATGACATGAAAGTATATGATAAAATCAGCAGCTCGGCCCCTCAGTGAGTATCAACCAGCAAGTCTATACCATCTGTGGCCACTGTTGAGTAGGAACTTCTAGGACGACCCTGTTCACTGGCATAGGATCAGTAAACCCATGTTTCAATCTGCCACATGCGCAGACATACAATATCCAATAAAACAGTTAACAATATAAGTGAGACATCACACCTAGTCTGGAATCTTTGTTTTTACAAGAAGTACAGTTGAGAATGTCAGTATGTCACTAGGTTCTACTCAATTTTCACAAAGGTATTCCTATTATTTATTGATTCATCAATGTGATTATTTATAATAGATATATGCAGCAAGTATGAAATATTTCAGTATCCTATTATACAAAAGCACATTGGTCCAATCCAGATAGTTCTCTCCAATCCAATTTAGTCCAATCCAGACAATTCAGTGGGAATTCAATTCCGAAGTGGTCAGAATAAACAGGTTTCACAATATAGAGTTTCTTGAATATATATTTGTTTATAATCATAAAAAATCAGTGGCTACACGGTTCTTGAACTACACCATTAATTTGGTCAGAGCATGCTGCCAGGAATATGGTTTCCATCAGTGGATTCTGTCAGGGTCCTTCATCGCAGATTATCACAGTAGTTAATGCCATGGAAAAGTCACAGTACCCAGTAGATAGTGGTGTGTTACTTTATACAAGAAGAAAATTCATAAAATCAATCATGTGGACACAGTTTCATAATATCAAAGGTCATAGATGGACCTTAAATTCACCAACAACACGTCCAATCAACAATCTGTGTCTAACTAACAATGGTTAGATTTTACTGTTACACTTACATCTGCTAGTGTTTCCTGCAGACTGTAGCAGCATCATACAGCTCCCTACTGCACAAGTGTAAGTGCTTGTTTAGGCAGGTGTATTTTTACTTTGTTTATGGTCTGTTGACCTAAAATTTCTAAAATGTAAACATTTCCTGAATCAGTTCTGTTAACTTTATACATGGTTCCCTGATTCTATATCTGGGACAAAAAAGCTAGACACTCAAACTCACACCCATCCCAAATACATAATATCCATGCTTGCATCATGTCCAAGGCCCAGTTTTGTAGCAATCGTAGCACTGTGACTGCTGTAATTCCCATGCTTACAGTTAGGGGTGGGACGAGTCCAACTTTACTACCCGGGTACCCGATCCCCTATTACCTGGCCCTACCCGGGTACCCACTGCAGGTCTCAAGAGTTGGGAACAAAATGGCAGATTGGGAATTTTTTTGTCGCAGCCCTAGCCAAGTCTATTTAGATACATGTATCAAACGATCAGTACACTGAAGTTGACTGAAGCTTTATCTTTACTCAGCCATATACAAGTCAAAAGGAATGTGTGCATCGTCAGAAAGAAATGCGAACATTAGCGACTTGTGGTGTAACCACTGAGCTATAGTGAGTTTTTATCATCAAACAAAATATCACGTGACTAACCACGGGTCCGGGTAGTCCTGTGGGTACCCGGGTCCTACTCAGGACCCACCCACTCGGAATACCCGAGTTCCCTGATTGCTATGATTGTGAAACTAGTCTAGTGTGCAATTTACGTTGATAAAATTACCACTTTCTAAATAAACTTACAAAATGCAATAAGGTTCCTGATTGAGGTATTATCGAGCTATGTGAGAAGACTGACCACACCCTTTCTCCACACCGTATCATCTAACAACCATCACAATACATGGGGAAAGGGTGCACTCAGGTCTGACTTCCATATCTTATGATACTTTGAGAAAGACATGCTCAATCACTGACCACAGCATGTGCATCCAGGATTCAAACTCACAACCAGCAGATCCTGGTAATAGCTAAGGGACACAACTTTCTACACAGATTCCGTCAACTTAGTCCATGAGAACACCCCAAAGAATATGAAGGATTGGTGATGAGGTAACACATACATTCATATGGTTAAAAATAATTGCGTTGCCATCAGTATACAATGGCAGATAGGAACACCACACACCACACATGATCACTATCAGCACTCATCAGGATAAAAAAGAAGTTACACTTCGTTGCTTCTTGATAACAAACTTGACAAATAAAAACATACACATAATCCAAACTTCATCCAAAAACATATCAATCATGACTTTTTATAGGTGTTTTTTTTCAGAATATCATCTGAACATCACAGTGTTTATACAGCTAAATGTTCATCATTCTACAACCGTGGTTATATTATTACCATAGTGCAGCCAGGAAATTTGACATTTGTTGGGGTGGGCAATAACCCCAGAAGGACCCCAAAATAATTCTATGATACAACTCAGACCAGCAACAACTGGGTGTGGTGAAAGATGAGTCAAAGCCTATGTCTCTACAGTAATGACTTCTCAAGATGGTGCCCAGGCACTGGACCCTGTTCCACTAAGCACTCGTAACACTATGACTGTTGTAAGCCTACATTAAAGTATGGGAGTTACGATCTTCTCACCACTACAACCGGCTTTGTGGAAGGGTGCCTAAGGTTGCTCCAACAATGACCGAAGTGCTACAATTGTTGTAAACCTACGTTACAGTATGGGAGTTACGATCGTCTCAACATTACAAATGCTTTGTGGAACAGGCCCCGAGGATGTTCCACCAATGACCGAAGTGCTACAATTGTTGTAAACCTACGTTACAGTAGGGGAGTTACGATCGTCTCAACATTACGGATGCTTTGTGGAAAGGGCCCCGAGGATGTTCCACCAATGACCGAAGTGCTACAATTGTTGTAAACCTACGTTAAAGTATGGGAGTTACGATCGTCTCAACATTACAAATGCTTTGTGGAACAGGCCCCGAGGATGTTCCACCAATGACCGAAGTGCTACAATTGTTGTAAACCTACGTTACAGTAGGGGAGTTACGATCGTCTCAACATTACGGATGCTTTGTGGAAAGGGCCCCGAGGATGTTCCACCAATGACCGAAGTGCTACAATTGTTGTAAACCTACGTTAAAGTATGGGAGTTACGATCATCTCAACATTACGGATGCTTTGTGGAAAGGGCCCCGAGGATGTTCCACCAATGACCGAAGTGCTACAATTGTTGTAAACCTACGTTACAGTAGGGGAGTTACGATCGTCTCAACATTACGGATGCTTTGTGGAAAGGGCCCCGAGGATGTTCCACCAATGACCGAAGTGCTACAATTGTTGTAAACCTACGTTACAGTAGGGGAGTTACGATCGTCTCAACATTACGGATGCTTTGTGGAAAGGGCCCCGAGGATGTTCCACCAATGACCGAAGTGCTACAATTGTTGTAAACCTACGTTACAGTATGGGAGTTACGATCGTCTCAACATTACGGATGCTTTGTGGAAAGGGCCCCGAGGATGTTCCACCAATGACCGAAGTGCTACAATTGTTGTAAACCTACGTTAAAGTATGGGAGTTACGATCGTCTCAACATTACGGATGCTTTGTGGAAAGGGCCCCGAGGATGTTCCACCAATGACCGAAGTGCTACAATTGTTGTAAACCTACGTTACAGTAGGGGAGTTACGATCGTCTCAACATTACGGATGCTTTGTGGAAAGGGCCCCGAGGATGTTCCACCAATGACCGAAGTGCTACAATTGTTGTAAACCTACGTTACAGTAGGGGAGTTACGATCGTCTCAACATTACAGATGCTTTGTGGAACGGGCCCTGAGGATGTTCCACCAATGACCTAAGTGCTACAATTGTAAATCTATGTTATAGTGTGGTAGTTACAATCCTCTTGTGGAAACAACTTTGTGTGGTGACTCCTGGGCCCACTTGCACAAAGCGATCTTAGTGCTAAGATGATTGTAACTTCCATACTTTAACATAGGCTTACAATAGTCTTAGCGCTAAGATCGCTTTGTGCAAGTGGGCCCTGGATGGTGTCAGCAAGACATGTGTGAGTTACAGTCATAGTCCTATGATGGCTTTCTGGAATAAGGTCATAATAAGTATTTTTATCTTTGCACTCAGCAAAGACCGAGGCAACATGGTCATAGCAGTATGTTCCACCAAAAGGGGCAGTTAAAAATGCCCAATAAATTAAAATCAAAACCAAATCCTGCCCTGAAATAACCTGATGATCTGCGACTCGTGTGTTAGGAAGTAATAGAGAGGTTGTGGTTGGTTGGGATGGTTACGTCCAGGGCTGGTTTGAACCGGGGATACACAGCCAACGTCTTCTTGAAGTTGGAGACATTCTCCACAATGATAGGCTGCAGCAAGAAAAGTGTAGGCAAAGTCAACAAAAAAATATGGTTACAAAATATTCAATCTCTATGTCTTCAATTTCAACGGATTTTTCTGAGGCCAGACCAAAGTGTTTATTGTTTTACTGAATGCATATACCCTTTCTATATTGTGTACAAAATTTGGTTTGTGGTAAAGAAACCAGTAGTTGATCAAGTCAATAATGATGTCTTGAGACCCTGTCTTCAAGAATTTCTACCAAAACATGGGCACCAGAAAATGGTTGCCCTGCATGTTTAGCAAATACAATAATATTAGCCTAACAACTACGATTAGAATCAAGGTCATCTTTTGATATTTAAATCAGTAACACACCACTGTTAGTTTGAAACCTGATGCATTCTGGAGATAGATAGATTTGATCAAAACTGTGACAAGACGGAGTGAATGATGTTTAAGTCAGTCTGCACTATTACAGCTATATCAGCTGTGAGTACACAGTGCTAGAAATTGGCACTAGTCCTATTGTCCTTGCCAAAATGCCCAATAGTTAAGGTATCATAAGGACCAGTAGAAATTTGCCATTTTTAAGGGTTTTGCTATATGTGACCATTATAAGGACAAGTGAAATAAAACGGTTAGTTTCTACTGCTGGTACTCCAGTCAGACCAAGGGCATGGACAGTGGTTTGTAATCACTCAATCCACTGTGTAGTCTGCTCTAAAGGACAGGACACTGGGGACATATTTTGGGTCAGAGTACAGGCTAGAGGGTGCCAAAGTACAGCTGGTATCCACACTTGTTTACCTGGAGATCTGGAGTGCTGCTCTCCACCTCCATGTTGTGGACACAGTCTGTGGAGTCCCGCTCGGCGGTGGATATCACATGCACAGACACCTTCCTCCGGTGTGGGGCAGTGTAGGCTATATGCTCCTGTAACAACATCCAGCATGCAACTCAGTGTGTGGACCAAACTGTGGTAGGCTACATTGGGAAAGTCAGCCCTCCCAGCAACAAGTGAGTGAGTGAGTGAGTATGGTTTTGCACTGCTTTTAGCAATATTACAGCAATATCCAGCGGTGAACACCAGAAATGGGCTTCACACATTGTACCCATGTTGGGAATCCAACCTGGGACTTTGGCGTGACGAGCAAACGCTTTAACCACTAGGCAACCCCACCGCCTCTTAGTTGGTTGGTTTTATGTTTAACGCCGCACTCAGCAATATTCCACTTATATGACGGCTGTCTGTAAATAATCAAGTCTGGACCAGACAATCCAGTGAATAATATCATGAGCATCGATCCACGCAATTGGGATTGATGACATGCATCAACCAAGTCAGCGAGTATGACCACCCGATCCCGTTAGTTGCCTTTTACGACAAGCACAGCCACCTTTTACGGCAAGCATGGGTTGCTGAAGACCTATTCTACCCCGGAATCTTCACGTGTCTCCCACCGCCTCTCCAACAACAAGCATAGTGCACAGCAGTCAGCAGCATTTACAACATATCTAATCAACATGTATGTGAGCGAGGGAGTGAATTTGGTTTAACACAACTTTTAACAGTATTCCAGTCATATAAAGTGTGTTAACTTAATGTGAAAACCTGAAGTGATGCAGGTCTCAGACGTTTGCCAATTTTGTGAAACCCACGAGCATGGGTCTGGTACTGACAACCTCGAAACATAATCAGGGTGAACCTTTGATTCGAACCAACTATCATAGGTTCCTGGCATTCTCAAGGGATGCAACCTCCGCACAGCAAATGCCTGTAAGTAACTGAGTCTTGTGGTTGATCGGGGTAAGATGAATTTCAATCAAGACAGCAAACAAGCCTGTCAACCTGATCCAATTTAACAGCCTCTTATGACAAACAATAGAGTGGTGGGCAACTATTCTGAACTGTTTCCCCAAAGGATCTTACAATAATACATCTGTGATATGGTTGTACTCAAAGCTCTTTCACTCAAACATTCCATGTCAGAAGTGACAACATGAGACATACCTCTGACATCTGAAGGAGAATACCAGAATAGAAAATGATATTAGTTGACAGGCATATGTTTTAAACAGAAGGATTTACACATACATCAAGTAATTATGTTTCAAAAACATAGAACATGTCATACAATTTCAAAGGTATGATGAATGGTAAGACATTGCACGCTGTATGAGTTTGAATGGTCTGGGCAGTTCCTATGTCAACTCACCTTGAAGAATGCATAGAGGTCACTCTTTGTCAGGGTTCTCAGATGAGCCACCTCAATATTATCTGAAACCATGCCAGACAGATAAAAAAACATCTGTAACAAAAGAATATGAATCAAGAGGGAAGCAAAGTGACAGTTTAAGTTGTGTTTGATTCCATCAGAAATATGTTGAAGGAGCTATAGAGTCACTAAGAAAGGTCTGAAATCCAACAATGTACAGACGATCTCAGCCAGAATTTGGAGAATTCTGTAGTGAAACTAGTTGGTGGATTGGCTGTTTCAGTGTTCCATATGTAAGGACACTAAAACCACCCAGTCCATATGTAGGAACACTGAAACCACCCAGTCTATATGTAGGAACACTGAAACCACCCAGTCCATATGTAGGAACACTGAAACCACCCAGTCCATATGTAAGAACACTGAAACCACCCAGTCCATATGTAAGAACACTGAAACCAATCAGTCCATATGTAGGAACACTGAAACCACCCAATCCAAATGTGGGAACACTGAAACCACCCAGTCCATGTGTAGGAACACTGAAACCAATCAGTCCATATGTAGGAACACTGAAACCACCCAGTCCATATGTAGGAACACTTAAACCACACAGTCCATATGTAGGAACACTGAAACTACCCAGTCTATATGTAGGAACACTGAAACCACCCAGTCCATATGTAGGAACACTGAAACCAATCAGTCCATATGTAGGAATACTGAAACCACTCAGTCCATATGTAGGAACACTGAAACCACCCAGTCCATATGTAGGAACACTGAAACCACCCAATCCATATGTAGGAACACTGAAACCACCCAGTCCATATGTAGGAATACTGAAACCACCCAGTCCATATGTAGGAACACTGAAACCACCCAGTCCATATGTAGGAACACTGAAACCACCCAGTCCATATGTAAGAACACTGAAACCACCCAGTCCATATGTAAGAACACTGAAACCACCCAGTCCATATGTAGGAATACTGAAACCACCCAGTCCATATGTAGGAACACTGAAACCACCCAGTCCATATGTAAGAACACTGAAACCACCCATTCTATATGTAGGAACACTGAAACCAATCAGTCCATATGTAGGAACACTGAAACCACCCAGTCCATATGTAGGAACACTGAAACCACCCAGTCCATATGTAGGAACAGTGAAACCACTCAGTCCATATGTAGGAATACTGAAACCAATCAGTCCATATGTAGGAACACTAAAACCACTCAGTCCATATGTAGGAACATTGAAACCACCCAGTCCATATGTAGGAACACTGAAACCACCCAGTCCATATGTAGGAACAGTGAAACCACTCAGTCCATATGTAGGAATACTGAAACCAATCAGTCCATATGTAGGAACAGTGAAACCACTCAGTCCATATGTAGGAACATTGAAACCACCCAGTCCATATGTAAGAACACTGAAACCACTCAGTCCATATTTAGGAATACTGAAACCACCCAGTCCATATGTAGGAACACTGAAACCAATCAGTCCATATGTAGGAATACTGAAACCACCCAGTTCATATTTAGGAATACTGAAACCACACAGTCCATATTTAGGAACACTGAAACCACCCAGTCCATATGTAGGAACACTGAAACCAATCAGTCCATATGTAGGAATACTGAAACCACCCAGTTCATATTTAGGAATACTGAAACCACACAGTCCATATTTAGGAACACTGAAACCACCCAGTCCATATGTAGGAACACTGAAACTACCCAGTCCATATGTAGGAACACTGAAACCACCCAGTCCATATGTAGGAACACTGAAACCACCCAGTCCATATGTAGGAACACTGAAACCACTCAGTCCATATGTAGGAACATTGAAACCAATCAGTCCATATGTAGGAACACTGAAACCACCCAGTCCATATGTAGGAACACTGAAACCACCCAGTCCATATGTAGGAACACTGAAACCACTCAGTCCATATGTAGGAACATTGAAACCAATCAGTCCATATGTAGGAACACTGAAACCACCCAGTCCATATGTAGGAACACTTTTGAATGATTATTTCTTTCAGCTGGTTCACATATTACAGCCCTAAGACTAAATCATTCGGTAATTATGTTTTCACTGACAATAAAATAACAATATATTATCTTCAAGAATTGTTTTTCAAAATGCACCCCTCCTTTCCTAGGATCTGTATCAGCACTTGCATCCCTCATCAGTCTGCTCTTACATCAACCATAGGCAACTGGGAAATATACGGAATCATTATCTGGATTTAGTGAGAAGGAACAATGTGGAACAACACACTTGTACCTATACAACGTCAGCAGACATGTGTGTACTACCTTGTATTTGATTGTAAGTGATTGTGTGAATGTTGCTTCACTACACAGTCAAAAATACTACATCAATATCTCAGCAGCGTGCAAATGATCAATCAAACTTCTACCAGGGAAACCAGAGGTTGAATGCATGAACAACAATGCATATCATCAGGGCAAATCTCAGAATGACCCAGGATCAACATGTAGAGACAGACATGGGGTACTGGGGACATGCTCTGACCCAGAATCAACATGGAGAGACAGACATGGGGTACTGAGGACCTGCCCTGACCCAGAATCAACATGAAGAGACAGACATGGGGTACTGGGGACATGCTCTGACCCAGAATCAACATGGAGAGACAGACATGGGGTACTGAGGACATGCTCTGACCCAGAATCAACATGAAGAGACAGACATGGGGTACTGGGGACATGCTCTGACCCAGAATCAACATGAAGAGACAGACATGGGGTACTGGGGACATGCTCTGACCCAGAATCAACATGAAGAGACAGACATGGGGTACTGGGGACCTGCCCTGACCCAGAATCAACATGGAGAGACAGACATGGGGTACTGGAGACCTGTTCTGACCCAGAATCAACATGGAGAGACAGACATGGGGTACTGGGGACATGCTCTGACCCAGAATCAACATGGAGAGACAGACATGGGGTACTGAGGACCTGCCCTGACCCAGAATCAACATGGAGAGACAGACATGGGGTACTGGGGACATGCTCTGACCCAGAATCAACATGAAGAGACAGACATGGGGTATTGGGGACATGCTCTGACCCAGAATCAACATGAAGAGACAGACATGGGGTACTGGGGACATGCTCTGACCCAGAATCAACATGAAGAGACAGACATGGGGTACTGGGGACCTGCCCTGACCCAGAATCAACATGGAGAGACAGACATGGGGTACTGGAGACCTGTTCTGACCCAGAATCAACATGGAGAGACAGACATGGGGTACTGGGGACATGCTCTGACCCAGAATCAACATGGAGAGACAGACATGGGGTACTGAGGACCTGCCCTGACCCAGAATCAACATGAAGAGACAGACATGGGGTACTGGGGACATGCTCTGACCCAGAATCAACATGGAGAGACAGACACTGGGTACTAGGGACCTGCCCTGACCCAGAATCAACATGGAGAGACAGACATGGGGTACTGGAGACCTGTTCTGACCCAGAATCAACATGGAGAGACAGACATGGGGTACTTGGGACATGCTCTGACCCAGAATCAACATGAAGAGACAGACATTGGGTACTAGGGACCTGCCCTGACCCAGAATCAACATGGAGAGACAGACATGGGGTACTGGAGACCTGTTCTGACCCAGAATCAACATGGAGAGACAGACATGGGGTACTTGGGACATGCTCTGACCCAGAATCAACATGAAGAGACAGACATGGGGTACTGGGGACATGCTCTGACTCAGAATCAACATGGAGAGACAGACATGGGGTACTGGGGACCTGTTCTGACCCAGAATCAACATGGAAAGACAGGCATGGGGTACTACCTATTCAGAGCATATATTTTACAAAAACTCCAACCCCCATTCCATTCCACTCCTCAGCTCCATCAGCCCATACTCATCTCATTCTCAGCTCTTGAAATTAAGAGACATGGGGGGTTCCCCTTATAGAATTATGTTTACCTCTTACAACACTTTATCTCAGGACAATATGTGTAAGCACCACACGCTGTGTCCAAGACTCTGCATGGGGGACTACTCGACACAGACATTACTCATATCAGTCAGATAAAAATGTGAGAAATACAGTCCCTGACTCAAACAATTTTTATTGGTTGCCTAGCAACAGACAACAGGGAGAAAATAAAAACTGTAATCACACATAATATAGTGTGGAAAATTAACTCACTGAAAAAACATGTTTTTCATTTTTTCAGTCAACGACATGTGACAAACATAAGGCTTGTTGAAATGAATTTCTTATTTCTCATAAACAGCCTGCCCATTAAATTGCACCCACCCTGTTTTAACTGTCAAGTACTGTTCAGCTTAAATTTCATTTTTGCACTGGATTCCAAATTCAAAGGCTGTCACATCAGGTCTGTCTCTTCCTACAGTTACAGGAGGCATGGTAAAAGGTCATGAGGTATAGAGCAAAGTTTACCATTAAAGTTGGTTGGTTGGTTTGTTGTTTAGCGCCACACTCAGCAATATTCTAGCTATATGACAGCGGTCCGTAACAAATCGAGTCTGGACCAGACAATCCAGTGATTAATATCATGAGCATCGATCAACGCAATTGGGATCGATGACATGCATCAACCAAGTCAGCGAGCCTGACCACCCAATCCCGTTAGTCGCCTTTTACGACAAGCATAGTCACCTTTTACAGCAAGCATGCGTTGCTGAAGACCTATTCTACCCCGGAATCTTCACGGGTCTTTACCATTAAAGATGTACACCACGGAAGAAATATACAGAAAATCTCACCCAACTGTCTTCCGAGTTACAAATATTTGAGGCTTGCCGAGGATATTTTTACTTTTATCAAGGAGTCTTGACATATTTGAGGATGGAAGACATGAGGGTGAGATTTTATTTATCATCCCAAATCATTCAACATTTTCTGTTTGCAAACAGTAATAACCAGTGACAAGTTTGTAAATAGTAAAGCTACAACTTCAGTGACAGAGAGGTAAGCGATGTCATTTAATTGTAATGTCATGGTAACCAATGATGTCACAATGGTCCACAAAGCATTGTGATGCAGTTTCATTATAACCTGTGGAAGCCAGTTCTAGATGTTAAACTATAGAACAATATCCAACCTGCCTCCTCAGACAGATTTCAATAAACTCATGAGAAACAACACTATTTTTGTAGTTGCCATTATATAAAACTGAGGTCAAAAGGACAATCCTATTTCTTCTCACTAAATCCAGATGATGATTCCGTATATTTCTCAGTCGCCTATGGTTGATGTAAGAGCAGACTGATGAGGGATGCAAGTGCTGATACAGATCCTAGGAAAGGAGGGGTGCATTTTGAAAAACAATTCTTGAAGATAATATATTGTTATTTTATTGTCAGTGAAAACATATTACCGAATGATTTAGTTTTAGGGCTGTAATATGTGAACCAGCTGAAAGAAATAATCATTCAAAAGTATAAATGTTAAGAACACTTGCAATCTCCCTCTGCATCCACATATGGACTGGGTGGTTTCAGTGTTCCTACATATGGACTGATTGGTTTCAGTGTTCCTAAATATGGACTGTGAGGTTTTAGTATTCCTAAATATGGACTGATTGGTTTCAGTATTCCTAAATATGGACTGTGTGGTTTCAGTATTCCTAAATATGAACTGGGTGGTTTCAGTATTCCTACATATGGACTGATTGGTTTCAGTGTTCCTACATATGGACTGGGTGGTTTCAGTATTCCTAAATATGGACTGAGTGGTTTCAGTGTTCTTACATATGGACTGGGTGGTTTCAGAGTTCCTACATATGGACTGGGTGGTTTCACTGTTCCTACATATGGACTGATTGGTTTCAGTATTCCTACATATGGACTGGGTGGTTTCAGTGTTCCTACATATGGACTGGGTGGTTTCAGTGTTCCTACATATGGACTGGGTGGTTTCAATGTTCCTACATATGGACTGGGTGGTTTCAGTGTTCCTACATATGGACTGGGTGGTTTCAGTGTTCCTACATATGGACTGGGTGGTTTCAGAGTTCCTACATATGGACTGGGTGGTTTCAGTGTTCCTACATATGGACTCATTGGTTTCAGTGTTCCTACATATGCACTGGGTGGTTTCAGTGTTCCTACATATGGACTGGGTGGTTTCAGTGTTCCTACATATGGACTTGGTGGTTTCAGTGTTCCTACATATAGACTGGGTTGTTTCAGACATTGAGATGCTGAATCACATACATGAATCTTTCCTCATCACTGAACCAATAAGCAATGACATTTCATAATTACATGTTGATATTAATTCACCTCTGATATCAATAACAACTTACATTTCAGTTGCATGAGCAAGTCATACACAGTGTCATCTTTACACTGAAAACACATCGCTACTTCAGGTTTTCCTATCTTCCAGTTTCAATTCTCAGTGGGAAAACTCATCATCTAAACCTACTTGTCCTTGACATGGATGTGTTTACATATCTTTCAGGAGTAAACAGTTACTCTACAAGTCAAGAGGTCCTATATATACTGACCTCCTTTCTTAACAAATCATTTCAAGTGTTCATATAGTTTGAAATCATAACACATTTCACTTTTATACTCACAGGGTAATCAAAGATTAGATAACAACAGGCAAACAACAGATACATATGTTATTTGGGCATTGAGTTATTGAGACTCTACTTTTGAGAAGGAGGACTGTTGGGAAATGGTGTCATTTAACTTCGTAGCACATGACTTTAGCTTCTGTCAAGACAGTTTGACAGTATCTTGAAGTGTGAGGATAAATAAGTGCTGATAGACATTGTCTGCTACTGATCGTTACTTCAGAGTCCTTACTCTATAAAATCTGTGGCCTGTTTTCTCTATATAAGATTTCTTAAAACTGACTTGAGATACAGATGCATATATTATTGTCAAAATAAAGGAATATGTCAATAATCACATATGACGCGAGCAAATATTAAGATACATGAAAAGATTTGATGATTCAAAGAAGCATTCTCTCCAGATATGTGAGATATCCTAGAGCAGGGTCTGCGGCGATTTACATTAAAAGGGGCATAACTCTGTTTCAGATAAAAAGTAAAACCCAAGTGAGTTTTCAAAAAGACATTGTCAGAACATTCAGATATTTTTGTACAGTCCACACACATGGTGATTTTTACGGAAGTAAGTTAATGTCAAATGTCTTTTTTTATGACATCACAGCACAATTGCATCCTAGCACCCTTAAGGTCTATTTCCCCTGGTGGGTCACTTATTGTCTTCAGGAAACAGCATACAAGCCTGACATACCACAGCCTCCATACTGGTAACAAGAGCTTACCAGCATGAGGTTACAGTGATAACTTTCAACCTATGTCAGATGTAAAAGAATATGTTGGCCTTTGTAAGATTTGATCAAGGGCCGTGTCTAACCTCTATCAAAGTTGTACACTTGATCTTCAATCTCACTGAGGTAGTCAGAGTTTTGAGATCTCATCCTTTTCGGTTTCTCCAGCCTCCGAGATGACAGCGCCGTCACATGATTCCTGAAGTCCTCCTCACTCATGTCTTGAATGTAGGTCTGGAACAACGCGGGTTTACAACAGATCACATACTGCATATTTCACTTTCATGAGTGTGTGTTTTTGTTGTTTAACTCTGCACTCTGCAATATTCCAGCTATATGACAGTGGGCCGATAATAATCGAGTCTGAAAAACACATAGCTTACATCTATGGAATGAAGGAAGGATCATAATAACATATCTTACATCTATGGAATGAAGGATCATAATAACATATCTCACATCTATGGAATGAAGGGTCATAATAGCATATCTTACATCTATGGAATGAAGGAAGGATCATAATAACATATCTTACATCTATGGAATGAAGGGTCATAATAGCATATCTCACATCTATTGAGTGAAGGAAGGATCATAATAGCGTATCTCACATCTATGGAATGAAGGAAGGATCATAATAACATATCTTACATCTATGGAATGAAGGAAGGATCATAATAACATATCTTACATCTATGGAATGAAGGATCATAATAACATATCTCCCATCTATGGAATGAAGGGTCATAACAGCATATCTTACATCTATGGAAGGAAGGATCATAATAACATATCTTACATCTATGGAATGAAGGGTCATAATAGCATATCTTACATCTATGGAATGAAGGAAGGATCATTATAACATATCTCACGTCTATCGAATGTAAGAAGGATCATAATAACATATCTCACATCTATGGAATGAAGGAAGGGTCATAATAACATATCTCACATCTATGGAATGAATGTTGGATCATAATAGCATATCTCACATCTATGGAATGAAGGAAGGATCATAATAACATATCTCACATATATTGAATGAAGGAAGGATCATAATAGCATATCTCACATATATGGAATGAATGTTGGATCATAATAGCATATCTCACATCTATGGAATGAAGGAAGGATCATAATAGCATATCTCACATATATTGAATGAAGGAAGGATCATAATAGCATATCTCACATATATGGAATGAATGTTGGATCATAATAGCATATCTCACATCTATTGAATGAAGGAAGGATCATAATAGCATATCTTACGTCCATGGCATGAAGGAAGGATCATAATAACATATCTCACATATCTGGAATGAAGGAAGGATCATAATAGCATATCTCACATATCTGGAATGAAGGAAGGGTCATAATAGCATATCTTACGTCCATGGCATGAAGGAAGGATCATAATAACATATCTCACATATATGGAATAAAGGAAGGATCATAATAACATATCTCACATATCTGGAATGAAGGAAGGGTCATAATAGCATATCTTACGTCCATGGCATGAAGGAAGACTTCAATCCTACTGTCAACAAACGGAGTGGACTTGTCAGACTGCACCAGCAGCCTCAGCCCCTGAGCTCCGTAACACCGCCGAACCCGAGTCCACACTATATACCCTGCAAGTGGGTGAGTGAGTGAATGGTCAGCAGTACTTAAGTAAAGGACTGAAGCGTTAAAGTACAAGGGAGTTATGTATTCTTTCTACAACAGGAAGTGGTCACAAATAGCCTGGACATGACTGTGCTGTTGTGAAAGCATGGGACACACTGAACACATTGTCAAAATGATAAAATATGTTCATTAACTTGAAGAAGAAAATCTTGTACGTTCAGTGCTTATACTGGATGTACAGCAGACCAAGACCAATGATGTAAGGTCACTTTGAGGATTGTAAATGGTGAACAAAAAAAGAGAAGAGGCCGTTATTTTTATATTTCAGCCCTGCAATGACAATCAGTTAAGGGGGATAATCTCTACCTAACTGTTCCTTGGTACGGAGTGTGTCAAATGCTGGTTCCCCAATGACCTGTTTGAGTAGCTCCAGCAGGACATTAGACCGAGTGTCCTGCATCCCTATCTGATAGTACACACACACACAGCAGCTCTTGTGGACAGAGTTGGTCATCTGGTACAGGTGGCAGGATTCTGAAGTAAACATGGCATAAGGATTACAATACATTTCAGGTATGGGGGGAGGTAGTGGCGATTTTCATAGCAGTATTGCACTGTGGCAAGCACAGAATGACAAAGTTGCAGTTGCACTTGCAGTCACACAGTCACAGTTACAGTGTCACAATCACCAAGGCACAGACACAGAGTTACAGTCACCGAGTCCCAAGGTTACAGTTACACTGTCAAAAAGTTACAGTCCCAGATTCACAAAGACACAGAGTTACAGTCATGCCGTCCCAGAGACAGTCCCAGAGTCATAAGTTACAGATACAGAGTTACAGTCACTGATTCACAAAGACACAGAGTTACAGTCATGCCGTCAAAGACAGACAGTCCCAGAGTCATAAAGTTACAGATACAGAGTTACAGTCACTGATTCACAAAGACGCAGAGTTACAGTCATGCCGTCCCAGAGTCAGTCCCAGAGTCACAAAGTTACAGATACACAGTTACAGTCACAGATTCACAAAGACACAGAGTTACAGACACAGAGTCCCAGAATTAGTCCCAGAGACACAAAGTTACAGGCAGAGAGTACCAGTCACCGAGTCCCAGAATTCGTCCCAAAGTCACAAAGACACAGACACACAGTTACATTCACGGAGTCCCAGAATTAGTCCTGAGTCACAAAGTTACAGGCAGAGAGTTACAGTCACTGAGTCACAAGGTAACAGTTACACAGTCATAAAGTTACAGTCAATTAGTCCTTGAAACACAAGTTACAGTCACTGAGTCCCAAAGACACAGTCAGAGTTACAGAGTCAGGGAGTCTACAATGACTGACCTGAGGGCAGCTTCATCTCCCTGAAGTGTACATGTTGACTGGGCAGCAGTGGCTGGGTGCCTCCCTTCTCTCTCAGTAGCTTCTCCACCACACCCACAGTCTCCAGGGCTCCCTACATGCACAAGGCTTTAACTGTATTCGAGATCTGACTTTCACTTTGTGTGAATTCAGTGGAGCATGAACCTTCCTAGAGGGCCAAACTGTTGGAACGTTCAGGCTTCTGAGTTGGTTTTACATGTCTTATACAAAAGAAATGCCAGATGTAAACATCAGTTTGGGCCATTTAGCCATATCTTATTTTGTGTCATAACAAACATTATTGTCGGTCAATGCATGACAAGGGTTTCTAAGACATACACATCTAATAACTTCTTTGCAAATACACACCTGTTTAGTGACATTCCCATACACCAGACCCTCTATATAGAGGCGGGATAACAACTGATGGATGTAGGCCTCCAGCTTCCCTGTTGTCACGTCTGAAACACAGATGGGGATACAGTCTCATACAACCCCCCTCTACACATAGTGGGATAACAACTGATGGATGTAGGCCTCCAGCTTCCCTGTTGGCGCATCTAAACACAGAGGTGGGATACAGTCTCACACAACCCCCCTCTACATATAGTGGGATAACAACTGATGGGTGTAGGCCTTCAGCTTCCCTGTTGGCACATCTAAACACAGAGGTGGGATACAGTCTCACACAACCCCCCTCTACATATAGTGGGATAACAACTGATGGATGTAGGCCTTCAGCTTCCCTGTTGGCGCATCTAAACACAGAGGTGGGATACAGCCTAAATTGGATGGGGTGGACAGACTCAGTGCCTGAGTTGACTGCATGTCACTGTACCCCGAGGGAGAGTGACATTGCTCATATCAATCACTGGTTTGCCTAATCCAGACTTGATTATTTACTACTTTAAAAAAGATTGACTTCATTGTAACAGAACATTCCCCCACAATACACTCACTCATGTACTAAGTGTCATCTACCTTGCAGGAGATAGGGGTAGTCTAAAGTCTAAAGTGCCACAAGTTGCAGCACAGAGTTGTGTATCTTGGGCAAGCCAGAAACTTATGTTGGGGGTTCTCAGCACTCAGCAACATTCCAGCTATATGACGGCTGCCTGTAAATAATCGAGTCTGGACCAGACATACAGTGATTGACATCATGAGCATCGATCTACGTAGTTGGGATATGATGACATGCATCAACCAAGTCAGCGAGCCTGACCGGCCGATCCCGTTAGTCACCTCTTATGACAAGCATTGTCACCTTTTACAGCAAGCATGGGTTGCTCAAGACTTATTCTACCCTGGATCTTCACGGGTCTGTTGGGGGTTCGAATCCCTGGTCGCCCCGTTAATGTTCGTCGGTCTGTCAGCATCATACCCATGCCCGTGGGTTTCACGAAAGTGGTAAAAGTCTGAGACCTGCATCACTTCGGGCTTTCCCCTGACAATAAGCTGACACACCTTGATATAACTGGAATACTGTTCAAAGCGTGTAACCCCAAGTCACGCACACATTGACTCATCTACCTTGCAGGTACAGAAGAGACTCCTCCTTGGTCCAGAACACACTGGCCATGAGCTGCGACAAGGCGTAGGTGGCATGCTGGCTGGGCTGGTCCGCCATGAAGTTCCGGTACGACCTCTCCAGCTGAAACAATAAGGTGTCATCTCAGTTCTGGTGTATTGTGTCAGTGAGGCTCACTACAACTACTTTCAACCTTTCTTCCTGTCCCACCAGAAGTGTGGTTGTGACTGATGCCGCCCTGCTTCAGTAACCACTACAGTGAACCACACAGTGCTTCTGGGTATGTATCATTGTCCGAAATAACTGCTTGCCCGCCTGCCCGTGGCTAGTAACTTTGCCGTCAGGCTGCCTGAAATTTTTCTCCACCTGCCCACTAGTCTGGCAGATTATTCTGAGACTACTTCTTGTAGATTTTCAAGTAATTGTTTGCATTTTTTCAACCGAATCAAGATACCATTTGTATCTTATGTTTCGTGATTTTTCAATATTCATAATGTCTGAATGCAGGCAGGTAGTTTTGAAGATGGGCAGGCAACACAACACACCTTGTTGGGTTCTAAAATTATTTCAAACACTGATATGTACACACTACATATCCACTATGTATCCATCACTCATCAATACAAAGGGCCGATATGCAGCATAGTGGTGTTGTGTGTCTATATTCAGTGAGGCTATGAAATGATGCCGTGTATATCTCATGGATGTAAAATAAGCCCAACTCCTGCCCTACTTTGATACCACAGGGCAAGCTGCACACGTTACCATCAAAAAACGATGCCACTTGTGTGATGAATTTTTATTTGTTTGTTTAACACCCCACTCAGTAATATTCCAGCCATATGACAGCGGTCTGGAAATAATCTAGTCTGGACCAGACAATCATGAGCATCAATCCACACAATTGAGAAACAATGACATGCATCAACCAATCAACAAGCCTGATCTCCCAATCCTGTTAGTTGCCTCTTATGACAAGCATAGTCGCCTTTTACGGCAAGGATGGGTGGCTCAAGACCTATTCTACCCAAGGAACTTTACAGGTCAATTATTGGTATGAATAATCAAAGGTTTCCCTCTTGCTGAAACCAGGCTGATTCCTTACAAAAATAGCAGAATAATAACAGGTACAATGCAAAGTGGCTTATGTATTCACAGGTGGTGGAGGAGAGTAGTGTTTACAAATCCCTGAAGTCATTACATGCTAGTGAGGGGAGGTGACATAAGGTTTAACTTGTTGTTCAAGATTATTGCACTTATATAGCGACGTGGTTGCTTGTACTAGCCTGGACTAATACAGGTTTAATAGATCTACCATAACGCAGTTGAACATGTACACCCCAATCAGGCACAGTATTCTGATGCCTAGCCGACCAGTCCTTGTTTTAGCCCCTTAATGCCAAGCGCCAGACAGGGTAACAGTAAGTTCCATCTTTAACTGTCTTTTGGTATGATGAGGCCAGGGATCAACCGCTGCAACATGCTAGGGGCATTGTAAAATAAATGAAGAAGTAGTCATGATTCCCCCACTTATCATCTTGGAGTAACCCTGGACACACAACGCCCAGACTGTCTGTTCCTCTTCAATTCTCAAAGGACCGCCTCTGTGGTCTAGTGGTAGAGCGTCCGCCCGGAGAGCGGAATGTCCGATGTTCGATCCCCGGCCGCGTCATACCAAAAGACGTTAAAAGATGGTACTTGTTGTTACCCTGTCTGGCGCTCGGCATTAAGGGGCTAAAACAAGGACTGGTCGGCTCGGAGTCAGTATACTGTGTCTGAGTGGGGTATTCATGTTAAACTGCGGCATGGTATCTCAGTGGGCTAGCACTATAAATCGGCATCAGTCCGGACTAGTACAAGCAGCCACACACACACACGTGCATTCACGTCGCTATATAAGTCCAATAATCTTAGACGCGACGTTAAACCCAATTTCACCTCACCTTCAATTCTCAAGGCAGGTTTTCAATGTACGTCAATGTTTGCCCTCCCATCTGTGTGTGTATCTGAATCTGATCATGCAGCACCACGGCTATTTACTGCAACAATGCCCAGTCATAATTTTGAGTCTATTTGACCTACTTTTTCCTTCTTGATGTTGAACCTGACGGGGTCGACTGTAAAGTTGGTCATCTTCTCTACGATCTTCTCCAGGAGGATGTTCTGCTTGTCACTGTAGCCGTTGATAGAGATCTAGAGAAGGGAGGGAGGCCATGTTTATACTGCAGTCAGTTACATGACAGCCATCACCATGGAGACAGGAGGAATTACTGGTTATCTGCCCTGAGTGAAGGAATGGTGTAAGCCCCAAGCCTATGGCGAGGGAGTTACACAAGGCATTCATGAAGAGCAGGTAGTCAGTACATCAGACTTTCAAGTAGGTTCTCCTTTATATTTCTCATTGCCAATTGAATAAAAAGTAAGAAAAGAAACTCTTCCTGGAGAGTCGGCCCATAATATAAAAATTTTAATGGTCTCAACGATGAAGTAATGTGAAGTGATATTTGACCAATCAGCATTGAGAATTGCTTAAGTGCCCATACGAAGAAGTTTAAGCCCCTAAGTGTAAAATGAGTTCTGCCGGGTAGGCGTACTCTATGTGCTACTGTATAGACAACAGTTACCATGGTTACAGTACTTACATCAAAGCCGTCCCTGGAGCTGGTGAAGGAGTATGAGAGACCTGCCAGGTCGGCAGAGTAGGTGTACTCTATGTGCTACTGTATAGACAACAGTTACCATGGTTACAGTACTTACATCAAAGCCGTCCCTGGAGCTACTGAAGGAGTATGAGAGACCTGCCAGGTCGGCGGAGTAGGTGTACTCTATGTGCTACTGTATATACTACAGTTACCATGGTTACAGTACTTACATCAAAGCCATCCCTGGAGCTGGTGAAGGAGTATGAGAGACCTGCCAGGTCGGCGGAGTAGGTGTACTCTATGTGCTACTGTATATACTACAGTTACCATGGTTACAGAACTTACATCAAAGCCGTCCCTGGAGCTACTGAAGGAGTATGAGAGACCTGCCAGGTCGGCGGAGTAGGTGTACTCTGTCAGGGCATCGTTCATCAGCGACACAAACAGAGACAGCATGCACACACACCCGGGATCAGTGTAGGCCGAGGGGCTGGGACAAAAACATCACAATACAGCTGAAGGCAATAGAGGTCTTCATTGAGGGATACCCAAAGATTCCTTACTTAAAGTATCATGTGACATGAGTGAGTGAGTGAGTGAGTGAGTAATATGGTTTTACGCCGCTTTTAGCAATATTCCAGCAATATCACGGCAGGGGACACCAGAAATGGGCTTCACACATTGTACCCATGTCGGGAATCGAACCCGGGTCTTCGGCGTGAGGAGCGAACGCTTTAACCACTAGGCTACCCGACCGCCCTTCATGTGACATGAATATGGAACAGTGGAATTGCCTTGCACAAAATTAATTTACTACTAATAGAGGGATTGTGGATGTTGGATTTTACATCGGTTTGAGCTATATTTTAGTTGTACAATGTAGGAGGAAAGCTGAAATGATGCCATCTACAACCTATAAGCATGGGCTGGGGCCGACAAACCATGAATCACAATCGGGCCAAATGTAGGATCATAGGATTCTGGCATGTCTAAGGGACGCAACTCTACACACAGTCAGACGCATAAGATAACTAGGCCACCCATACTCCCTACTAGGATTCTGCTGATAAATACGCAAACTAAAAACAGTAAATACCAGACATAGTAATACACAATGTCCATGTACCAGTCAACAGTTATGGGAGTGAGTGAGTGAGTGAGTTTGGTTTAACGCCGCTTTTAACAGTATTCCAGTCATATCACGGCGTGTCAGCTTAATGTGGGAGGTAACCCTGAAGTGATGCAGGTCTCAGACGTTTACCACTTCGGTGAAACCCACGGGCACGGGTATGGTGCTGACAAACCTAGAAACATAATCGGGGCGAACAACAGTTATGTAATAAATCTGCATAATGGCATTTGTATTGCCTAGGCACAGTATGAACATCAACCTCCAAAACTGTTTGTTTGTTGTTTAACTCATCACTGAGCAATATTCCAGCTACATGACGGCGGCCTGTAAATAATTGAGTCTGGACCAGACAATCCAGTGATTGACATCATGAGCATCAGTTTACGCAATTGGGAAACGATGACATGCATCAACCAAGTCAGCAAGCCTGACCACCTAATCCCATTAGTCACTTCTTACAAGCATGGGTTGCTGAAGACAAATTCTAACCCAGATCTACCTATAAAACTGCAGAGAAATGTAGGACTTTGGGAGCAGGAATTTGTCATCTTGTTTGAACCACAGTCTTGTCAGGTCATCATTCTGAAAACAGCAATAACGTATTACACGTATACCCAAGTATTCACCACACTGCATTCAGACTTTCCTGAACTGAAGAAATTTATCATGTAAATGTGTTTACCATTTTTCATTTTCTATCCTCAATATCAGTGTATAGTGAGTCTAACTTGATTTATAACAATTAATGTTTTTTACATTTGCCAGAATGAAACATGTCACTGCTTTCACATACTTTTAGACACAACCAGTTTATTGTTAATTCACTGGAATCAATGAATATTCTTTTAATAAGAACACAATTAGGGACTAAAGATGATCAGGAACATTTTGCAAAACTTCACAAATAAATTCCTTTTTAACAATTAAAAATACTTGGAAGACATATAAGGAAGCCTTTTCCAAAATGGCTGAAGTGATTCTTTCCACAACTTGTTCAAGCAATAAATGTTCAGATACAAGGGGGGGTGAGTAACATCTGTATCATCTTCCTGAGGCAAGGGAGTTATCGGACTATAAAAGTCCAGTTTCCAACATTGCCGTACTAGGCTCGAATTTCCAGACTTGATCGTAGTGGCTACAGTGGTGATTACGAGTTACATCCCAACTATGTCTCTTCTATTGTCTATTGACCAATCAGAATCCACCTCTCTGATCACTTGCATTTGTTTCAAACAAAATGGCGGCGCCCAGTCAAGACGATCTGATCAATAATCAAGATCTTTATTGTAATTAAACAGGTCCTACCTCGGGAAGGGCATCAAATCACCAGAGCACCTTGATTAAAAACATGAAAAGATTTGGAAAATATCTGTCGACACCCAGTTGACGGTACACATGCTTTGCAAATCCTACAGTCGACCAAAATCTGCATGTTGAAATCCATGTTGTTTATGAACTGGATGTCTAGTTAGTTACAAAATTTTGATTGGACTATACATAGTCCAGCAAAAATATAAATTCTGGAATTCCAGCTAGTTCGGCAAGGCTAAAAACTGGACTTTTATAGTCAGATAACTCCTATGCCTAGGGAAGCTGCTTCTGTTAATTTTTTCATGTTATTTCCAAATTTGGGTCAAACAGACTTTCATTTCCACTCACTTCTGTAAATGTCAGCATGACTTACCTTTATCATAACAGGAAATTGCGTCACCTGTAACCAAAAAATAATAATCATAATAATCATAATAATCATAAGAGAACGTGCATAGGTCACAAGTGAATACAGAGGGGGTTGTATTGAGCGTAACTGTTTGTTTGTTGTTTGATGCCAAACTCAGCAATATTCCAGCTATATGATGGCAGCCTGTAAATAATCAAGTCTGGACCAGACAATCCACTGATAATTGTTGGGGTAGGACACACTAACAACCAACACACCAAGCCTGACCACCCAATCGCTTCATACGACCAGCATGAGATGCTGGGGTCCTGTACTAACGTGGAATCCCCATAGGGTCATTTGGTGCACATCCCACCTTTTTTATGACACTGCAAATCTCAACCTGTTGGTATTTGTTCCTGTTCATGTGGTGACTTGGTTTAGAATGAAGCCCATTTCTCAAAATCCTGGACCTGCCTCTGATGCTTATCATCATACTCATACAGCATTCATACTCAGAAATTTAAGATATTTGTTATCCAATACAAACTACAACATAAATTTACAACATAAATTTACTTTGTTTATTTCTCCAGAAAATAAGTGGCACACAAACCTCCTCCCTTGGAACCAAGTCAAGATTTTCTGGAATGAACTCATTGATGTCTGGTAAATGCAGGTTGTCATGAAGACCAGAGTCATCCCAGTGCTGAAATAACAAGGTGAAAAGTGAGCGTGGCTCACTAATACTCCCGACCCGCCTAGTGTGTCAGTAGTTTCAAATTAAATAATGGATAGGGTTAGGGTTTGAAAAATTCATACAAAAATGGAAAATTAATAAAAACATTTTTTTTCTTTTGACTGCCCCTCCATATGACACAGATTAAATGTACTAAGTTTGAGATGAATCCACTGAATAGTTTAAGAGAAATCGAGCGGACAAAGTTTTTGGACGGACAGACGGATGGACAGACGGACAGACCTAAAAGGTCAGGGGTATAATAAAACCATTGCCATCCATGTGAAGTGTAACTTGATATGATTGCTGAAATACTCTTGCTCTTTCTCTGCTGAGAATAAAAATATTGAAAACATCACTACAACTTTGTCTTTGAGTGAGTGAGTTGTGTTTAACACCACTTTTAACAGTATTCCAGTCATGTCATGGCGTGTCAGCTTGATGAGGGAGAAAAGCCCACAGTGATGCAGGTCCTACCACTTTGGTGAAACACACATGCAGAGTGCTGACAAAGCAAGAGTCATGGTCACAATCAGAAGTCCGAGACTAGAGATATTTGGTGAGGACTAGTGACTTTAACTTGTGGACCACCACTTTCACCATTAGGTAGATGGCAACCCGGGTATCACATCATTTTAGCAGACTAGTGAAATTAATAAATTTTCCATATCCTGATAATCGGGCAATTTTGGAATTTGAACATAATCTAAGTAGACAAAGTAGTCACAAGCCCTTGCTTGACAATGATATAAGGATCTATACCGAAACATCGCTTTTACAGTAAATACACAAGTTATCCATACATTTTGTCTACTTTGTCATATAACTTCAAAGTAACTTTTGCCTATCAAACAAACAAAATTCAGAGTTTTCAGCAATAAATAAATACCATGTGAGAAAGTTCCCTATCATGATGTTTACCTTCAGTTGGGTTTTAGAATAGGGCTCCACCTTGTACTGGGTTCCATACCACCTCTCTGACAGGTCTGTCACTCCCTTATACTTCTTGGCCACAACTGTCACACTAAAGCCAGATTGAAGGAGGGAATTAGTCAAAGACTGTAGAACACACTACTTTATTATGTAGCCCCGATATTGGTGAACTCAGAAATGAACCTTCATAGCAGACCATTTAGGTCACCATTTCACAAGACTGACTGAGTATGGTTTTACGCCGCTTTTAGCAATATTCCAGCAATATCACGACGGGGGACACCAGAAATGGGCTTCACACATTGTACCCATGTCGGGAATCGAACCCGGGTCTTCGGCGTGACGAGCGAACGCTTTAACCACTAGGCTACCCGACCGCCCCCATTTCACAAGAGACCTTTCTACATCAGAATGTTTACAAATCAGGGTCTTACAAATTTACCTGCCATTAATGTTGACAGCATAATGGCCATTGCAATACATTTATAATCAAAGAGAATGGAGTAGCCTCATGGTTAAAGCATTGACTTGTAGCGCCGAAGAGTCGGATTAAATTTCCCACAAAGAGTGAAGTGCATTTAATGTATTTCTTCCATGCCATGGCTGGGGCGCCTGTGAGTGAGTGGGTTTGGTTTAGGTCCATTTTGAACAGTATTTCAGTCACATGATGAATGTCAGTTTTATGAATGAGGATGGAAAGGACAAAGTGATGCAGGTCTTCGACGTTTACAGTTTTGGTGACATACACAAGCAGGGGTAAGGTGCAGACAAACCAAGAATCATAATGAAGGCTAACTGGGATTCGAACTACAATCATGGGTTTCTGGGTATGCCTAAGGGATGCAAATCTGCCCAGTGAATTGCAGCATAAAACCTCATTTCACTCACTCACTCACTTGGTGTATGATGAGAACTTTTAACTGACCAAATTCCCTATTTCCCAGCTTTTTACAAAAAAGGTCAAAGCCTAAAAAAATCCACAAGTTCCCCAGGTACAGTCTGTTGCTGAGAACATAGTGTAAGGGAGGTAACTCTGAATATCGTCCGAGAAGGTACTGAGAAGGTTGTGCTAAAGGTGCAGTCGATAAGTATCATTATCATTAAAATCGTGGCTATCCCAGTGAGGTATTTTATATTCAGCTACAGAAATTTCAGTTCATTTATGTAGTTCACTCCTGCCATTGTTGGTCACCTAATCTGTGGTCACACCTGACATCATGCCTGTTAACTGCGAGACATACCTGTCGCACCACTGAATAAGTGTGAGTGAGTGAGTGAGTGAGTGAGTGAGTGAGTGAGTGAGTGAGTGAGTGAGTGAGTGAGTGAGTGAGTGAGTGAGTGAGTGAGTGAGTGAGTGAGTGAATGAGTGAGTATGGTTTTTAGCAATATTCCAGCAATATCACGGCGGGAGACACCAGAAATGGGCTTCACACATTGTACCCATGTCGGGAATCAAACCGTGTCTTCGGCATGACGAGCGAACGCTTTAACCACTAGGCTACCCGACCGCCCCACCACTGAGTGACCGTCAGACAGCAACACCTACCTCATGTTCTGTGGAGTCAGTTTGTTGAGGAGGTCCAGAATGAGATCAGGACGGAACTCGGACAGGAGGTAAGGTCCAGACAGAGCCTCTTCAATCTTATATATCTGTAGAGATTGTTAGTCAAGATTCATCATACACGACACGGGGCCCATGTGACTAGGAAAACAGACACAACCAATGGCCATGCTCCTCCTCGGCCCTCTCAAACATGGCTGCCACCTAGCATTGTCACGTCTTCCCAGTCACTATGCCAGTGTGGGCATTCGTTTCTCCAATAAATGACTACAAAGGTAGGTACTTACGTCAGCCCATACAATTCCCCTTAATCTAACCCACCCATTACAATGGTAATACATACATCTACCCCAAAATCTGGAGTCGACCACACAAAATTCATCACATGTTACCAACTACAGCATCAGAGTGAGTGAGTGAGTGAGTTGGGTTTAACGCCGCTTTTAACAGTATTCCAGTTATATCACGGCCTGTCAGCTTAATGTGGGAGGAAAGCCTAAAGTGATGCAGGTCTCAGACATTTACCACTTCTGTGAAACCCACCAGCACGGATATGGTGCTGACAAACCTAGAAACATAATCGGGGCGAACCGGGATTCGAACCCACAATCATAGGTTTCTGGCGTACCAAAGGGACGCAACTCTGCCCAGCGAATCGCGGAGCTTTAGACGACTGGGCCACCCGTGCCCCCTACAGCATCAGAGAGATCATCTTCAGTACTTCACAGCTTTGTGTACACTATGTTTCTCCATCCCCGGTAAATACTACACAACTCAAAGGAAGTCAAAGAACACCCAAATCTTTCATATTACTCAAGTACTTGAGTAGTATATCTTTACCACCTTGTCGTAAGCGGCGACTAATGGGATCGGATGGTCAGCCTCCTTGACTTGGTTGATGCATGTCATCGAATACCCAAATGCATAGAATGATGTTCATGGTGTCAATCACTGGATTGTCTGATCCAGACTTGATTATTTACAGCATCATATGGCTGGAATATTCCTGAGTGCACACTAAACATCAAAGAAGCTAATCACGCAAAGGCCTGGTTCTAGGTAATGGTATAGACACACAGTTTGCTCATTCACTTCAATATGAGTGAGTGAGTGAGTGAGTTGTGTTTGACGCCGCTTTTAACAGTATTCCAGTTATATCGCGGCGTGTCAGCTTAATGTGGGAGAAAAGCCCGAAGTGATGCAGGTCTCGGACGTTGACCACTTCGGTGAAACCCACGAGCACGGGTACGGTGCTGATAAACCTAGAAACATAATCAGGGCGAACCGGGATTCGAACCCACAATCATAGGTTTCTGGCGTGTCCACAGGACGCAACTCTGCATAGCGAAACACGGCACCTTAGACGACTAGGCCACCCGTGCCCCCTTCACTTCAATGAGAACTCAAAGGCCCAATTGTTTAGAATATTAAATATAGAACTGTGTCACTTCTACACTACATAATAGCTGTATATATTCACAGGTAATGGTGGAATGTAGTGTATACAAGTCTGTCGAGTATTGACATAGCTGGTTAGAATAATGATAAACCTTTCAACCTTTAGGTGAACCAGAAATACAGCTATTCCATGGCAATGTGTGGTGTCATCAGGTGTGGAACAGACAAAGAGTCAATAACTTTTATTCCAGACTATCAACATGATCAATGTTTTTTTGGTTTTGTCAGGTAAAATAACTGGTATATGTCCAGATTGTCTGGATTTTAACAGAAGACTCGTTTTTGAAAAAAGACAGCAGTTTTGCTATGACATTAAATTTGATTTCTGCCTGCTGAGGAAAAGATGGAAAAACCTCACTGTGATTTTGAAAATATGCCTCTGATAAGAAACATTTTTGTTCCCGACTTTTGTGTAACAGCTGTAACTCACGTGGTTGTCTCGGGCTAAAGACGTCGCATAGCTGTTTGGAGTTTCCTTGTCCTTGAACTGGAACTTGATGGTCTTCAGTTTCTGTAACCATGGTAACACAGGAAAAACATTTATATACAGGGAGCTTGAACAAGCTAGAAACTAATACATAAAAAGCTAGTACAGATTATCAGTTACAAAATCATGAAGTCACTTGACGTTGACAACAACCTCTTGGCCTTGGTGGAGACCCTTAGACTGCCCCCTCTACTGGCCTGGTATTATTACATGGCAGTTCTCATATCACCCCATATCAGCCCGACACCCCCAAAGCAGCCCGGGGGCCGAAAACCAGAGGGCTGATATGGGGGTCTCGGGTTGATATTGGGGTTTGGGCTGATATGGGGGTCTCGGTTGATATGGGGTATGATATGAACACTGCCAATAAGAACTTTTTATCATTTAACAGAACATCAAATTTTAAAATGCTTCCATTTATAAAACATCTCTAAATTCTGTGTGTGTCCTTAAAATAATTTCTGAATAGTTTCAGGTCGCTGTTAGTGTTCTTGTTTTTCATTTTGTTCACAAAACCTTCCCTTTCCATTTCTCTTTTAAATCTATCCTCAGTTTTCTCCAAGATAGCTTTTAGCTCTATTATTCCATTTGTAAGTCAATGCGGAACATGTTCACCTTGTTTGGAAGACATTGTCACGGGAAAGCTAGCCGAGCAGACAATGCACCAAGGGATGTAACTCTACTTTCTTACCACCCGGGCTGATATCAATTACCCATTCAAAATGCATTGACAAACCATATCAGCCCAGCAGGGGTGTAATACGGGTCTGGTTATTACACCCCCTGTGATATGACCGTCTCCATGTTGGCTCTATCGCACATGCAAAGTGACCCAAAGTTGATCTCAGTGACCCCAAGCTGATCTCAGTGACCTCAAGCTGATCTCAGTGACCCCAAGGTGATTTCAGTGACCTCAAGCTGATCTCGGTGACCCAAAGCTGATTTCAGTGACCCCAAGCTGATCTCAGTGACCTCAAGCTGATCTCAGTGACCCCAAGCTGATCTCAGTGACCCCAAGCTGATCTCAGTGACCCTAATGTCGGTACTCCCAACTGACCTTGCACTCATCATGCACCCACTGGTGCACTCCCTCCTTCTGCAGCAGGTGGATGTACTGATACACCAAGGTCACTATGTCCTCTGTGTGCTCTGTGGAGATACACGTTACATGTCTCAAGAAGAACATCACTCACTTCCTTCCCCTCTCCCTCCCCGGCCTCCCTCACTTCATCACTCACCTCCTCTATCTCTCCCCAGCCTCCCTCCCTTCATCTCTCCTTCCCTTCCTCATCTTTCTCCCCAGCCTCCCTCACTTCATCACTCACCTCCTCTATCTCTCCCCAGCCTCCCTCCCTTCATCTCTCCCCAGCCTCCGTCACTTCATCTCTCACTCCCTTCCTCTCTCTCCAGCCTCCGTCACTTTATCACTCACTCCCTTCCTCTCTCTCCCCGGCCTCCCTCACTTTATCACTCACTTCCTTCCTCTCTCACTCCCTTCCTCTATCTCTCCCTGGCCTCCCTCACTTTATCACTCACTCCCTTCCTCACTCTCCAGCCTCTGGCACTTCATCTCCCACTCCCTTCCTCTCTCACTCCCTTCCTCTCTCACTCCCTTCCTCTATCTCTCCCTTCCTCTATCTCTCCCCAGCCTCTGTCACTTCATCTCTCACTCCCTTCCTCTCTCACTCCCTTCCTCTATCTCTCCCCAGCCTCTGTCACTTCATCTCTCACTCCCTTCCTCTCTCTCCCCAGCCTCCATCACTTCATCTCTCTCCCTTCCTCTATCTCTCCCCAGCCTCTGTCACTTCATCTCTCACTCCCTTCTTCTCTCCCCAGCCTCCATCACTTCATCTCTCTCCCTTCCTCTCTCTCTCCCCAGCCTCTGTCACTTCATCTCTCACTCCCTTCCTCTCTCTCTCTCCAGCCTCCGTCACTTTATCACTTACTCCCTTCCTCTCTCACTCCCTTCCTCCCTCTCTCTCCCCAGCCTCCGTCACTTCCTCTCTCACTCCCTTCCTCTCTCACTCCCTTCCTCTCTCTCCCCAGCCTCCTTCACTTTATCACTCACTTCCTATCTCTCTCTCCAGCCTCCGTCACTTCATCTCTCACTCCCTTCCTCTCTCACTCCCTTCCTCTATCTCTCGCTTCCTCTATCTCTCCCTGGCCTCCCTCACTTCATCTCTCTCCCTCCATTCACCCTTCGTTCATTTCATCCATCACTCCTCCCTTACTACCTCTTACTATCTCTCCATCCTCCCTCACTTTATCACTCACTCCCTTCCTCTCTCTCTCCCCAGCCTCCTTCACTTTATCACTCACTCCCTTCCTCTCTCTCCAGCCTCTGTCACTTCATCTCCCACTCCCTTCCTCTCCCACTCCCTTCCTCTATCTCTCCCTTCCTCTATCTCTCCCCAGCCTCTGTCACTTCATCTCTCACTCCCTTCCTCTCTCTCCCCAGCCTCTGTCACTTTATCTCTCACTCCCTTCCTCTCTCACTCCCCAGCCTCCGTCACTTCATCTCTGAGTCTATCTCTCCGGCCTCCCTCACTTTATCACTCACTCCCTTCCTCTCTCTCTCCAGCCTCCGTCACATCATCTCTCACTCCCTTCCTTTCTCTCTCTCCCCAGCCTCCATCACTTCATCTCTCACTCCCCTCTTCTCTCACTCCTTTCCTCTCTCTCTCCAGCCTCCATCACTTCATCTCTCACTCGCTTCCTCTCTCACTCGCTTCCTCTCTCTCTCTCCCCAGCCTCCATCACTTTATCTCTCATTCCCTTCCTCTCTCTCTCCCCAGCCTCCGTCACTTCATCTCTCACTCTATCTCTCCGGCCTCCCTCACTTTATCACTCACTCCCTTCCTCTCTCTCTCCAGCCTCCATCACTTCATCTCTCACTCCCCTCCTCTCTCACTCCCTTCCTCTCCCTCTCTCTCCTCGGCCTCTCTCCCTGGCCTCCCTCACTTCATCTCTCTCCCTCCATTCACCCTTCATTCATTTCATCCATCACTCCTCCCTTACTACTTAACTTTCTTCCCCTTTAACCCTTCATTCATTCTTTACTCAATCCCCCCATCACTCCTCACTTCTCGTCCTCTTCCCTTCCCAGACTACCTCTCCCTCCCTGCATCCCTGATTCTCCTGTTTCCTTTCTTCATCACTCACTCCCTCAACTCTTTCCCCTTTCATCTCTCATTTCCTTCATCCTTCCTACCTCTCTCACTTCATCCCGCAATTCATACATCACTCTTCCCTCCATCCCTGTCTCTCTCCCCTTCCCTCCTCTTTACTCCCTCACTATGTAACTCTCTCCCTCCATCCATTCATCCATTTCTTCATCCTTCACTCATTTCTCCCTCTCTTCTTCCCTCCAAACCTAACTCTCTCCCAGCATTCACCCCCATATTTCTCCTTCACTTGGTCCTTCATTTCTCCATTACTTCTTCCCTCCTACCAAACTCTCTCCTTCCATTCACCCCTTTATTCATCCTTCACTCTGTCCCTCATTTCTCTCCCTATTATCTCCCCTTCTTCCCTTACTATCTCTCTCTCCCCCTCCCTTCACCTTTTTATTCATCCTTCACTCAGCCTCTCATTCTTCCCTCACTTCTTCCCTTCTTCCTTCACTACCTAACTCTCTCCCTCCATTCATACATTTCTTCATCCTCCATTCAGTCTCTCATTCTTCCGTCACTTCTTCTCTTCTTCCCTTCTTCCTTCACTACCTAACTCTATCCCTCCATTCACCTCCTTATTCATCCTGAGTTCTCATTCTTCCCTCTCTTCTTCCCTTCTTGGGGGGCATGGGTGGCCCAGTCGTCTAAAGCGCCACAATTCACTATGCAGAGTTGCGTCCCTTTGGCACGCCAAAAACCTATTATTGTGGGTTCGAATCCCGGTTCGCTCCGATTATGTTTCTAGGTTTGTCAGCACCATACCCGTGCTCGTGGGTTTCACCGAAGTGGTAAACGTCTGGGACCTGCATCACTTCGGGCTTTCCTCCCACATTAAACTGACACGCCGGGATATAACTGGAATACTGTTAAAAGCGGCGTTAAGCCCAACTCACTCACTCACTCTTCCCTTCTTGCTTCCTTCACTACCCAAATCTGTCCCTTCCTTCACCCCTTTATTTGTCCTTCACTCAGTCCCTCATTCTTCCCTCACTTCTTCCTTCCTACCTCTCCTTTCATCCCTCTCTCTCTCTGACTGACCTCATTCCACTAACTAATGCTTGGTGGGGAAGTCTTGCATCAGTGACAGCAACAAAATATTAACAGACTGTTCAAAAGATTAAACAGCAGTTTACAGACAAGCAGGGAGAAGATTGGAGGTTTTCAAATAGTTCAAACTTAACTGGTGGCTGTTGTCAATTCAATTTAAATACTAAAATAACAGTCATAACAAAATGTATAACGTTATGCCAGCATCCTGCACACACAAGATGTGCACACAGTAAGCTCAGTACAGTACCTAGACCATCTTCTGTGAGATCCACTTTGACATAGAAGAACGCAAACCCTCTGGCACCACTCTTCCTGCCGGCTGTCAGGGAATTACTCCAACCTAGAAAACAATGTCAAACACTTTCACTCCAATGGCTCCTTCAAACATTCAAGTTATTACTCTGGGTAACTTATTTCAGATGTTGCAACTCTATTCATGAAGCAAGAACAAACTCTGTATGCCTTAAACATAAGAATGCAAAAGTGGCAGAAAAGTTCATTATTTGTTTGTGTGTCTGTTTAACGCCAGACTCCAGCAATATATTCCAGCTAATATTCCAGCTATATGATGCCGGTCTGTGAATAATCGAGTCTGGACCAGACAATTCAGTGATTGACATCATGAGCATCAATCTACGCAATTGGGATACAATGACATGCATCAACCAAGTCAGTGAGCCTGGCCACCCGATCCCGTTAGTCGCCTCTTGTGACAGTTACTATTCATTTGATGTGTGATGAGTACACTGGTTCCAGATTGCTGCCAGGCTGTGTTTTGTCACATGACTGTCCTGTTCACAAACATGACTGAGACTCCCAGGTAAATCCCTGATCAGTGAATTATGTCTATTGAATTTTGCATTTCGAGGCGAATTTTGTTACCTTCCAGTTTGAGCTGAGACAGGAGACTTCCTGGCCCTTCATGTCCGAGGAGATGGCTGAGGTAGCTGGCAGGCTGCAACAGATTCATTAAACAGATTCATTACTACAGCTTCACAACAGTGACTGAATGTTGTTTACCACTCTGCAACATATCAGGTTTAACATGTCAGTCTGTAAATAAACAAGTCTGGACCAAACAAACCAGTGGTTGATATTATGAGCAATGTACCATGACATTGGCGTTCAATGACACGCAATGAACTAAGACACCGATCCTGACTCCCCCATCCACTAAGGCACCACATGGGACCAGTTCTTCCCAAATATCCTAACTGGATACCAACAAGCCGCAATCCACTGATCTTGAAATCACATTTCACAACTCCCCTACTGTCATCAAATAATTCCACGTTACAGTTTCACAAAGGTAATTGAACAACCTGTTATTTACGGTCAGTGATATACTGGTATATCAAAATATATCAGTATACCTAGAAGTATCAACAAAGCAATGGTGGCAGAGACAGGGTTAGGACTGCCATACAAGACAACTATACATCATTTCTTATGAAAAATATTTATCTGGAATGTGTTTCAATATACTCAGTGCATGTATGATTGTTAGCAACATTATGAGTTGTACATTCACACTTCATATATTCATAATAATCCTATATTCCTATGGCATAATACAAGTTCATACAAGAGTTTGCCACTAAAGTGGCTATATCCCCCGCCCCTGTTGAGTTATGCTCCGGAAACGAACCCTACCCTCACAGAACCTAAGTCCATCTTGCTGCCATGGAAACGAAAAAAATTAAAAATTCTAAAATTTCTAAATAGCAGAGGGCACCAGTTCAGCATGTACCTGACAGACGTGCAAAGTTTGATGAAAAAATATTGAACGGTTTATGAGTTATGCTCCAGAAACGAAACGTGACGGACGGATGGAGCCCATATTCCCCCGCCAACTTCGTTGGGCGGGGGATAATAAAACGCCACATAACAAAAGCTGTGACTATACCTTGGAGTGGTAGTACTGGGAGACATCCGGTATCGGCCAGGTGACGGTCAGTGAGCGGACATCCTTCACCGGCACCACACAGATCTTTCTCTGAGGACAACAGATGATGACATGAAGATAAGAATCACAGGTTTGTTTGTTGTTTAACGCCGCACTCAGCAATATTTCTGCTATATGATGGCGGTCTGTAAATAATCGAGTCTGGACCAGACAATCCAGTCATTGATATCATGAACATCGATCCACGCAATTGGGATCCGATGACATGCATCAACCAAGTCAGCAGCCTGATCACCCGATCCCGTTAGTCGCCTCTTATGATAAGCATAGTCACCTTTTACGGCAAACATGGGTTGCTGAAGACCTATTCTACCCCGGATATTCACAGGTCATCACAAGAAGGAAACATACTGCACCACACAGGGTTGTCTGTTATTCCTGTGAATGTCTTATACCACTAAACCATGGTGCTGCTATACTGCAACTACTGGTGACTGCATGTGTCACTGTGTCCACCAATATTGGTCAGCTTCCAATGCATGGACAAGTTAGCTTTTTGGTGTATATGTAGCGGCCATAAAATTTCCGATTAGAACCACGGGCCTTCTGATCTGAGGTCGGACGCCTTGTCCACATGACCAAAGAGGCTAGCCCCGTCAGCAAGCTGACAAGGTAAGGATGTAATCTGTGGGATGACTCCACGCCCTGCTACATACTTCCCCGTCAACAGAAGGCACGTCCCAGGCCGCATAGTAGGGTACTGAGGCTTATTATGCTAAAATTTAATATGAAAGTGCTCAGCCCAACGTTGGGCGCCAATGTTGCGGCCATAAAATATCCGAGTCTCGTGATGGGATTCGAACCACGGACCTTCTGATCCGAGGTCGGAAGCCTTGTCCACATAACCAAAGAGGTTAACCCCGTCAGCAAGCTGACAAGGTAAGGATGTCATCTGTGGGACGACTCGATGCCCTGCCACATACACACCAGAGAACACTGACACTTTCTACATACACATGGAGGGGATGCTATACCTGTAGTTGTTCCACCTGATACGGGTGTTCTGGCCACTCCGGGATTTGGATGTTCTTGTTCTCCACACCAGAGAACAGCCTGACCGTCATCTCACTCAGTTCATCCAAGGACTCTGCAAGAACACCATGCAGATATAAATAATAATATACTGATATTAATCTTAATCAAACATCTTTCACTGTAGGTGTGCATACTTTTTCTCATGAAGACACAATAAAAGGAGGTGACTCATTATTCCTGTCAGATGACAGATGACCAGTGTAACGATAGCACATGGATGATGGTAGTACATGGATGATGGTAGTACATGGATGATGATAGTACATGGATGATGGTAGTACATGGATGATGGTAGAATATGGATGATGGTAGTACATGGATGATGGTCGTACATGGCTGATGATAGTACATGGATGATGGTAGTATATGGATGATGATAGTACATGGATAATGATAGTACATGGATTATGGTAGTATATGGATGATGATAGTACATAGATGATGATAGTACATGGATGATGATAGTACATGGATGATGATAGTACATGGATGATGATAGTACATGGATGATGATAGTACATGGATGATGATAGTACATGGATGATGATAGTACATAGATGATGATAGTACATGGATGATGATAGTACATGGATGATGATAGTACATGGATGATGGTAGTATATGGTTGATGGTAGTACATGGATGATGATAGTACATGGATAATGATAGTACATGGATTATGGTAGTATATGGATGATGATAGTACATAGATGATGATAGTACATGGATGATGATAGTACATGGATGATGATAGTACATGGATGATGTACATGGATGATGATAGTACATGGATGATGATAGTACATGGATGATGGTAGTACATGGATGATGATAGTACATGGATGATGATAGCACATGGATGATGATAGTACATGGATGATGATAGTACATGGATGATGATAGTACATAGATGATGATAGTACATGGATGATGTACATGGAAGATGATAGTACATGGATGATGATAGTACATGGATGATGATAGTACATGGATGATGTACATGGATGATGATAGTACATGGATGATGATAGTACATGGATGATGATAGTACATGGATGATGTACATGGATGATGATAGTACATGGATGATGATAGTACATGGATGATGGTAGTACATGGATGATGATAGTACATGGATGATGATAGTACATGGATGATGATAGTACATGGATGATGATAGTACATGGATGATGATAGTATATGGATGATGATAGCACATGGATGATGATAGTACATGGATGATGGTACATCCTCCTCCGCCCTGAAAGTCTCCTGACAGAAGCAGTCACCTTGCCCCACCACACACAGCTGCATGATGTTGGAGGAGTAGAACCTGGCATGGAACTTGAGAAGCTCCGCCCGGACATCGGTGCCGTTCTGCTTCGGGATCACGTCCAGGGTGTCTTTGTTACCTGTATAGAACATCGTATGTTTTAACACTTGACAGGATAAGTCAGCCACTACCATAGACTTCTACAGGAAATGTTGGTTATTTCCCTTACATGGGAGCTTTTCTTTCCTAAATCTGAAAAATGTCTGACCAGGAGAAAACAAAAACAAAACAACTTCAATCAGTTTCCCAAATAACTGGTAAATGGCTGGTAACTTTTCTGTTGGGCTGCATGAAATTTTCCTCCACCTGCCTGAGGTAATTTTCAGACTATTTATGTATTCAGGTTTATTATAACTCCTCGTAGATTCTCAAGTAACTCACTGTGTGCATTATTTCAACTGAATCAAGATGCGATTTGTTTCTTATTTTTAGCGAATGTCTGAATGCGGGCAGGTAATTTTGAAGATGGGCAGGCAACGTTTGTGGGTCACCTGCCCTACTGTCTTGTTGGGTATCAAAATTATTTCAAACACTGACTTCTACACACACCTAACAAATTTGCTTGAAGTAATGGCAGTATACATATATATGATCATGAATATACTTTCATAGCAAAACTCAATATTCAAGCACATCCAAATGCCCATAACATCTCCCCACCTGTGCCGAACCTTCCGTAGGGGTGTTGTGGGTGAGACAACATCCTACCAAGCTGGTACAGTCTCCGAGCATCGTTCTTCACATTCTTGTCATTCTCCGAGTTGACAGCGTTCACCTCTCTCTCCGTCGCAGACTCCGTGAACAGAGGACACAGGAAAAACTGAGCAAATCTGCAGCATTAAATGATACTTGTCAGTTTGTTGTTAAACGCCACACTCAGTATCATTCCTGTAATATGACAGTACCCTGGAAGAAATTGAGGCTTGGCCTGACTATCCAGTCAATGATATAACGAGCACTGATCCATGTCATCAGGGTAGGATGACACGCAATCAACAAAGTCACCAAGCCTGGCCACCCAATTCAGTAAGTTGCCTCTTATGAACAACATACGTTTCAAGGGCTCAAACAATACTTGAAAAGCTGACTAAGAATACCGGTATATTCTTTTAAAGAACTTGGGTACAATGTGTGCAGGTAATTTCTGGTTTCCCTCTGTTTTTCTGGTTACATCATACATAGGAACAAATTCTAAAGCACATTATCATGTACAGTCAAGTCTCGTTAATCCGACACTCATTTATCCGACAATCGGCTTTAGCCGACACAAATGATGGGTCTCGATTTAATCAGTGCTATTTACACCTGTTAATCCGACAGTCTCACACTTCAACTCAGACACACCTTATTAAATTTGCAACGAAATGCTGAAATCACTCATTACTCAGTCTCGTTAGTCCGACACAGTGATCAGCTGGTCGCGAGTACAAAGACCCGTGTTTTGATGCAAGACGAGTCGGCGAGTAGCTGCATATATCAACGGCTGCAGAGATAAACTTGCTTAACAATAAACAATTATTTTTTTAAATACACAAAACAGGATTAATCACATGCCTAGATTACCTCAATCTCATTAAAATCGAATACACATTCTCGCTACCGCTTAAGACATCCCATTACAGGTCACGTCAGAACGACCTTTCGCGAACTTTGACCGACCAATGAAATTACTGACAGGATGTCCAATTTCCGATCACAAACGTTGATACTACCCAATATCGTTTATCCAACATACTCGTTAATCTGACATAATCATATGCAACCAACAATGTCGGATTAACAGGACTTGACTGTACTTCCAGTAACTGCTAACCAGTATTGCTCAGTATTTCAGTAATTCTTATGATTTATGAATTATTAATAAACATCATCAGGTGTTAGTTTCAGTATGTGTTCAAGACATCACTAAGGATGGACAGGGAGCTGGGGAGTCTTCATGTTCCTATAGTGATTACCTTAGGCCTGTGATTTATGTATACATAACTGATAAGCATAGAAATACTCTGTTAAATACACAATGAAGTGAGTGAGTGAGGTTTTACGCCGCTTTAAGCAATATTCCAGCAATATCACGGTGGGGGACACCAGAAATGGGCTTCACACATTGTACCCATGTTGGTAATCGAACCTGGGTCTTCGGCGTGACGAGCGAACGCTTTAACCACTAGGCTACCCGACCGCCCCAAATACACAATGTAAAATGTCACCTGTCCAGTGCTCCGGCAAGATGTTCTGGTCCGACATTGAAGTGATACGTGGTGTGTTCTGTGGAGGTGCTTGCATTGCTGCCACCCCCATGTTCATTCAGGAACTTCATAAAAACATATATGTATCAATACAAGTACTCAAAATTAGTAAAACCATATACAAAATATATGTTGCGTTAATGATAAGTTATAATAATAAATAAGTTCTTCAATATCTACATTCAAAAGCAAAATATGGAGTTTAATATTTTTTTGGTTATTTGTGTTTAAAAACAGGATGTGCATAATATTGTTTCTTCAAATCTGTGGAATACACTATTGAATATGATTAAATAATAATCATTGCTGATAATGAATGTTGCAATACTTACTTTCCCATACTCATTTTCATTGGGGAACTGGGAAAAAACAAAAACACTATTTGATGAAGAATGTTACAACCTTGTTAAGCATGTTAATAGTGTAACCAAAAAGTTTCATCTCACAACAGTAGACTTTTACAGTAAAGTGAGGATACAACCAACTCAGGCAAGTATCATCATCATCATCATCATCATCATCATCATCATTCATAAAATATCAAATAAGGTCCTTATCATGGCTTATATTACATCTTGCTTTATATATTTCACATCATCATCATCATCATCATCATCATTCATAAAATATCAAATAAGGTCCTTATCATGGCTTATATTACATCTTGCTTTATATATTTCACATCATCATTGTCATTATCAGCAGTAGCATTAACATCATCATCGTTATCATGATCATCATCGCCATTGTTGTCATCACCAAGATTTATCCAATACAACACAAATGTTCCATCTTTTATTAGATCTTGTTTCATATATCTTGCATCATCATCATCATCATCATCATCATATCATCTTCAATAATGAACTAATATCAAACAAGGTCTCATCTTACATTAGATTTTGTTTCATTTATGAGTTAACCATGGTGACAAGAGGCACACGTTGCAACACATGAGTCTATGACTGTACCTTCTCTGTCCCCAGGAACAACATGTGTTCACAGAAGTGAGCCAGACCGGGCAGCTCTCCTGGGTCACTCATGTTACCTAGCAACAACAAACAATATGACTTGTCCAAAACGTAACATGATTCTGATCACACAGATTTCAAACTTAGGGTCAATCATATTGCTTTATTTTTACATGATGTTCTAAAAGAAAATACAAAGGAAAACAAATGAAGTCCTTTATATATAGAGCACAAAAAGGAGGAAGCACTTATTGGAGCAGGACGCTTAATTCAGTCATGGTTTTTTGCATGAAGAGGGGGTAAGTTGACATGTATCCTTGTCAGACGCCAGCAATTGTTACTACATATATCATGATATATAGATCAGTATATGCATGGTCACTGTTTGTACTTGCCAATATGGACATCGAGTGCAGCAGCTGATCGGTCAGTGTTAGGGTCACTGACCAGGAATACTGTCATCCCGTTGATCAGTTCTAAACACCGATAAGTGCGGTCATCTGCTGGTGACTTGGTGATGTCATCATTCCTGTAAACCTTCTTCACCAACTCCTGGAAGCCTGTCATCATTCCTCAACACCATACACTTCCTGTAAGAGATGAACAATCCTTATGGATCCCTGGACTCTTTTTAGCAGATTTACCACATACTTTTCGGTCTTAAAGTGGAGGAATGTAGTGTGTACAAGAGTGCAATACTGATGATGTAGTTTACCATTTTTACCAATTTTTCAGGTCAACCAAGTAAAGCAAAACATGATGAAACCAGAAACAAAAGAATGAAATAAAAATATTTTTCATAAACAAGTAAAAAATGACTCTGAAAGCAACTGTTGATTTTTCTTAACACAACAAAATTACAAAACTGCATGTAAAAGAGTAAGTTTCTATGGCTGGACCAGATGTGCCGTAACCCTGCTAGTCATGCCTTTTTGATGCTGGGATGTGATTCAGCTGATAATATCAGTATTATTGTCTGAATCATAAATGAATGTTAAATATAAGATATATTAAAAATAAAAAAATTGTATAATGAATTAAAAAATTTGAATGGTAATATAAGTTAACATAATGTTAGAGGCTTTGGCATCGTAGGATATACATGGGTCAATATTTGTGTATGTACTTTTTGGGTGCAGCTTGTCAGCTACGCATTCTTGTACATGAAAATGCTGAATGTTGCTTACATTAATAATTGGAAGATTTCGCCTATATTGTACATGTTGAACTGCATAATCTCTTGTGTACGACTTAGTTTGTGTTTATGAACATGATCAGTTCATGAATGAATGAAACATTCTCTACATTTGGCTCACGGTTGCATGTAAAAAAGACACCAGTTCTCACAGCTGATCACCCAATGACAGCAATTACGGAACAGCATTTGGCCTATACGATACTTTATCAGCTGTTTATCGGGTCATCGTGATAAAGATTTCGTGCACACATTTAAATAATTGTGCATTCAACCTCAAAGAAATACTAATCATAAGATTATTCAGGCACCTCAATAAACTTTGTAGGTCAGTACTCCAGTCAGTGTTAGTCTGCATGCACATTGAATGTCAGCTGTCAGTTTGTTGCTTTGTCATGGGCGCTGCCATTTTCCAAGGGGTATAACTCTTAATCGTCACTTCCTACGAATGCCGCTAACAACAAAATCTGTGATTTGGGGGTTGTGTTTAAGAGAGGGTGACCAAAAGTCACGTTTTCAGAAAGATCACAGCAACAGTTATACCACAATATTTAAAAGTCATTTTACTATTGAAATACTGGAAATTTATTTCTCTTGTTTTCATCATTTTGTTTTACAATTTTTATTTGGTGATTTCTGCAGACATGTTATTTCAGTTCGTGAAATTTGATCGGCCGACAAACCTGGAGTGAGTGAGTGAGTGAGTGAGTGAGCATGGTTTTACGCCGCTTTTAGCAATATTCCAGCAATATCACGGCGGGGGACACCAGAAATGGGCTTCACACATTGTACCCATGTCGGGAATCGAACCCGGGTCTTCGGCGTGACGAGCGAACGCTTTAACCACTAGGCTACCCGACCGCCCCCGACAAACCTGGACGTGTATTGACATTCATGCAGATATTTGGAAGGTGTCATATCTAGAAAGTGTTGATATTATAGATAATAGTTATTCCTAACGGTACACGATTGTCACTTACATGTCACTTCGTGTTCCTTTACGTCTGTTTATGTCAATGCCATTGTTTTCCTTGGATTGTTAACATATTCAAGAGGTAAATGGACAACTGGAGCCTCGGTCGTTGTGAAACGTATGCAGATTATAATTTTAAAAATTTGGTAATATTAAATATGATGCATGCTGCTCCTTCGTCATTCTTTGCATCTTGAATTGGATACTTTGGTTTTATCCTTCAATGTTGCAAAGACTTGGTGCGGAGAAATCCAAAATGAGGAAAATTTGGATCTAACGAACTAAGTTCAACAACCCCTTTGGTTTCGTTTTAATTGTGTTTTACTGTAGGTAGAATGTCCATCCATCTCTGCCAGACAGCACAGAATGGGTAACATAATATAGTATTACGCCCTATTACCTGCAACGATTTGACAGGCCTGGAAGGCGTGATGTCTGAATCTTGCTGGCCTGGTGTCCGGCTCCAATCCTTGCGTGCGCCGCCGTCGGGATCCTTTGAGCAAAACGATTGTCAAATGAAGGGTATTTTAACATTTTGGACCCCTCCCTTTCTAAAATGCTGGATCCACCCTTGTATTCACATGTTATACAAAGAACAATTTGTATGAAGATTTATGCGTCTTGCGTACGATCCTAGCGTGGCAATTGTGGTCATCTAAACAATTCAAATGCTATGCATGATTATGAACCAGTTTACGACACTATACATATTCAGGTGTGTCATCACTGATTTCCAGTGATCAATTCACATAATTTTCACCGCTCTTTTCCCTTTTACGCTCAATGAAATCTATTTTCGTCTGGCATTGATGTTATATATATTTATCATTGGTTAGTTGGACGTTGGGATGAAATTAAACATGTGCACCCAAGGCAGCGGGATATCCTTTTGCCAGTGGTAGGCTGCCCCGAGCGAGCGACTACAATAAGATGCCTGATGGAACTGGGGGACAATGACTCAATTCACAACTTCCTAGAAAATGTGAGGAACAACAGCAAGGTCACGAGTTTGTTGTCTATACTAAATGTTAGTTTATGTGAAATTTGGTTTGAAATTACTTATTGTTTGAATTCATGACAAGCATGTATTGGCTATCACCCACTTAAATGGAATTATATCTCTGTTGTGATTGGTGGATATGTGCCTTCAACTATCGATAGGTTCCCTGCCTAACTCCAACCTGAAGATAGCGGGTACAAAACAATAAATAATGATTTTTACCAACTGCAACGATTTGTCAATAGTTACGATGTAGAGTTGGGACATAACATCAATACAGGATACATAGCGATTATTCTATAAATATACACATTATGTGCAAAATACCCTTGTTACCCTTGAACAAGCAGGTTTTTGTTTTCCATGGCCACTTTAGTGAGTGAGTGAGTTGGGTTTAATGCTGCTTTTCACAGTATTCCAGATATATCACAGCGTGTCAGCTTAATGTGGGAGGAAAGCCCGAAGTGATGCAGGTCTCAGACGTTTACCACTTTGGTGAAACCCACGAGCATGGGTATGGTGCTGACAAACCTAGAAACAATCAGGACGAATCGTGATTCGAACCCACAATAATAGGTTTCTGGCGTGCCCAAGGGACGCAACTCTGCACAGCGAATTGTGGCGCCTTAGGCAACTGGGCCAGGTGATCGGGTGGCTAGGCTCAGTGACTTGGTTGATAGCGTGTCATCATACCTGACGGCGTGCATGGTTTTTTACAATATGAATCACTGGATTGTGTCATCCAGCTCATTGAGATACCATTGTTTTAACATGAATACCGAACGCAGACACACTATACTGACTCCGAGCCGACCAGTCCCTGTTTTTTAGCCCCTTAATGCCGAGCGCCAGGCTGGGTAACAAGTACATCTTTTAACATGTTTTGGTATGATGCGGCAGGGATCAAACCCCGGAACCGGGCGCTCTACCACTAGACCACGGAGGCGGTCAAACAGACGCTGAAAATGTCATTACATATAAGAGTCATCAAGTCCGATCTTGTTACAAAGCATAAAATATAAAACATAAGATGTGTACTTGGGATTCATCAAAGTGCCTGCACAGGTCGCCCACTCGTCTAAGGCGCCGCAATTCACTGTGTAGAGTTGCGTCCCTTAGGCACACCAGAAACCTATGATTGTGGGTTGAATCCTGGTTCGCCCCAATTATGTTTCTAGGTTTGTCAGCACCATACCCGTGCTCGTAGGTTTCACCTAAGTGGTAAATGTCTGAGACCTGCATCACTTCGGGCTTTCCTCCCACATTAAGCTGACACGTGGTGATATAACTGGAATACTGTTCAAAGTGGCGTTAAACCCGACCCACTTACTCACTGAAAGTGCCTGGACAGTTGAGTTGAGATACAACACGTTCATATCTTCATACATCCCACATTATTATCTCACAGTTCATCGTACTGAAAAGCAAACACAACCTATAAAGAGATAACGTTTTTTCTCTGAAATCTCTATCAGGTTTGGTCCGTGATTTTTTTACTTGGTCCAGGCTGTCGAAATCAGTAAACAGTCACAGTTAAATAGGATTAGATAATGTGTTATACTATTATATCTCCCCAAATGCCACTTTCTATCACAGTTAATCATATATAATGCATGCAGGTTAAAGCAAAGCCTTTTTCTCCTCAATACTCTCAACATATTGTCTGTCTGTGTCTATCAGAAGTGTTCGGTCAGATTTGGTTTTGGTGGTCAATATCAACCGAACAATGAATACATAACTGTGTAGACTTTTCAAAAATAAAATGGATGATAAATATACAGAAATTGTTGAAAGGACTGGGTAAGATGTGACTCAACCTACATGTATTAGTCTCAAGTTAAAAATATAAACCTGCCGTCACTTCAGGCTCTAGTATTGTCGGCATCTTGCTCATAGTACCCATCCGAGGTACTACTTTGATGTAAGACCTGAGAGGTTTTACATTTAAAGTATATAAAGAGACTTTTAATATGCTTCTAGTGTTCATTTTATTTTACTTGTTAAAAGTCACATGATCTCACAATTGGGATGCGATGACATGCATCAACCAATTCAGCGAGCCTGACTACCCGATCCCGTTTGTTACCTGTTACGGCAAGCACAGTCACCTGTTACGGCAAGCACAGTCACCTGTTACGGCAAGCATAGTCACCTGTTACGACAAGCATAGTCACCTGTTACGGCAAGCACAGTCATCTGTTACGACAAGCATAGTCACCTGTTACGGCAAGCATAGTCACCTGTTATGACAAGCATAGTCGCCTGTTACGGCAAGCATAGTCACCTGTTACCGCAAGCATAGTCACCTGTTACCGCAAGCATGGGTTGCTGAAGATGTATTCTAACCCAGATCTTCACAGGGCCTTGCACTGACAGTCAGTTCAAACACTCCCAGAAAATGGTTGAAAATTTAAAGCCTTTTTTTTCACTATAACATAATTGCCAGACTGTCAAGACAAGGCGAAGTCTTACTATACAGGATTACACACTAGATACACACTAGATACATACTAGATACACACTAGATACACACTGTAACCAATGCATGACAAGAACAAAACAGAAATCATCATATCATTTATTTGTGAATTTGTACAATTGTCTCATTTTTTCATATTTTTGTTACACAGTCAAGTATTATTATATCACATATGGTTGCACCGTGGTCTGCATATTGTGTATTTTGATTACCTAGCTATTGGAGTGTGTATATACCACTACACATAAAAGACAGGTAAATCAATACCTTCACAAAATAAACAGATTCTTAAACAAAATAGACTAATTTGCTTTAACATACATACATACATTAATCTACAAAATAGCATTATTACCAGTCATCCACATGTATATTTTCATAAATAGAACAAAATGTTGAATCAAAAAGACTCTCCTTTTTAATTTCATACATTAATGATACATTCCAAGGTCACATGTCTAGAAGAGTATCTATCCCAGAAAAGGTAGATTTGAAAAAAGACGTTAATTACCCCACTGTAAAGTTAAGGGTATCTAAAACTTCTTGCAAATGCTAATACAATTATTGGGCAAAGATTGTAACATTTGTGCAATAATATAGCAAAAATTGTTACACTAGTACAACAATATTGCATACACTAGTGCAATGATATTGCAAATATTGTAATGCTAGTGCAATGATATAGCAAATATTGTAATGCTAGTGCAATGATATCGCCAAGGAAGTGATACAAGTGCAATGATGTATATTCACTAACCATAGCTCTCAAATGTAACTACTGATAGCTTCATGTAACATAAATGTCATTTATCAATGGTTAATCTAAATAGATTGCTTTCTGTATAAGACCTTTACGTATCAGAAATGGATATTTCAGTCACTGTTTTTTATAAATGCATTATTATTAACAACTATGAAAAGCAAATTTTGAGGGTTAAAATGATTTTCAAATATTTGTAATGTCTCACAAACAGAAAAACTTTTAATATCAGTGTTAGAATATTCAGTATATTGGCAACAATAAACGGAGTATCACCAGAGATGTTTATCAGAAAGTAAACAAGCAAAAACAATGTACAATATGTCAAGCAATCCTAAATTGGTTCTTTGAACTAGAAAAAGACAAACTTTTAATATCAATGTTAGAATATTCAGTATATTGGCAACCATAAACGGAGTATCACCAGAGATGTTTATCAGAAAGTAAACAAGCAAAAACAATATACAATATGTCAAGCAATCCTAAATTGGTTCTTTGAACTAGAAAAAGACAAACTTTTAATATCAATGTTAGAATATTCAGTATATTGGCAACCATAAACGGAGTATCACCAGAGATGTTTATCAGAAAGTAAACAAGCAAAAACAATATACAATATGTCAAGCAATCCTAAATTGGTTCTTTGAACTAGAAAAAGACAAACTTTTAATATCAGTGTTAGAATATTCAGTATATTGGCAACCATAAACGGAGTATCATCAGAGATGTTTATCAGAAAGTAAACAAGATTAATCATTGTACAATATGTCAAGCAATCCTAAATTCTTTGAACTAAAAAAGGAAACATTTAAGTCACAGTTGGTATTGTTGTTCAGTAAGTCAATCGGTTGTAATAACTTCTGTATCTAAAAAATATACAATAAATATTTCTTAAAAAACAAAATAAAATTAATATCACAGACAAGAGGTTAACAAATGTAAACACACAAGACAAAATGCTAATCAACCAACTGACCAAGACCAGGCCATTCACAACATTCTCACTGAAGGTGTTTATTGTCATAAATGCTATTGGTCAACAAGAATAAAAAGTGAGCTCTTCTGTAAGCAAAACCCAAACCCTGAGAAGCTGTTACTATTTCTACAGTGAACATAAACACAAAAAACTGACAACACGATGTCTTTGTCAGTACATTGTTAATACAATAACATGCAATAAAACATTTCGCTTAACTGATTGTGTTTAGGAGATTTGAAGGGAGGAGTTTGTCATGATACCATATTCGACATAATATATAAGCACCCCGCTCTAATAAGCGCCCACGGTGATATTTGCTAATATATTGGCTGGTGAACAATCCGAATTGGCACCTCTTCCGATTGATCAATGTACACAAGACTTATTTATTCGTGTATAATACACACTTGTGTGTTGTATGCACCAAGAATTACAGGCAATTCAATTCTGGAAAAATATGTTTGTCGTGTATAATATGCACAGACTTTTCTTTTGTATCATTCAGGCTGTCAGCATAAACCACGAAATATACGATCTTTCATACTGTTTTTTTTCCACCCAAATTCTAATAAGAGCCCCCTATTTCTAACTTTAATAGCGCCCTGGGCGCTTATTACGTCGAATACGGTAATTTACTTATTACCTAAGAGACAAGTCATGTGTAATTATTGAATTTCTTTTACATGTATTTGGGGGGAAGGCGTGAAAAAATGTTGCAACAAAATGGAGGTTGTCAGCAAAATATGATACTGTTAAGACCAACAATTTACAGAATCATTGTTATGGGGAAATGTCCAGTTCAATGTAGATGTTCCTCACAGCAATCATCCAGGGTTTCCAGATTAACAGTGTCCCTTCTGAAGGGGTTTCACTGTACATGGTGACACTGTCCTAGGCTATTACAATATATCAACTACAGTATTACCCTGCTATCACAGCTGTGTCATGGATGGATTCATATGAGGTATGCATGGACGGTCATGGACGGTCATGGACAGACATAGGTATAAATATTGACAAAAAATAACCATGTTTGAAAAATCTTATCAACACTGGTAAGAAAATAATGGAATGCTGCATTTCACTTGGAGGGAATCACGTTTGAGATATGTATGGACGAAGAGAATTGTTCATAAACAGTAAAACCCAGATCGTGATTTCTGTTTCCTGTAAGAGGTATCCTATTTCTCTACTTTAAGCAACAACGTAGTAAAACCAAGTACGAAAAAATGTAAACCTTCCAATTGCGATACAACTGATGCAAAAAGCGAGCTGTCGTATCAGTTACCCAAACAAAAATATATACAGGGATATATAAATCCACATAAATGTCATCAACATTATCAATATTGACATGACAGAAACCGGTCAGTATGTAGCTAAAGGCATTACCCCACTGAACAAGCCTTGTTAGAGCATGTTACATATTATGCAGGTCATAGTAAATATCACTGATACTTGATCACCAGGCCAACCTGGTTTATTAACCGGAATTATTCAGATTCAGATGGATGCAGTCAGAGTAGCTTAGTGGTCCATGTGTTTGTCACACTATAGGCCCAGGTTTGATTCCAACATGGGTACAATGTGTGCTGCCCTTTCAGATGTCTCCTGCTGTGGTATTGGTGGAGTAATGCTTAGTTTGTTTGTTTGTTGTCTATTGCCGCACTCTGCAATATTCCAGCTATATGACAGCGGTCTGTAAATAATCAAGTCTGGACCAGACAATCCAGTGATTGACATCATGAGCATCGAACCACGCAATTGGTGTCAATGACATGCATCAACCAAGTCAGCGAGTCTGGCCACCCGATCCTGTCTGTCGCCTCTCACAACAAGCATAGACGAATCTTACAGCAAGCACGGATCACTGAAGACCTAGTCAAAACTGTTGCAAATTCCAATGACACTGGTGGTAATGCTCTAAAAATATATAGCGTTTATAGAAACCAACAACTCCATTTAAGTTGAAAAGGAGCCCCAGTGAGATGGTAGATTCAGAGGAAAATCTAGACTTGCTTCATTTAGGGCGTTTGCATTAAAGCAAGGTCTGGATGGAAAAGAAAATAATAAGGTTCAGGGACTGTGAGACAGTCTAACACTGGTGGCATTGGTGACCTTATGTGAGCAATATTTCAACACATTTCAATTTCATACCTTGCACCCATGTAGAGATTCAAACCTAAGCCTTCAGAATTACAGGTGAACACCTTAACCACAAGGCTACCCTACCTCCATTGGTTGAACAGAAGTTACCATGGTTACTAGGTATGTCTGTCTTGGACAAAAATGGCGGAAGTAATGTCCTTCCCCAACTGCAGTCCAATCTGAATACATCAGTAATCCAGTTGATGACGACAGGTTGGCCATATTATGCTGGCATTAGTGTAAATCTGGAAAGTTTTGCGAGAAGGAAAGAACTGTGAAAACTGCAAGCAACACACACTCCCAACATTTTCATGACACAGTCATTTTCATCCTGTTTCCTTATTACCCATTGTCAGTCGTCTAATCAGGATTGTTCACTCACCTGCCACACCTGCCACACCTCGTCAGTAGTAGTCCAGACATACGCCAGCCAGTCTATACTGTGAGATTAACACACCACTCCAACCTTCCCTGTCAACTCTAACACATGCATCGATAGTTTAAAAATCGCTGACTGACACTGAGTTACCCTTTCGTCACGCCGACTTCCTCCTCATAGAAAAAACATGAGCAAAAGCAGCTTTGATCATTGGTTATCCCATCAAGAGAGTGTCGCAAAACTTTCCAGGCACAGTTAAGACTATTGTTAGCCACTTGCAAAAAATTCAAGGCGCAAAACTTTCCAGATTTACAGTTCTTCATAATTACAACACATGTAAACATAAACAAAGGTCAACTTGCACTGATATGCTGCCATATGTAAAGGCAACAGTAGAACAAATACACCAGCAGTGTATTCATTTGTAGGCATTCTGTGTTAATCACAAAATGTGCATGAAATTTAAAAATATTAACATTATAAAAACACACACAAAAAAACAGCAGTAAGTTTGGACAATTACCCTCTCATGTCATCATAATTTACATGTCAAGCTTATATACAAGTCATTCCTGTATTCACTGATACAACAGCTTCTAAATACCCCTTTAAAACACTTATATACAAGTCATTCCTGTATTCACTGATACAACAGCTTCTAAATACCCCTTTGAAACACTTATATACAAGTCATTCCTGATACCCCTTTAAAACACTTATATAAAAGTCATTCCTGTATTCACTGATACAACAGCTTCTAAATGCCCCTTTAAAACACTTATATACAAGTATACATACATTGAATATTCTACCAATACGAACATGGATCATACAAAAACCAACACAACAAAATTAACGAACCAAAATATGAAGGAAAAATCTTCAAAAGAAGTAAAGTTGATTAGATTCTTGAAATGACGATCACTTAAACTTAAATGAAAGTATTATGTATGTTTTTAGATTTATCAGTTGGATAACAAAAAGAAAATTAAGTTTAAAGTTCAAGGCCAGATTCTATGTGACTGTTTAAAGTTTTCACATTTTGCAAGAGGAATGGTTTTATCCACAAGCAAATTAAGTGTTGGTTTATTTACTGTGTTCGTATTGATAGAACTTGTATGATTGTCAAGTGTTTGAAACACTCTTAATGAATGATCAAAACAATAAATACAATTGTCATTACAATACAATACATTGTGAATACAATACAATACAATACAGAATACAAAGTCATGTATATTCTCACAACACTTAGCATTACCACCAACAGGGTCACTGTATAACTCTTTATTATCCCATTTTCAGTAATATCTTCAAATTTATTGATTACCGTATTCGACGTAATAAGCGCCCAGGGCGCTCTCAAAATTACAAATAGGGGCTCTTATTAGAATATTATTTTGGTGGAAAAAACAGAGTTGAAAGATCAATTTCGTGGTTTCTGCTGACAGCCTGAAATGTTTATGTACGACAGATATATTTTTCCAGAATTTAATTGCCCATAATTAAGGGTGCATATAACACACGATTGCGTATTATACGCAAATATAAAAGTCTTGTGTACATTGATCAATCGGAAGGGGTGCTAATTGGGATTGTTCACTAGCTAATATGTTAGCAGTTATCGCCATGGGCGCTCATAGAGCGGGGCGCTTATTACGTCGAATACGGTATATCAATCTGTATTATTGATCATATAATATGATGATATAAAAATAGTGTCATGGCACTGTAGCTCACCTGGATATACAGTCATCGGTTTACAATGTCAACACTTTAAAATAGACAGCCACTGAAAAAAGGTTGCTAGAATTGATGATATTTAAAAAGTTTTTTTTAATAAATACCAATTACTGACACTAAAATATAACAAAGTGAACAAAATAGAACGTCATCATGAGGAAAAATACCCATGCTCTGCACGTTTGGCACTTTCAGAGAAGTTTACAGAGGCAAATATGCATTTTGAGAGAATTTAAGAGCATGAGAGTTTAGGAGTGTGGTCTTGTGGTTAATGGAAGGTCAAAGATCTCACAAATCAGAACATGTGTGTTGAGCCCCACTCAACTACACAAATACAAAATATCCTTACAATATGAAACAAAATCTTTCAGTCTGGTCATAGTGCAAAGGTCAAATCAAGGTCAAACTTGAGGTCAAGACAGAATATATTAAGCACCAGTACTAATTACACATGTACCAAAATTCTTTACACTTTGAACAAAACTTGCTGAGTAATTGACATAAACTACTTGTTCAATATCAATGCTGCGTGGGCATATTGAAAATCATTCGCACTTCCTTAAATAATTTGGGTGTCTTTTTTTGTGGTAAAAATGAATGTGAAGCTTCACTGGCTCAGCGGTTTTCTGCGGAGAAGATGTGGAGAGGTAATGCAAATTGAGAGAGTTTAGGAGCATGGGTAAAGTGCAAAGGTAATATAAAGGTCAAAATCAAAATCATAGCAAACAGAACATATATGTGTTGAGTCGCACTACTAACTACACAAATACCATATTTCATTACATTTTGAAACAAAATGGCTGAGAAATTTCCATGAGGAGCTTCATCTTCAAGATAAAAGGTCAAACCAAGGAACAAATTAGTTTAGAAGTTATAATATCGCAAAAAACAACATAATATATATGAACAGCCAACAACTAACACCACATGTACCAAAGTTTATTTCATTTGAGTAAAATCTTGCCATTACTTGACTTGCAATGTCATTAAATAGCTTTTATATATTATATGGCTACCACGCCTGCCATATTCAAAATTGGATTTAAAAATTTTAAACAAATTTTGGGAATTATGTTTGTGAAGTTTCATTGGTCTAGTGGCTTTTAATGAGAAGATGTTTATGACGAACAAACAGAACCCAACATACACTCACATGACCTTCAGTCAGGTGAGCTAAGACTCACAAGTGAAAATGACTTCAGCTTCGTGTGTAAATACTGGGCAAAAATAAACCTTACTTGTATATTGGACAAAATATTCTAAAATAGGAAACATCTTCCCTGTAGTCAGGGCTCAAGGTAAAACTGGTTCGTAAGACTATCTATGGCAGGAGTTTATGCAATACAAGCATCTTGCTGGACGGGTTTCTCTGCATCTTATGCCTAGGAATATCATGTGGACATCATTTTAAGAATTATGCATATCCAGCTGTGCTTAATATCATAATGGCCCTTATCAAAATCCAAAGTCGGAGAAAGTGCCACTGGATTTTCATGACAAAGGAGCATATTCACAAAGCTTAGAGATCATGTAAAACTGACTCATCTCATCATACTTGATGCTACAATTACCAATATATTACATATTAGGGCTGGGACGAGTCCAAATTTCCTACCCGTGGACCCGACCTCATATTTCCCTACACTGATACCCACCTGTAGGTCTCAAGATTTGGATACAAAATGTCCAATTGAGAATTGTTTTACCAGGGCCCTGGCAAAATCGATCTAGATACACATATTAAGCAATCTGGTCATGCACACACTGAAGCTTCATCCCAAATTCAATTACCCAAGCTGTTCAGAAAGAAGGGACAAGAATGTTATATTATCAACAAAGATAGGATATATATATATATATGTATGTATGTATGTATGTATGTATGTATGTATGTATGTATGTATGTATGTATGTATGTATGTATGTATGTATGTATGTATGTATGTATGTATGCATGCATGCATGCATGTATGTAATGTATGTATGTATTGGCACCAATATCAGGTAGCATACATGGCACTCTCACCAGTTCAGTGACACAGTAATACACTCTTTCAGACATATAGGAACATTATTAAACAACAACAATTGGCATTAGGACAAAATTCAATCTACAGTCTACCTACTTGGTCAGAAAACCCATATGAGACGTCATTGTTTTTCAGCCCAAACTTCTATTTCTAAAAGTCATTTCAGCCTAAACTGCCTTGCAAATGGATCATGCATCATTTGCAACTTTTGCCTTATAATCAGATCAGGAGATTTCTAACACTGTAGTCCAAATTTAAAGGATCTCGTTTACTGTGTGAATGTGACTTCTAAGTTTGTCACATCATTGAAAATCTTATCCAACAAAAAATGACATCATTTCAACAATTCTCATCACAGCATCATATCTACCTATACTTATTCCTCGAATAGCTGTGATCTTGTGATGCGCTAGATCTCTCCAGTTCCATCAACCGTTCCTCCAGATCAGAAATACGCTTTCTTTCCTGTCTCCTTGCACGTCTGTTCGCTAGCAATCGAGAGCTTTGGGCTGATTTGGAAACATTCTCATCATCAGAGAAATCAGGGGACTGCAGTTCTCGGGGAATCTCCTTAGTTTGAATGTTCAGAGGATTCAGACTTCTTGGCGTCTGCTTCCCATATATATCGTCCTCTGACTCACTCCAGGGTAGTGCCTCTGATCTGGATTTCAAGAAACTTTGTCGTGGGGAGAGTGGAATTAATCCTTGTGGCACCGAAGGCAGTGGATGCCCCCTGGTCGGGGAGCTGTCGCTGTCCATATGTTTGAAGGAGTACTCCGGTTTACGATCATAATCCGCAAGGTTGATGTTCAGCTCCTTGTCCTCGTCATCTTCAAACCTGTCTCTCTTCTTCTTCTTCTTCTCCTTCTTGGACTCCCTCTTAGGTTCCTTCTTTGCCTTCTTCTTCTTGTGTTTCTTCTTTACTTCATCCATTACAACATCCTAGAAGAAGAAGTTGAAGAAATTAGAACACAATGCTTAAACAATCTTTTGATCAGTGTCGCAAACTGGAAAGGTGTTGCATTTACCAAAACCGCATCTTCCCGAAGCAAGGGGGTTAAGTGACTTTGAAAGTCCAGTTTCCACCCTTGCCAAACTAGGCTGTAACTCCTGGGCCTGACCGTAGCGCCACCAGTGATTATTATGAGTCATGTCCCTTCTGAGCCTCTCCTATGGACCAATTAGATTCCACCTCTCATATCATTTGTATCAAACAAAGTGGCGGCGCCCAGTCAAGACGATCTTATCGATAATCAAGTCCTATAGTGTCATAAAATGGGTCTTACATCGCGAAGAACATCAAATTGCGTGAGCACCTTGATTAAAAACATGAAAAGATTTGGAAAATATTTGTTGACAACGAGTTGGCGGTGTACATGCTTTGCCAATCCTGCAATCGACCGAAATCTACAAGACAGTTTACTGACCGGATTTTGTTTAGATTGGACTATGCATCGATTCTTTAGTTCAGCCAAAATTGAACTCCATAATACCAGCCTAGTTTCGGCATGGGTGGAAACTGGACTTTTATAGTCAGTTAACTCACTTGCCTCGGGAAGATGCAAAAAAAGAAGCAGACCCACACACCCTTTTCAAGATGCCTGAAACTTGTCAACCTAACAGATATATCCTAAACCATTTGGACATCACCAAATCAGGTGATAGATGACCACATCAATATCTAGCTATATTATACTTTAATCCTTTATGTTGTCCAATGCAATACAACTTTGAAACAGAAAGTCGCATGTCTCTCACTACCTTGATAAGCAACTGCTTCATATTACTAAGATACTGTCTAAATATAAACCATCCGACTTGAAAGCCTTACGTCTGCATAAGTCAACAGTTATTTTACAAGGTAGTAGACTCTGTGACAGAGTCCACCCATCTGCAATAGTATACATTCTACCATGACATTTAAAGATGATATAATTTGATTGGTTAAATTTACTAAATTTGAAGTAGTCAATGAGAGTTTGTTCTGTTTGGTTGTGGGGCGGTCGGGGAGCATAGTGGTTAAAGCGTTCGATCGTCACGCCGAAGACCCGGGTTCGATTCCCGACATGGGTACAATGTGTGAAGCCCATTTCTGGTGTCCCCCGCCGTGATATTGCTGGAATATTGCTAAAAGCGGCGTTAAACCATACACAGTCAGTCTGTTTGGTTGCTGTTTCACACTGCACTCAGCAATATTCCAGCTATATGATGGAGGTCTGTAAATCTGGACCAGACAATCCAATAGTTGACATCATCACCATCTCAACACGCCTGACCACCCGACCCGTTTGTCATCTCTACGACAAACATGGGTTGCCGAGTACCCCTTCTAATCCAGATCATCACGGGTTAGTTAATGAGAGATGACTGCATCACTGCACTGAACATGTGTGCAAGAGATAGATTCTGTTTTAAGAAACACATATAACTCGAGGTAAAAGAATGGAGATAAACTTTTTCTGTTTTAAATTATGAGGTGGTTCATCGTTGATTAAACACTGCTAAATGTTACATTTAAATCTCACGCTAACATTTTAAATGACGATAAGTGGTGTTTTATCAACGATCAACCACCTCAAAATTTTAGTGAATGAGTATGGTTTTACGCCGCTTTTAGCAATATTCCTGCAATATCATGGCGGGGGACACCAGAAATGGGCTTCACTCATTGTACCCATGTTGGGAATCGAACCTTGATGAGCTAACGCTTTAACCACCAGGCTACCCGACCGCCCCTTAAAACTGGAAACAGAATAGGTTGACCTCCTCAATAAAAACTAATTCGCTAATTGTTCTTTTGTTCAGTTTGAACAGTAAATAAGTGAAAACAAGTAAAGTTACAGTCCCTTAAAAAACAATAAAATATCAGACATTAGGAATCTAATGCAAAGTTTGGACATCCTCCAGATTGGTTTCATGGCATCATCAACAAGAATAAATGTGTATTTAACTTCTGGCGATGTGAGCTTCACTCTCACAAACTGGACAAAATCTACCCATGCTACCCCAGGCAGGAATGAATGAAGAGTTGCCATGGTAAAAGGTGTGGATTGAATGCTTTTGTGGAATGCTTTGGCAATACATGCAGAGTGAATCTATCCATGCTAACTGGTTAGAATGTTCTACATTCTCAATCCAAATATGTTCACATCTTTAAAAAAAGCTTACATTACAAATTCTTTACCATGTTTACTATTTTCATTACAAGGTAACCTGTAACTTTCCAAAATCACAAACAAGAATGCATAATATTAATGAAAATTTGTACATAATTAATAGAAAATTAATAACACATATTTTGTCATTTCTTTCCTTGTTGATAATATTGTAATCTTGAACCATCAGAAGGAAAGTGAATTCCGGTGAAATAATAATGACATTTTGTAAGGATAGGGATTGGATATATAGAAGTTCCATTATCATGGTTAAGGATATGAAAGACGATATTGAAAGTTGTCATATACAAGGAGGGAGAATGTGAATAATCTAAAAACCGTTGTTAGTAGTTTCTTCATGCACCACAGAAATGTTCGCCATTTTCATGGATGTAAAAAATGTTTCAAATTTCGATAATTTTGCTTTTTCATTTTTCATTAAGGGACTGGTCATTTATTATAGGCATAGGGGGCCAGTGATAAAAAGCAAATAAATAACAATTGAACATTTTTTAGGGACTGGTCATTTATTAGAGGGGGTCGGTAAAACATAATACAGTCCTATCAATCCTCCCCCTACCCTCTAAAATAAATGACCAGTCCCTAAATGAAAAGCAAAATTATCAAAATTTGAAACATTTTGAAACTATAATAATCAAATATAATGTATTATTTAACATGTTTAAGAACATAATTCATTCTGTTATCTGTGATCGTGACACATTTCATAAACAATTATCAGACAAACAAAAATGTGATGATCACCTTTTTCCTTGATGTTTCCCCCTGAAATTAATATCATAATGATTGGAGACAATGGAATATAGCTTTCATTAAACGAGTAGTTTGTAATTTTTATTAACAAGTGTATCGTCTTGTATCAATACAGAGAAAAAACATATTGTGTATTGCATTGTCGCATGAAAACTCAAGGTGCACCCATGTATCGCTTCACCCTTGCTATTGCTGCCACCAGTCAAAGCTCCTCACTGTGCCAGGTGGCCTACAACCATGCATGGAGTTGAGAGCTCGCAACAAGTGATACCGAATAGTCTTCCCCAAGCTAAGTTGTTTTCTTTTATTTGTCAATCTGAATTTCTATTCCATGTCAATTAGCATGTAATTAGCATAGTGACAATGTACGGGGGAAGTGGGGGTGGTTTTCCATTAGTCTGCAATCTCAAACCAATCTGACTAAACAATCAACAAATGTAAATTCATCTGGAAAATAGTAAGTAATCATAAACATTTCACCAATTCACCAAAATGACATTCCCAAAGACATACACCCAAAATATATATTAGGGGTTTGAGGGAATATTTGTTGACATGGCTGCTTGCCTACGAGCTGTAGGAATGATGCTGGAGGGTGACGAATGTGTCACGTGCCAGGGAGGAGCTTGTTTGAATGTTTAGAAAGGGAGACAACTACACAGACAGGTCGATGGTGATCTCAGGAATATTCTTCTTCTTTGAGGCTCAGTGAGTGAATGAATGTCGTGCTGCAGTCAGTAATGTACCAGCTATTCACACACCATGTAAATACTTAAGTCTTGGTCAGGCAAACCAATTGTTGACAGCAACAATCCCACAAACAGAAACTCGCCCAAACTGATGATCACAGCGCTACGACTTCAAAAGTCTAGGAGTTACGATCATCTTAGCACTAAGATCGCTTTGCGTACAGGACCGTGATCTTTTGAAACCATCTCTTATGACAAGCATTGGGTACTGGGGACAAATTCCACCCCTGATCCCACCACAGGGTACTTCAGTGTGTCTTGAATCAGTTACGTTCTAAGTAGGGCTGTAACAATTCACCGATTCCTACGATATCACGGATACTTAGGTACACATGATACGTGAATCGTCAGTTTGTCAGATCACGATACTCTATAAATAGAACAGAAACAAACTGAGTTACCTCCCGTAATGGCAGAAGTAGCATAGCGCCACCAGTAAGCATGGCAGAGTACGAGAACGTGGAGGATGAGGAGGCCCCGACTAACTGTTACAGTTAATTAGCATCCCTTAATTTCAAACTGTTTTGTTCTTGTAGTTTCCTTTGTTAAAGTTTTTGAGATAACAATAAATAATAGGTGTATGAAGAAAGAGGTCATAGAGCTGTATTTCAGTGATTTCCTCATTTCTTACTATTTGATGTCGTGTATCGTGATACCAGTCAGTTCATATCGTTATACAAATCATATCGCAAGATACTCAGCTCAAGTTTTAAGAGACCACACCAAAACACACATTGCCAGAGAATCATTAAATGTACAACAACCACCTCTAACTTATGTTTGTTATAAAGGTCTTCTGGTGCCTCTGCACGTTATACAAATCATATCGCAAGATACAAGGCGATACTCAGCTCTAGTCTTAAGAGACCACACCAACACAAACATTGCCAGAGAATATTTAAATGTACAACACCCACCTCCAACTTATGTTTGTTGTAAAGGTCTTCCGGTGCCTCTGCGAAAAGGTTGTCAATGTTCAGCCCTTCCTGTAGCCTCTGCTCCTCGTCACGCAGCTTCAGGACACTCTTAATGGACGGCCATCTTGATGTTTTCTTCTCAGGCTTCTGTTCCTTCACAGGCAGGGGCAAAGTCTGCGTTTGTCCAAGCATTGTAGTTTCTGTGCCGAAGCCGTGTTGTTCTGCTATGAGTTCATCCTCGATCAACTTGGTCAATTCATCAACTCTGAAGAAACAATAATTTGTATAACTTCAAAAAAAGTCATTCAGACAGTTTTGTCGTTCTGTCATTACTATGCTAATAGAATGACAGTCATTGTTTAAGAAAGCATTTATCAGTTTACAAACAATGAGTTTTGTTTGATGAGGAAAACACTTTGTATCTTCATTTATAAAATCGAGGAAAAGATTTCATGGAGAGATTTGGGCTAAAAAAATAATAGTCTTGGTTCTCAGGCACCGCCTGCACCATCATAAAGTGTGCCACACTTTTCGTTTTTATTTCCATTTTAAAATACAAAACACAAAATCCTTAAATATTCCAGGTCCAACAGTAATCCAAAACTGTATTCCAGTATTTTACTCATCAAGGAATACATTTATGTAGGGAGGCCCTTTCCTAGGTTGATTGTACACAACTGTTTATTTGGTTGCATACCAGTTTGAACATCGCACCCCCTCAGACATTAGCCAGCTACACAATATGGACCATTTAGGAGACACCCAAGAGTATAGCTATGATTGCAGTCAGAAATTAGCCACCACACAATAGCATCCAGGATATCATAACAGGCAAACAGACAATTCACAGGCAAACCATTCCTATGTGGAAGCCTATTCTGTGCTGGAATCCTCCAAGGGCTGGATGACACCACTCAGGGACTACTCACCTCTTCTGCAGGTTCTTCACCTTGGTCTCCAGGCTGTTGGACTGACTGGCCTTCTCATGGCGGAGGTAGTTGGCCATCATCTCCTTCTCAAACAGCTGCAGGTACGCCAGATGCCGCTGCAGGTACTGCTGGGCTGGAACACAAAGAGATCCTCACAGGGTTTTACCTTGACCCTCAAAACTAGGGGTCCAGTGGACACCCAATTATTCATTTCAATGGTCCTTAAAATATGAGGATCCTGTAAAGTAATGAAACGGTGTACTCTACTGTACTGTACTGTACTAAGATTTAAAACTTACTTGAATTAAATTGGGGCAGTCGGGTAGCCTTGTGGTTAAAGCGTTTGATCGTCACGCCGAACACCTGGGTTTGATTCCCAACATGGGTACAATGTGTGAAGCCCATTTCTGGTGTCCCCCGCTGTGATATTGCTGGAATATTGCTAAAAGCGTCGTAAAACCATACTCACTCACACTTGAATTACAGGACCTTCATATTTTTTCAAGTCATTCACCTGATGAAGGAGCAATCATATACTCCGAAACATTGTGTTCCTCATAATAAAGAAGTTAACATCCATTAATTCTCTTCCTTTATATTTCTTGTCAAGATTTCGGTACAATGACTATTATTGTGTGTCCCACTGGATGCAATACTTTTCTTTCTGCTTCCATTCTACACATTTGTGTGTACTGGATGCACATTCATGCGTCATGTAAAACCCTGTCCCAAGATAATCATTCTGTCCATCACATGGTCAAGATTTCCATTCATGAGTTACAGTGTCCAAAGAGACATAAATTGTGTCTACTTTGTCATGAAAGAGACGCCATGTCAGTTAAAAGTTGTAGTAACAACTAAAGAATTGCCATGTCCATTACAGAATTGTTCATACAAGACTTGTCATGTCCATTAAGTAGTGTGCATTAAAAAGTCTCTTTGGCCATTAGAGTGTGCCAAATCCACACAGAGTCACACTGTCCGTTAAAGAGTCACAGCGTCCAATTAAGAGTTGCCATATCCACATACAGTCACACTGTCCGTTAAAGAAACACAGCGTCAAATTAAGAGTTGCCAAATCCACAAAGAGTCACACTGTCCGTTAAAGAGTCACAGCGTCCAATTAAGAGTTGCCATATCCACACACAGTCACACTGTCCGTTAAAGAGTCACAGCATCCAATTAAGAGTTGCCAAATCCACACACAGTCACACTGTCCGTTAAAGAGTCACAGCATCCAATTAAGAGTTGCCATATCCACACACAGTCACACTGTCCATTAAAGAGTCACAGCGTCCAATTAACAGTTGCCATATCCACACAGAGTCACACTGGCCATTAAAGAAACACAGCATCCAATTAAGAGTTGCCAAATCCACACACAGTCACACTGTCCGTTAAAGAGTCACAGCATCCAATTAAGAGTTGCCATATCCACACACAGTCACACTGTCCATTAAAGAGTCACAGCGTCCAATTAACAGTTGCCATATCCACACAGAGTCACACTGTCCATTAAAGAAACACAGCATCCAATTAAGAGTTGCCATATCCACATACAGTCACACTGTCCGTTAAAGAAACACAGCGTCCAATTAAGAGTTGCCAAATCCACATAGAGTCACACTGTCCATTAAAGAGTCACAGCGTCCAATTAAGAGTTGCCATATCCACACACAGTCACATTGTCCGTTAAAGAGTAACAGCGTCCAATTAACAGTTGCCATATCCACATAGTCACACTGTCCATTAATGAGTCACAGCGTCCAATTAAGAGTTGCCAAATCCACACAGTCACACTGTCCATTAAAGAGTCACAGCATCCAATTAGAAGTTGCCATATCCACACACAGTCACACTGTCCGTTAAAGAGTCACAGCATCCAATTAAGAGTTGCCATATCCACACACAGTCACACTGTCCGTTAAAGAGTCACAGCGTCCAATTAAGAGTTGCCATATCCACATAGAGTCACACTGTCTGTCCGTTAAAGAGTCACAGCGTCCAATTTAGAGTTGCCAAATCCACATAGAGTCACACTGTCTGTTAAAGAGTCACAGCGTCCAATTAAGAGTTGCCATATCCATGAAAGAGTCATTGTCCATTAACACATTGTAGTAGCCATTAAAGACAAACCATGTCCATGAATGTGTGGGAATGTCCATTAAAGGGTCGGAAGACCATGACAATTAATGCGTCACCATGTCCATTTAATAGTAGCAGTGTCCATTATATAGGCACCATGTCCATCAAACAGTCCATACTCTTCTCCATTCAAACATCAGGCAAAATTCTTATTGAATGATAAATATAAAGTTGGTTGGTTGGTTTGTTGTTTAACGCCGCACTCAGCAATATTCCAGCTATATGACGGCGGTCTGTAAATAATCGAGTCTGGACCAGACAATCCAGTGATTGATATCATGAGCATCGATCCACACAATTGGGATCGATGACATGCATCAACCAAGTCAGCGAGCCTGACCACCCGATCCCGTTAGTCGCCTTTTACGACAAGCATAGTCGCCTTTTACGGCATGCATGGGTTGCTGAAGACCTATTCTACCCCGGAATCTTCACCGGTAAAGTGATTCTGAGGCATTTGATTGGCTAACTAAACTAAGTCATTGTTTCCATGAACTGAAAAGAACCAATGGACTACTGTTTCCTGATTTGCGGATAATAGAATGGGCGGCGATTGTGTGGCATTATTGCGCTGAACATTGTCACAAATTTCTTACTGTTGTCTACAGTGTTTTTGTGTCAATGATTACAAAAGCAGTCTGTGAAGGTATTACTTTTGACATATTTATTCATAAAAATTGACTTCAATATGTTTTTGTGGTCATGGAGCTCTGACCATAAAAACAGGAGTGCACACACTTTGGGTAAATCAGAACACTGATTGTTATGTTACCACCATAAATCCATAAGGTAAAACAAATTGAAGTCAACCTTTAATAAATATAACAATGACTAAATAGAAGACTATAACAGCGCATTTGAATAATGAGTGAGTGAGTAAGTGAGTGAGTGTTGTTTTATGCCACTTTTAGCAATATTCCAGCAATGTCCAGCGGGGGACACCAGAAATGGGCTTCACACATTGTACCCATGTCGGGAATCGAACCCGGGTCTTTGGCGTGACAAGCGAACCCTTTAACCACTAGGCTACCCAACCGCCCCTCCGCATTTAAATAAAGCCATCACAACAACAGGCAACCTATCACCATGTTGGTGGTCAGTGAAGAACAAGACAGCCCTAGTACATACTTTCCGTTGTCTTCTTGCAGCAAGTTTTCCTGAAGAGCCACTTGAAGAGGTAGAAGGCATGCTTGATGATGTTGAAGGGGGGAATGATGCTGGACTTGATGTCGTACTCCATCACCAGGTAGTACATCTGGAACTTCCAGATCTCGATCGAGTTCTCCTCCACCGTGTCAAACACGTGACTGAAACACACAGGAAAGTGAGCGGTCAGAAATAGCCATTTTTGATCTAATACACTGTCAAACTGAGAACTGGAGATTGTGAACTCACGTGGAAACTGCCCAATAGTTGACAACTTTCACAAATTAGTCTGAATACATAGCCAAACAACATCTTCAAAATCAATCCCATCAAGTAGCCTGACAACCTCTTCAATTGAACCCAATCAAGTAGCCTGACAATCTCTGCCCTTGAACCTCATCAAGTAGCCAGACAACCTCTGCCCTTGAATCCCATCAAGCAGCCTGACAATCTCTGCCCTTGAACCCCATCAATTAGCCTGACAACCTCTTCAAATAAACCCCATTAAGTAGCCTGACAACCTCTTCAAATACCCCATCAAGTAGGCAGACAACCTCTTCCATTGAACCCCATCAAGTAGCCAAACAATCTCTTCAAATGAACCCCATCAAGTAGGCAGACAGCCTCTTCCGTTGAACCCCATCAAGTAGCCTGACAACCTCTTCAAATAAAACCCCATCAAGTAGCCAGACAACCTCTTCCATTGAACCCCATCAACTATCCTGACAACCTCTGCCCCTAAACCCCATCAAGTAGCCAGACAACCTCTTCAAATGAACCCAATTAAGTGACCTTACCACTTCTTCAAATAAACCCCATCAAGTAGGCAGACAACCTCTTCCATTGAACCCAATCAAGTAGCCAAACAATCTTTTCAAATAAACCACATCAAGTAGTCCAACAATCTCTTCAAACGACCATGTGTCTACCGTTAAAATCTACCGTAATCATTTCCAGGTCATGTTTCGAGACAAAGGTACACACTAACACATTCCATTTGTGTCCATCAGCCCTACAACACTGCCTAGCTACCCCATCTTCCCGAGGCAAGGGCGTTAACTGACCATAAGAGTCTAGTTCCCACCCTAGCCAAACTAGGCTGGAATGTTTTTGGGCTCAATTGTAGCGCCACCAGTGGCTGTTACGAGTTCTATCCCCTACATGTCCCTCCTATTGACCAATCAGATTCCATCACTCATATCACTTGCATTTACTTAAACAAAATGGTGGCATCCAGTCAAAATGATCTGATCCAGTTCATTACGTTAATATTACTAGACTACGCATAGACTCGTTAGTAGCTCATGACTACAAGCCTAGTAGTTTGGCAAGGGTGGGAACTGGACTTTTATAGTCAGTTAACGCCCTTGCCTCCAGATGATGAGCTACCCCAACAGATATCATGTAACAGACATCTGTCTAGACAGGCACTGCTGTCCTCCTTCCAGCCAACCAGTCCCCTGTGAGTCTGTTACCTGAAGATGGCAATGAGAAGGTTGAGCAGGAGGATGTTGCCCACAGACAGATATATCGCCAGCAGAATGGGCACCATCCAGTTGGACGTCCTACACGTGTTGTTGAAGGGTGTCACTGATGTCACGTTCTGCAGAGCAGCCATACACGTCTGATCAGCTGTAAAAGTAATTACACATACCATATACATCCCACATGTTTCATGTTTTCAGACAGTATGGCAGTTCTGGGAACAGGAAATGGATGAAAGACATACCTCGGCAAAAGGTCTGAGAATCTAGTTCATATTAGGCTAAGAAAAATAATAGTCTTGGTTCTCAGGCACCGCCTGCATCATCATAAAGTCCGCCACTCATTTCGTTATTATTTCCATTTTCAAAAAGAATTAAATCATAAAATATTCCACGTCCCGAACACAAGATCCTGGCAGTGAAATGCTACAATACCTAAGAACAACATTCACCGAAATTATTGTAAACAATATTTGGTTACATACTAGCGTGAACATCCCCAACCCCCCCCCCCCCCCCCCCACCCCCCCACCCACCCCACCCAAAAAAAACACTGCCCCCCCACACTATATGTTCAAAAGCCATTGCCTGAGAACCAATTCTTTTATTTTTTTAAGCCTTATATTCCAGGGAATGTTTTTTTACAGTCAGCAAGCCTGTAGAGTAGGAATATTGCTGACTTAAAAACAACATTAACTAGAACAGGAATCTGAACTAGAACTCAACCACAGCAGCATTTGGAATGAGCATTTTTATTGTATACTTACAGTGAACATAACACTGGCTATTTCACTACAGTGAACATAACACTGGCTATTTCAATGCAGTGAACATAACACTGGCTATTTCAATGCAGTGAACATAACACTGGCTATTTCACTACAGTGAACATAACACTTGATATTTCAATGCAGTGAACATAACACTTTGACGGAACTATTGTCATACAAGAACTACCTCCCTGCAAATTGTCTCCCTTTATCGTAAGTGTCTGGCCCGTACACAAACTGTTGACTTTCTTTTCACATTAGTTCCACACCGACAAGGCAAAATAATGACAGATGGTCATTTATGGAGTTAATATCGCTTCTTGCCCTTGTAAACCAAAATGTTTCGTTATAAAGTGTAAATTTCTCATTTTAACCTGTCAATCGAGATTGGTCGTTTTGCAAACTTTCATTTTCGTTACTTGACCAGCGTGTAGTCCCTCGCTTCCAACAGCAGTCTCATAGCTTTCAAGAATATATTCTTTTGAAGTTGATTTTGTATGAGAGAGAATTTTGGTGACGTCAAATATTTTTTATTAATTTTTGTTTATATTTTGCAAACTCAGAAGGACTTTTTAAGTCGTAATTACAAGGGGTGGTGAAATGTCCCTGCATGTTTGGTTGGGGGAATAAACGTTTCAAGGTTTGAAATCTGGAATGATAAAAATTAAATTTCTGGTAGACTGCTCAAAATGTTAAAAATAAATAGGATATTTCATGTGTCAAGTGAAATATCATGTTTCTCTCATCTCGTGATGGGTTGGTTGGTTGGTTTGTTGTTTAACGCTGCACTCAGCAATATTCCAGCTATATGACGGCAGTCTGTATATAATCGAGTCTGGACCAGACAATCCAGTGATTAATATCATGAGCATCGATCCATGCAATTGGGATCAATGACATGCATCAACCAAGTCAGCGAGCCTGACCACCCAATCCCGTTAGTCGCCTTTTACGACAAGCATAGTCGCCTTTTACAGCATGCATGGGTTGCTGAAGATCTATTCTACCCCGGAATCTTCAGGGATCTCTCGTGATGGGGGAAAGGAGATATTTTGACAAGTTCACTTGACACATGGAATATCCTCCATATCCTCTCTTTTGGTCCGACACAAGGCCCGACAACCTGATTCCCATGTTAGGTCCTAGTTGTGTCTGACAGCAAATGAATTTCTCAAGATTGTGTAGCGTTAAGTGAGCTAAAATTTGATGTAACATTGGCAATATTTCAGCCATGTCGTGAGGATTGTACATAAGGAGAGGACTTGGGTACTTCAAACAAGTTGAGTCAGAATCAAATCATCTTTCCCGGAGTCCACTCACTCTCAATTTCATCAAGGAAGATCTCCCCGTACAGCTGCCAGTAAGGGTAGAAGACAATGTCCTTCAGGATGACTGTGTCGGGTTTACGCTGCGGGTAGAGCAGACCCTGGCTGGCCACGCCGTACGCCAGCAGGAACACCACCAGGATCATCACAAACAGCACCAGCTCCTCCAACTGGAACATCGCAAACACACTTTCCACTTACAGGTACACCTTTGTCACAGAATGACACAATCAAATTTTAGAATGACAATATGTAATATCAGAATGACTTCTTCATGTCACAGAATGAAACAGTCTAGTTCCAAATGACCAAAGCCTCAGAATGACATTGAATTGTAAATGACACAATCTGGTTCAAGGAAGACACAATCTGGTACAAGAATGACACAATCTGGTACAAGAATGACACAATCTGGTTCAAGGAAGACACAATCTGGTACAAGAATGACACAATCTGATTCAAGAATGACACAATCTGGTTCAAGAATGACACAATCTGGTTCAAGAATGACAAAATCTGATTCAAGAATGACACAAGTGAATCGCAGGATGACACCATAGAGTTGTGGAAAGGCACTGTCAATTCACAGAACAACACAATCTAGTTCTGGAATGACACAATCAATTCACAGAATGACACACAAGAGTAACAAAACAGTACAATTTAGTTACAGAATGACAACTGTTGACAAATTAAATCTGTTTTAGTTAAAAGCATCTGCATCATCACAACCCAAACCAGGAGATCTGTTACTGAGATCTTTAAGATGCTAATTATTGATCCATTGCCTCACTATCAACATCACTATATGCCAATGAGACCTAAATTACTAATGCACTCACTATCAACACTGATCTATAAGGCCTTCCCCCAATCCTTAAGAAAATAGACACAAGCTAAAACACTATGTCATTAGTACTGAAGCAGCAGAAGGTTTGAAAGGAACTAAATATTCACCATTCTCATGATCATAAACAACTTGGGTCCGAGTTGGCTGTTGGCGGTGTACACCTTCAGGATCCGGAGGTAGAAGATAATCACGTTGAAACAGTAGATCATCTTGGCACTGAAGAACAAATGAGGAAACCAGCGTAAACCAAACCCGATGAAGACCAGGATGAGGTTACAGATGTCCATCTTGTCCAGGAGGCCGAACCAGTCTCTCAACTTGCCCTTCCACGTTGGGATCGGGAACATCAGAAACTGCAAGGGCAAGGTCACATAGTAGGTCATTAACACAAATAATATTATCTCATGAATAATAGGACCTAATATTGCTACTGGCCCTTCACAGGTTAAAATAGGTCTTCAGCTACCCATGCTTGCCGTAAAAGGCATGGATCGATGTTCATGATTTATTCAATATTGCTGAGTGCGGTGGTAAACAACAAACAAACTGGTCCTTCTACGTCAGGGTCAAGGTCACATAGTAGTGAGTGAGTGAGTGAGTTGGGTTTAACGCTGCTTTTAACATCATTCCAGTTATATCACGGCGTGTCAGTTTAATGTGGGAGGAAAGCCTGAAGTGATGCAGATCTCGGGCGTTTACCACTTCGGTGAAACCCACAAGCTTGGGTATGGTGCTCACAAACCTAGAAAGATTATCGGGGAGAACCGGGTTTCAAAACTACAATCATAGGTTTCTGGTGTGCCCAAGGGACGCAACTCTGCACAGCGAATTGCGGCTCCTTAGTTGACTGGGCCACCCGTGCCCCCGTCACATAGTAGGATCATAAACAAGGGAGCCTAAACTTCTATTCCTCATATGTGGTGTATAAGATGAGTATGAATATACTGCTGCTACTGCTGGTGTCTACTCACAGTGTGTGTTTCTCCGGTGAGGAAAGAGAGAGCCCACAGGATGCAGATCCACTCCACAACGCTGGGCGTAGCTTTGAAGTCCACCAGAACCAGGAAGGAGAACAGGGCCAGGAACGCCAGGTAAGACATCTGTTCAAGGATTACAAGCATACATATAGACATGGCCAGGAACGCCAGGTAAGACATCTGTTCAATGATAACAAGAATACACAGAGACATGGCCAAGAACAACAGGTAAGACATCTGTTCAAGGATTACAAGTATACACAGAGACATGGCCAAGAACACCAGGTAAGACATTTGTTCAATGATTACAAGTATACACAGAGACATGGCCAAGAACACCAGGTAAGACATCTGTTCAAGGATTACAAGTATACACAGAGACATGGCCAAGAACACCAGGTAAGACATCTGTTCAAGGATTACAAGTATACACAGAGACATGGCCAAGAACACCAGGTAAGACATCTGTTTAATGATTACAAGTATACACAGAGACATGGCCAAGAACACCAGGTAAGACATCTGTTCAAGGATTACAAGTATACACAGAGACATGGCCAAGAACACCAGGTAAGACATCTATTCAAGGATTACAAGTATACACAGAGACATGGCCAAGAACACCAGGTAAGACATCTGTTCAATGATTACAAGTATACACAGAGACATGGCCAAGAACACCAGGTAAGACATCTGTTCAATGATTACAAGTATACACAGAGGCATGGCCAAGAACAACAGGTAAGACATCTGTTCAATGATTACAAGAATACACAGAGACATGGCCAAGAACGCCAGGTAAGACATCTGTTCAATGATTACAAGAATACACAGAGACATGGCCAAGAACACCAGGTAAGACATTTGTTCAATGATTACAAGAATACACAGAGACATGGCCAAGAACGCCAGGTAAGACATCTGTTCAATGATTACAAGAATACACAGAGACATGGCCAAGAACGCCAGGTAAGACATTTGTTCAATGATTACAAGAATACACAGAGACATGGCCAAGAACGCCAGGTAAGACATCTGTTCAATGATTACAAGAATACACAGAGACATGGCCAAGAACACCAGGTAAGACATTTGTTCAATGATTACAAGAATACACAGAGACATGGCCAAGAACGCCAGGTAAGACATCTGTTCAATGATTACAAGAATACACAGAGACATGGCCAAGAACGCCAGGTAAGACATCTGTTCAATGATTACAAGAATACACAGAGACAAGGCCACGAACGCCAGGTAAGACATCTGTTCAATGATAACAAGAATACACAGAGACATGGCCCAGAACGCCAGGTAAGACATCTGTTCAATGATTACAAGAATACACAGAGACAAGGCCACGAACGCCAGGTAAGACATCTGTTCAATGATAACAAGAATACACAGAGACATGGCCAAGAACGCCAGGTAAGACATCTGTTCAATGATTACAAGAATACACAGAGACATGGCCAAGAACGCCAGGTAAGACATCTGTTCAATGATTACAAGAATACACAGAGACATGGCCACGAACGCCAGGTAAGACATCTGTTCAATGATTACAAGAATACACAGAGACATGGCCAAGAACGCCAGGTAAGACATCTGTTCAATGATTACAAGAATACACAGAGACATGGCCAAGAACGCCAGGTAAGACATCTGTTCAATGATTACAAGAATACACAGAGACATGGTCAGGAATGCCAGGTAAGACATCTGTTCAATGATTACAAGAATACACAGAGACATGGCCAAGAACGCCAGGTAAGACATCTGTTCAATGATTACAAGAATACACAGAGACATGGTCAGGAATGCCAGGTAAGACATCTGTTCAATGATTACAAGAATACACAGAGACATGGTCAGGAACGCCAGGTAAGACATCTGTTCAATGATTACAAGAATACACAGAGACATGGCCAGGAACGCCAGGTAAGACATCTGTTCAATGATTACAAGAATACACAGAGACATGGCCAAGAACACAAGGTAAGACATCTGTTCAATGATTACAAGAATACACAGAGACATGGTCAGGAACGCCAGGTAAGACATCTGTTCGATGATTACAAGAATACACAGAGACATGGCCAAGAACACCAGGTAAGACATCTGTTCAATGATTACAAGAATACACAGAGACATGGTCAGGAATGCCAGGTAAGACATCTGTTCGATGATAACAAGAATACACAGAGACATGGCCACGAACGCCAGGTAAGACATCTGTTCGATGATAACAAGAATACACAGAGACATGGCCAAGAACACCAGGTAAGACATCTGTTCAAGGATTACAAGAATACACAGAGACAAGGCCACGAACGCCAGGTAAGACATCTGTTCAATGATAACAAGAATACACAGAGACATGGCCACGAACACCAGGTAAGACATCTGTTCAATGATAACAAGAATACACAGAGACATGGCCAAGAACGCCAGGTAAGACATCTGTTCAATGATTACAAGAATACACAGAGACATGGCCACGAACACCAGGTAAGACATCTGTTCAATGATTACAAGTATACACAGAGACATGGCCAAGAATGCCAGGTAAGACATCTGTTCAATGATTACAAGAATACACAGAGACATGGCCACGAACGCCAGGTAAGACATCTGTTCAATGATTCAAGAATACACAGAGACATGGCCAAGAACGCCAGGTAAGACATCTGTTCAATGATTACAAGAATACACAGAGACATGGCCAAGAACGCCAGGTAAGACATCTGTTCAATGATTACAAGAATACACAGAGACATGGTCAGGAACGCCAGGTAAGACATCTGTTCAATGATTCAAGAATACACAGAGACATGGCCAAGAACGCCAGGTAAGACATCTGTTCAATGATTACAAGAATACACAGAGACATGGCCAAGAACACCAGGTAAGACATCTGTTCAATGATTACAAGAATACACAGAGACATGGCCACGAACGCCAGGTAAGACATCTGTTCAATGATTACAAGAATACACAGAGACATTGCTGATTGGCTGATTAGAAAATTCACCTGAGGAGACCTCCTATCGAGCGTCTGTCTTCATACAGAGGGGTATCATATGAGAGCAAACGATCCGACTGATGAGACTGACATACGGGAGGAGAACATGTGCTAGTTACTCCATGTTTACCTTCCTATCTCTCACCAACAAGACACACTCACTACAACAATACTGAATGAAACTTACTATCACTACAAATCTGTTCCACGTAAGCCAACATGGGATTTCTACCAAAGGACACCAAATAAACAATGAGATTTCTACCAAAGATTGGCAACAATTAACAAAAATGCATGATTCAATTGCCTTACCGTGTAACATCCAAACTTGGTCATTGGTGCTGTGTAGAAGGTGAGGAGCTTCTGGGCTACAGAGAGTCGAGTCTCCCCCATCTTGGCCACCTCCACGAAGAAGATGAAGGGTGGGATGAGAATACCCATCAATACCTAAACACAGCATAATGTTATGAGAGTCCTGCGAGTCATTCAGTGGGTTAGTGAGTTAAAATCTGCAATCTCATTGGCATTATTTCAGGGATAATAGTGTCAGGAACAAGCAACGGAACTTAAGATTATTCATCTATTCATTATAGTTACATCATATTTGTCTGTATTTTGTTTTACGACGCAATATTCCAGCTATATGACAGCGGTCTGTAAATAATTGTGTCTAGACCAGACACTCCAATCCATAAACATCGATCCACCCATTTTGGATGCGATAACATGCATCAACCAACTCAGCGAGTCTGACCACCAGATCCCGTTAGTCGCCTCTTCCGACAAGCATAGTCGCCTTTCACAGCAAGCATGGGTTGCTGAAGACCTATTCTACCCCGGATCTTCACGGGTCCGGTTCACCTGGTGAAAAGCATCTTCCCAAGGCAAGAGAGTTTACTGACTATAAAAGTCCAGTTTCCACCCTTGCCGAACTCGGCTGGTATTATGGAGTTACATTTTGGCTGGACTAACGAGTCTATACATAGTCCAATCAAAATCGTGCACCGAAATCGAAATCCAGTTTGTAAACTGTCATGCAGATTTCAATCAATTGCAGGATTTGCAGGCATGTGCACCGCTAACGCGTTGTCAGCAGATATTTTCCGAATCTTTCAATGTTTTTAATCAAGGTCCTTACGTGATTTGATGCATTTCGCGATGTAAGACCCATTTAGTCACAATATGGATCTTGATTATCGATCAGATCGTCTGGGCGCCACCATTTTGTGTGAAGCAAACGCAAGTGATGGAATCTGACTGGTCCATAGGAGAGGCTTAAAAGGGACATTACTGGTAATAGCCACTGGTGGCGCTACGATTGAGCCCAATAATTCCAGCCTAGTTCGGCAAGGGTGGAAACTGGACTTTTAAAGTCAGTTAACTCCCTTCCTCGGGAAGATGGGTGAAAAGATGTGCCAAGTGTGTTGTGGACTACCATTAGGACATGTATAACTAATTATTAGATTTCTGTCACTGACAAACAACCCTTCTCACATCTTTTAATGTCCCAAAGTTTCTTCAAAAAGCACTAGATATGGTTTCTTTTTTCTCTACTTAATGAAACACACCTTCTGTGTACTCAGTCACAATGATGCTAGATTACAAACACTGGCAGTATAAGTAAGAGAAGACTGTAGGTGACTTACATATTTCCAGCTGGACAGGATTCCATGTTTCCATGTTGTGTTGATGGAGTCTTGGCAGGCCACGGACGACAGGAAAGCCTGAAACATTTCCATTCATACCTGAGTGAGTGAGTGAGTATGGTTTTTCACGACTGTTAGCAATATTCCAGCAATATCACGGCGGGAAATGGGCTTCACAGATAGTACCCATGTAGGGAATCGAACTTGGTCTTCGGCGTGACAAACCAACTCTTTAACCACTAGGCTACCCCAACGCCCCCATACCTGAGGAAAGAATTACTATCAGCGTTTGCTTTTGTTTTTTGACGCTGTACTCCGCAATACTCTGCCGTCAGTGTACAATGACGCACAATCAACCAAGCCTGACCACCTGATCCATGTACTTGCCTCTTGCAACCAGCAGAGGTTGCTGGATTAGTCAGATCCAGAGGTTGGGGGGGGGGGGCCCTTTTTGAAAACCTATTGCAGTTTATTATTGGCAGTAAAATTATCTGTGAGATGATTTTGATATTTTGGACCCCTCCCTTTTAAAAATGCTGGATCCACCCTTGGCTGGGGACTTATTCTAACCCAGAATCCCCCTGGGGTTCTCACACTATTAGTCAGTGAGGAAATGTTGTTTCAGCCACTGTAAACAAGAGTACAGTTGATGTGGTTATATAACATAACAGCTGGTGTATAACCTAGTCTAGCCAAGATAAACCATCGTTGCTGTGTTCAAGATATCTTGAAAAATGTCTTCACACTAGAACAAGCTACGTCCATTTTTCATGTGCATATCCATTTTCAAGAAGCCAAAATATTTATCGTTTGATCTTTTTTCATTGACATCTTAATCTTCTTTTTTATGTCACAGGAATATGCAACGTCTTCCTACGACTCAATCAACAACACCATACATGATACCAGACTCTCAAGTAACCATGGTAACACAGTCACACATTTTTACCACCAATTTCCATTCCAGTCAACTTTCACACATTTCACGTGAAATTCACAAAAGCCACATGAATCACAGGCTTACTTATCGCCTAAAATATTTTCCTATAATATCTATTTCTCATTTATCTTAGAGGTGGTCGGGTAGCCTAGTGGGTAAAGCGTTCGCTTGTCATGCCGAAGACCCGGCTTTGATTCCCCACATGGGTACAATGTGTGAAGCCCATTTCTGGTGTCCCCCGCCATGATATTGCTGGAATATTGCTAAAAGCGGCGTAAAACCATACTCACGCACTCACTCTCATTTCTCTTAGAATCATATTTAAGTAACCTGGCTTCTGGCAGCTGTGGTAGAACCGTATATCGCCGTCTATAAAGCGACCCCACCTATAAGGTGACCCCCTGTAAAAAAGCCTTCAAAATTGATGCTAATTAACATACCGTAAAAACTTGGTCAATACAAATTTGAAATTTGAAGTAAAACATCACTAGACATGATGATTCACCGATTAAATTATATTTGCAGAGATAAAGATTACTGTGCGTATTGTCATAGCAACCCAAGATCCTGGTGCTTAGAGCATGTGAGGAGATCACTAGGGGTGAAACGATACAGGAAGGTCACGATACATAGGTCAAGATACATATTGCAATACGCATATGTTCATTAAATCTCATGGAAACTTCTTGACTATAAATATTTCAGGGCAGATTCAATGGGAAAGGCTAGCTGTAGACACATGTTCATAGTGGCTATTTTAAGTAGTGAACTTGAAACGTCGTAACTCAGATACTTTACAATAATCGGAGAAATAAGATCCCTTTGAGAAACAGGGCTAAAAACTAAATCTGGCTGCAACAGCCATGGCCAAAACAGACCTCACTTCTCCTCACAAACTCGGGGGATGGACAGCTCCTCAGATCCCCACATGGTTACACAGTCAGCTCACATAACATACATATTTTACTTGGACGCCCTCGCTCACTGAGACAACGTCTCACCTGATCATTGGCAGAGGCAGCCATCTGCAGACAGGACATCTTGCTCCAGATGAGGGACTTCCTCTCCACCAGCATCATGGCCTTGCTGGGGTCCACCAGGTGGCACTCATCCAGCACCAGCATCGCCAGCTTCTCAAACATGCTGCAGAAGGAGGCGATACCATACAGAATATCATCACACCCACAATGCCTTGTACAGTGACTATAATGCCTTGTACAGAGAATATCATCACATCCACAATGCCTTGTACAGTGACTATAATGCCTTGTACAGAGAATATCATCACATCCACAATGCCTTGTATAGTGACTATAATGCCTTGTACAGAGACTATAATAACACCCACAATGGCTTGTACAGTGACTATAATGCCTTGTACAGAAAATATCATCACACCCACAATGCCTTGTACAGAGACTATCATCACACCCACAATGCCTTGTACAGAGACTATCATCACACCCACAATGGCTTGTACAGTGACTACAATGCCTTGTACAGAGACTATCATCACACCCACAATGCCTTGTACAGAGACTATCATCACACCCACAATGCCTTGTACAGTGACTATAATGCCTTGTACAGAGACTATCATCACACCCACAATGCCTTGTACAGTGACTATCATCACACCAAAAATGCCTTGTATAGTAACTATAATGCCTTGTACAGAGACTATAATCACACCCACAATGCCTTGTACATTGACTATAATGCCTTGTACAGAAACTATCATCACACCCACAATGCCTTGTATAGTGACTATAATGCCTTGTACAGAGACTATAATAACACCCACAATGCCTTGTACAGAGACTATAATGCCTTGTACAGAGACTATAATAACACCCACAATGCCTTGTACAGTGACTATCATCACACCAAAAATGCCTTGTATAGTAACTACAATGCCTTGTACAGAAACTATCATCACACCCACAATGCCTTGTATAGTGACTATAATGCCTTGTACAGAGACTATAATAACACCCACAATGCCTTGTACAGTGACTATAATGCCTTGTACAGAAACTATCATCACACCCACAATGCCTTGTACAGAGACTATAATGCCTTGTACAGAGACTATAATAACACCCACAATGCCTTGTACAGTGACTATAATGCCTTGTACAGAGAATATCATCACACCCACAATGCCTTGTACAGAGACTATAATGCCTTGTACAGAGAATATCATCACACCCACAATGCCTTGTACAGAGACTATCATCACACCCACAATGCCTTGTACAGAGACTATCATCACACCCACAATGCCTTGTACAGAGACTATCATCACACCCACAGTGCCTTGATCAGAGCCTATCATCACACCCACAATGCCTTGTACAGAGACTATCATCACACCCACAATGCCTTGTACAGTGACTATAATGCCTTGTACAGAAACTATCATCACACCAACAATGCCTTGTACAGAGACTATCATCACACCCACAATGCCTTGTACAGTGACTATGATGCCTTGTACAGAGCCTATCATCACACCCACAATGGCTTGTACAGAGACTATCATCACACCCACAATGCCTTGTACAGTGACTATAATGCCTTGTACAGAGAATATCATCACATCCACAATGCCTTGTACAGTGACTATAATGCCTTGTACAGAAACTATAATCACACCCACAATGCCTTGTACAGTGACTGTAATGCCTTGTACAGAGGCTATCATCACACCCACAATGCCTTGTACAGAAACTATAATCACACCCACAATGCCTTGTACAGAGCCTATCATCACACCCACAATGCCTTGTACAGAGCCTATCATCACACCCACAATGCCTTGTACAGAGCCTATCATCACACCCACAATGCCTTGTACAGAGACTATCATCACACCCACAATGCCTTGTACAGAGCCTATCATCACACCCACAATGCCTTGTACAGAGACTATCATCACACCCACAATGCCTTGTACAGAGCCTATCATCACACCCACAATGCCTTGTACAGAGACTATCATCACACCCACAATGCCTTGTACAGTGACTATCATCACACCCACAATGCCTTGTACAGAGACTATAATGCCTTGTACAGAAACTATAATCACACCCACAATGCCTTGTACAGAGCCTATCATCACACCCACAATGCCTTGTACAGTGACTACAATGCCTTGTACAGAGACTATCATCACACCCACAATGCCTTGTACAGAGCCTATCATCACACCCACAATGCCTTGTACAGTGACTATAATGCCTTGTACAGAAACTATAATCACACCAATTTACACCAGGACACAGAAAAATAGTTATTGTTCATATAAAAATTAATTAACCTTTTATTAATGCTGATTTGAAGAGCATCAGTCATATGAAAGTGTGTCAGCTTGATGTGGGAAGAAAGCCAGAAGGGGTTCAGGTCTTAGACATTCACAACTTTGGTGGAACCCACGAGTATGGTTATGGTGCGAATACACCAAGAAACATAATTAGGTGAAACTGGGATTCACCCCCCGATCATAGGTTTCTGGCATGCCCAAGGGACAACGGGACATAACTCTGCACAGAAAAATGCGGCACCACAGACAACTGGCCATGGGCCACCAGTGCCTCCTTATCATATACGTTTAACAGCACAGATGAAAAACATAATAAGAACGTAACAAAAGTTATATTTGGGATAATATTTGTCATTGTGTGTTAATAGCTTTCGGCCATGGGAGCCATGCCAATTTACACTTGTCACAGGGATACACGAAGTATGAGATCTAGACTACCAGTTGTTGGACTTTCATTTTTGTGGATGCCTCGGTGGCTGAGTGGGTTAGATCACTGACTTTCTGTGCTGGCGATTAGGTGCCTCACTCTGGCAGATCGGGTTCGATTCCTGGATGGGACTCAACCCCCCAAAAGCACTAGAATCTGTGCTTTACTAAGAAAGAGTTATCCCAAATATGTCATTTGTTACGTTTGACCACTTTCTAAATTGCATTGTGTGCTGATAATAAGAACGGTATCAAAAGGCATAAAGTTCAGTCTTTACTAAGTAAGCAGGTACATTAAGCAGCTTCAAGACCCAACTAGGTCCAAGATGGCCCGACACCGCAGGGCCTTCAAGTTTTACAGCTGAAGTATACTTCAAAAGAATACATATCACCGTCACCTACATTTTCATCTCCACAAAGTCTTGTCGGATCTTCGTTTGGTACTTGGGGATCTTCTTGAACATGCCTTGACAGATCCTGGTGATGGCGATGGCACTTGATATAGGCTCCTCGCCCATCTCCCAGAAGAAGAGAGCAAGGTCGACCCTGGCAGGAACACACAAAACAATCTACACCATTCATACACTTCCCTGATATTAATCCTGGGAATACGCTAATGATTTCCAAAGCGAAAGAAAAAAACTGTTTTCTCTCCCAGTGTACAGTCCCTGGCCACAAGGTAGTTTGCAGAGCTCCAGATAAGGTTTTGGTGTTGTGGGTATTTTACCCATGCATTTTAAAATCATTGGGTATCAGTAATTCAATCTGGGTATTCAAATTTCTGTTACCCACTAGTTTTTACACATGTGGGTATCTAAGTTAAATATTTAAAAACACTATTCATCTAGTCCCTGCAAACTGGTTTCGTGTGGGTTCGAGAGCTTTATAGGACTCAAAACTACCACAATACTTCCGCAAGAAAGTGTGATGGCAGATGATCATGATGTAACTGTCATCGTGGAGTTTGGCAAGGTTGACGGAATGCCCGTTTATAATTTCAAAATAAGTTGCTGATTTGCTAATCGAATACGCAGGGTTACTTTACAATATTTGATGATACGCACAAGTTTTATTTTTGTTGCGTATCTGTAATGTTCGTTGCGTATTTGATACGCTCGGATTTTATTTTACTGCGTATTTCTGCATTTCTGATGCGTATTTTACGTAGATATGCAGCTTATCTGGAGCTCTGAGTTTGTAATTCTTAATACTGAGTGAGTGAGTGAGTATGGTTTATGCCGCTTTTAGCAATATTCCAGCAACATCACGGCGGGGGACACCAGAAATGGGCTTCACACATTGTTCACATGTCAGGAATAGAACCCAGGTCTTTGGCGTGACAAGCGAACGCTTTAACCACTGGGCTACCCGACCGCCCCTAGTTCTTAATAGGATTCTGTGACACATCACAGGAGCATAAGAAAGGTTACATATTAATCCTCTCACTCTCGAATGGTGTTGTTCATGCACCATTTATACCTACTTTAATTGTGTAAATTAAACACTTAAAGCTGGAACAATATTATAAATGAGTACCACAGGGCACCATAGTGAACTCATGCACAAACTGTAGGCAGTGTAGTGTTGATGTTGTGACAATGTTTAACCGAAAACAGAAACTTGATATAGTCTCACTGTAGATTAGATACCTCCATTTTGTAACCAATACTTGTATAAATAAATGTTTCAAAATGCCTACCGACAGACTGAGAAAGAAATCTTTTCTGTAAATAATAGCCTCTACTGGGATGCCGCCATCAAATAGGCTGTTTAAATCAGAGGTTGTTACTGCAATTTGATAGCTCTGATTGGCCAATCAGAATCAAGTTCGACATTCAAGGTAGAATTAGGAGATAAACCTAATGTGTTTTTAAATTTGATGTAGTCCTACAGTAAAGTAGATACCTCTTATTTTAATTTGGAACAGAGCGCTTTAACACGAGGTTTCAAATGTATAAATAAGAGGTAAATTCGCAAGAGCCATAGATCCGGCATGTATTAGAGACCTGGCTTGTATTAAAGACCAAGGGTGTAATAGACGACATATCGATACATTTTACAGTTCCTAGGGGGGTGATCGATCCGCAGCCATTTCTTATGAAGTGATATGTAGGCGGCTATCGATTTATTCATGCACACGTTTTTTGTGTGAAAAGACTTAATATAATTAAAAGGGGTTTCCGTAGCAAAAAGGAACCCTCATTTTAACCCATCAAAATCAAGTATTCTTCATGGTCGAATAATTACCAACCCTCTGTTTCACTTATCAGTTTAACCAGGGTACAAACTACCCACCTGTTCATGAGAATGGCCCATATTAGCAGCTGTTTGTATGGCCGCTTGAACTGATCTTTTTCCTCGATATCATCTGTGTCTGTAGACTCCATCATCATCTTGGGTTTTCGGACACTGGATGACTGACTGATGACGGCCAGCTTCTGTGTGTCACCCTCCTGGAACTTCTCGTCATCATACTTGTCAAGGAGCCTCGTCAGGAACGCGCCAATATCACTCAAGCAGAAATCAGTCTTCTTGGAAAATCTTGTCAACAGTGGACGGAGGTAGCCATGCTTTGGAATCTGTGTGTAAAATCAATGTATGATTGGATTAATGTCATACTCAAGGCCAAAAAATATCATGTTCTTATTTCTCTTTTTTAGTGTGTTAGTGTTAGTTAATGTGTGTGTGTTAGTTAGTTAGTGTGTTAGCGTTTGTTAGCGTGTGTTAGTGTGTGTGTTAGCGCATGAGTGTGTGCGTGCGTGCGTGCGTGCGTGCGTGCGTGCATGTGTTGTTTAAAGCTGCACACAGCAATATTTCAACCATATGACAGCAGCCTACAAATAATCAAGTCTGGACCAGACAATCCAGTGATATTGACATTGAAAGGGTAAAGGATCCACACCATCAGGGTACAAGGACAGCCTTCAACCAAGCCACTGAGCCTGACCACCACCCCATTCAGTCGCCTCTCAAGACCAGCCTAGTTTGTGGGTACCAACTCCAAACAGAAACCCCCTCCCCCTTCAGTCGCCTCTCAAGACCAGTCTAGTTTGTGGGTAACAACTCCAAACAGAAACCCCCACCCCATTCAGTCGCCTCTCAAGACCAGCCTAGTTTGTGGGTACCAACTCCAAACAGAAACCCCCACCCCATTCAGTCGCCTCTCAAGACCAGCCTAGTTTGTGGGTACCAACTCCAAACAGAAACCCCCACCCCATTCAGTCGCCTCTCAAGACCAGCCTAGTTTGTGGGTACCAACTCCAAACAGAAACCCCCACCCCATTCATTGACTTTAAGTGTACACATACTGGTCTTTAGGGATGGGTATAGGATGTTTAAAGTGTATCCCAATATTTTGCAATGCACAAGGCTGTATTGCAATACGTATCACAATATACTGTATAATTCAAAATTTTGAATTCAGAAGCAATTTGCAACATCAATGCAGGGATTGAAGTTCATAAATGGAACAAAACAAGATGCTGGAACAGCATATAATGTTTAATGTCAATAAATACACAAGGATGCATGCTCCAGGACAGTGATGACTTGGTGTGACATCACTGCCACAAGATGTCCTGAATGCCAACTTGCATTTTGAATTACGGAAACATTTCAAAGGTACATGTATCTGGCATGTGTATAACATTAAACACATGGTAAAAAATGCTATTTGAAATCACCCAATAAATCAAGCATTAAAACATAATATTGTGATACGCATCATGGAAAGAATGAACCTGTAATTTACCGATATACTGGTAAAACCTCACACCCTTACTGGTCTTTACTTGGACGGATGGGCTCACCTTGTTATAGAGACTCTCCAGTCTGTGTACAGTGAGGTATTCCCGCATGATTATGCCCTGATTGAGGATAAGCCTCACAAAGTCCATTTTATTCTCTTCTAGGGCCATGGTCATTGCTTCCATCAAATGTTCTGCAGGATGATGAAATAAAATAAATTATTCAATATATATATATATATGCAATGACTTCCCCCTCCCAAATATGTTTAAGTTTCTTTATCAACCTACTGCTGACAAACAGAGATTCTCATGTGAGTATCTTTTGATATTTGATATAAAAAACTCAAACCTGAGATTTTATTTATCATCATGATTCTTCGAACTTTTTCACTTTGTAAACAGTAATAAGCAGTGGCACATAAGTCCCAGAACACCAGCATGGTGATCTACCTCAGAATCCTGTACTATTGAATCTATCTGCAGGGGCACTTAAGTCCCAGAACACCAGCATGGTGATCTACCTCAGAATCCTGTACTATTGAATCTATCTGCAGTGGCACATAAGTCCCAGAACACCAGCATGGTGATCTACCTCAGAATCCTGTACTATTGAATCTATCTGCAGGGGCACATAAGTCCCAGAACACCAGCATTGTGATCTACCTCAGAATCCTGTACTATTGAATCTGTCTGTATTGGCACATAAGCATCAGAACAACCATGGCGCCCTACTTCACAATCCTCTACAATTTGTATGCATGGGCACATAAACCCTGGAACATCAGCCATGTCGCCCTACCTCACAATCCTGTATTATTGAATCTGTCTGCATGGGCACATAAGCCTCGGAACAACCATGGTGCCCTACCTCACAATCCTGTATTATTGAATCTGTCTGCATGGGCACATAAACCCTGGAACATCAGCCATGGCGCCCTACCTCACAATCCTGTATTATTGAATCTGTCTGCATGGGCACATAAGCCTCGGAACAACCATGGTGCCCTACCTCACAATCCTGTATTATTGAATCTGTCTGCATGGGCACATAAGCCTCGGAACAACCATGGTGCCCTACCTCACAATCCTGTATTATTGAATCTGTCTGCATGGGCACATAAGCCTCGGAACAACCATGGTGCCCTACCTCACAATCCTGTATTATTGAATCTATCTGCATGGGCACATAAGCCTCGGAACAACCATGGTGCCCTACCTCACAATCCTGTATTATTGAATCTGTCTGCATGGGCACATAAGCCTCGGAACAACCATGGTGCCCTACCTCACAATCCTGTATTATTGAATCTATCTGCATGGGCACATAAGCCTCGGAACAACCATGGTGCCCTACCTCACAATCCTGTATTATTGAATCTGTCTGCATGGGCACATAAGCCTCGGAACAACCATGGTGCCCTACCTCACAATCCTGTATTATTGAATCTATCTGCATGTCTTATACCCCAAGTACCTTGTGACCAGTTGACATCTTCTCGGAAGATCTCCTCCTGAGCAATGTCCGCCCTGTTCCACGTCAAGGCCAGCTTCAGCTGGTTCAGCTGGTCCAGATGGTTGCCCCCTGCCTTACCTCCACCTCCAGCTGCAAACAGAAGCGAGTCAGTCAGTCAGTCTGTCAGTCAGTCAGCATGGTAAGTGAGTCAGTCAGCATGGTGAGTGTGCGTTGTTCAACGCCATAGTTAGCAATATTCCAGCTCATCAGGACCAGAAAAACCAGTGACTGAATGTGTTATGTAGTTGCAGATGTAGCACTACGCGAAACAGCCTACTGTCTCTTGTATACAAACGGTTGTGGTCTGTGGTACTTGATTAACAAGCATGGAGAAGGGGAATGCATCAAACATATAACATTCTAGATTAACATACTAAATTCAAAAAGAAATCAAACAATCCATCTTTCACATTAAATATCAGTAGGGCTGCAACGAATACACTATGAGACGAATACGATTCGTATCACGAATATAGGGTAACGAATATGAAAAGCAATTCACGAATACAATAACAAGTCATCAGTTGATGTATTATTTGTTGTAATCAGTGAAACAATAACAACATAAATTATTTGACATGGATTGTTAATTATTAATATATTATACATTTATATACTGCACTTATCCAGGAACTAGTATCTGCACAAATGCGACAATGACCTGTGACCACAATACTGTCAATTAAATATTATGAGAGTGTTGTCTTTTGAAGACATCTATGCATATAATATGTTCTTATGGATATTTTTAAGTACAGGGTATGTAAATGCACATGACTGCATATTCATAAATATTCGATTCTAGTGGCCACGAATAACGAATTCAATTCATGAATGGATACGGTTCGATTCACCGAATACGCGAGTGAATCGTAACAGCCCTAATTATCAGTCATGTTTACCTTTCAAAAGAACTGACAAAATGGCTAGATCAAGGTCTTCATGCTTGTTGATTGGGAAGATTATGATCTGAAATGACAAATTTACTGCAACTGTAATTTATGAAACAATAATGATGGTCACTGAACTACATGAAAATTAAAAACATATCAAAATGTTTTAATGATTTGCTGGTGATGGCACAGCAACAAATACAGCACCTAGTTCCATGGTCAGGCATACCACCATTAGTGAGTGAACTGGTTTTATCGCCAAAATATTTCACTCAAATCATGGCGTGTCATCCCAGAGTTTTACAGGAGGCATAATTCCTGCCTGTTTGATGGAATAATTCCCTGATATAAATTCGCAAAACGGTTTGACATGAGTCCTAACTGACTCAAAAATTCGCAAAGGAAATCTAAATTCAGACAAAACAAATCTACAAACTTTCAGAATCAAATTTGGCTGAAATAACTTTAATAAAATACCAACATATAATATATATATATATATATATGCACATACACCATACAACTAGAGGTGGGCCATAGGACTACCCGGACCCGTGATTAGTCACATGATATATTGTTTAATGTAAAAAATGATCTAGAACTCCATGGTTACACTACAAGTCACTAATCTACATTTCTTTCTGACTATGCACCCATTCCTGTGTTTGAATAAAGTTATACCTTCAGTCTATGCATGACCAGATTGTTTTATTAGAGTATTATATATATATACATTTTGCCAGGGCTACGGTCAAACTATTCCCAATCGGACATTTTGAACCCATCTCTTGAGACCTACAGCAGGCCCCCTGGCAGGGTCGGGTAAAGGGGGTTGGGTACCCAGGTAGTAAATTTGGATTCGTACCCGCTACATACAACCTACCCTCTCCTCGTACTGACAACATTCCGTGACAATCTCCATGTACTTGACACTCTCAGTCTCCGCCTTCTTGCCCCATGACTTCCCATATGCTGTGAACAGTTTGTTCTCCAAGACTCTCAGATGTTTTTCTCTCATGAAACGTTCTCCACTGTTGAGACAAGTACATGCAGGGTGAACACCATTGATGAATTGACTTTGTTTTTTGTTGTATTTCCAAACATATTGCATGAGGAACCATCTCATTAAAATCAGATCTTAGTTCTAGCTACCGCTGTACAAAGATCTGAGGACATCCCATTAGGGTTCACGTCAGAACGACCTTTCATCCAACCAATCAGAGCGTCGCTTACCAGATCATGAAAGTGACAGTCGGAATGTGATTTCTAATCATGCAGCCACGAAAACTTTAAAACGGGGTATTCCGAACGATAGTTACGGGCTTAACGACTGAATCTATACAATCTAGACCATATATTAGCCATTCGAGAATGTTCTTTTGTTCAGGTTTCAAATTTTTAAGCGAGAATTTGTTAAAATATGTTTCGAAGCGTAGTCGCCAAATTGAAATTAGTGCTGTAAAGCACGAGAAAGCTGCCTTCTGATTGGCTAATATCAACTTCTTGTCAGTAATGCCATTGGTCGGTCAGAGTTCGCGAAAGGTCGGTCTGACGTGACCCATAATGGGATATCCTCAGATCTTTGTTTAGCGGCAGCGAGAACAAAGATCTGATTTTAATGAGATTGCATGGAGAATAACAGTGATAACTACAATTGATAATATACTACTCAAAAGAAGTTAAGGACCACCCAATTCTTTCATATAACTATAGTGAATCTGTCATACCATGGCCCATTAACTAAAGTAATGTGAAAGAATCATGTCTTTAACTTCTCTTGAGTAGCATATATTTTTTCATATTACAATAGTTAACCTGTCACGCCATGGTCCTTAACTTCTTTTGAGTAGTACCGTATTCGGCGTAATAAGCGCCCCGCTCTAATAATGGCGATAATTGCTAACATATTAGCTAGTGAACAATCCCAATTAGCACCCCTTCCGATTGATCAATGTACACAAGACTTATTTATTCGCGTATTATACGCAATCGTGTGTTATATGCACCCTTAATTAGGGGCAATTAAATTCTTGAAAAATATATCTGTCGTACATAAACATTTCAGGCTGTCAGCATAAACCATGAAATTTATGTTTCAACTCTGTTTTTTCCACCAAAATAATATTCTAATAAGAGGCCCCTATTTGTAATTTTGAGAGCACCCTGGGCGCTTATTACGTCAAATACGGTATATATACACACTGGTTACAGGGCCCCCTTCTGTGTTTAACGTGGGAAAGTATAATATGATTAAAACACTTTCATCACTTTGCTGTATAATGTAGTCTGTATACAATGGTAAAATTTCAATGAATTTACTGTCATGAAATAATGAACTTTCATACAATGAGAGCGCTAAAGGTTGCATGACAACTCCATGAGCCATAGCTATTAGGAAGTTTTAGGACCTCTAAAAAGAATTCAGGTGATGTGTTGGTTGGAAACTGCAAGCAATGCTTCAGATATTTACAATTATCGGAAATACATGTTCATTTAGGCCGACAGTTTTAGTGATCTATAAGTCAGCTAAAAAAAAGAAACTTGTTTTGAATGTAAAGAGACTCACGTTGTTGCCTTCAACGTATGAATAAAAGTGGATTCAAGTGTGCAAGGGTAAATACATAACATATGGGTAAATACATAGTGACTCACATGGGTGCCTTAAACATATGGGTAAATACATAGCGACTCACATGGGTGCCTTAAACATATGGGTAAATGCATAGCGACTCACATGGTTGCCGTACACATATGGGTAAATACATAGTGACTCACATGGGGGCCTTGAACATAGGGGTAAATACATAGCGACTCACATGGGTGCCTTAAACATATCGGTAAATACATAGCGACTCACATGGGTGCCTTAAACATAGGAGTAAATACATAGCGACTCACATGGGTGCCTTAAACATTTCGGTAAATACATAGCAACTCACATGGGTGCCTTAAACATAGGGGTAAATACATAGCGACTCACATGGGTGCCTTAAACATAGGGGTAAATACATAGCGACTCACATGGGTGCCTTAAACAGATGGGTCAATACATAGCGACTCACATGGGTGCCTTAAACATAGGGGTAAATACATAGCAACTCACTTGGGTGCCTTAAACATAGGGGTAAATACATAGCAACTCACATGGGTGCCTTAAACATAGGGGTAAATACATAGCAACTCACATGGGTGCCTTAAACATAGGGGTAAATACATAGCAACTCACATGGGTGCCTTAAACATATGGGTAAATGCATAGTGACTCACTTGGTTGCCTTGACTGTATGGTTAAATGCATAAGCAAGTATATCAGCTGCTCTGCCAGTTCCTGAACACACCACGACAGGGATGCCCTGCTTCAAGGACGTGCCAGCATCCATGAGGGCATCTTGTCCACCCTCCACCACCACCAGCACCACAGGGATGCCCCTCGCTGGAAACAGATGCAACCAGTAGGTATAGCTTCAGTGTTTGTTTGTTTATTTGTTTGTTTGTTGCCGCACTCAGAAATATTCCAGTTATATGACAGCGCTCTGTAAATAATTCTGGACCAGACAATCAAGTGATTGACATCAGGAGCATCGATCCATGCGATTGAGACACGATGACATGCATCAATCAAGTCAGCGAGCCTGACCACCCGATCCCATAAGTCGCCTCTTATGACAAGCATAGTCGCCTTTTACAGCAAGCATGGGTTGCTGAAGACCTATTCTACCCCAGAATCTTCACGGTTCTATAGCTTCAGGAAAACATGCAGTGAAACAATGACTCCATGCCTCCTTTAACCTTGGCAAGGTACCAACACATTTGTAACACCAACATTCCCTGGCCCAAACAGTTTCATATTATTGCCTGATCATTTTGCAAGAATTCAGTGAGAAAGTTCAGCGTTAAACAATATTACAGCCACATAACAAGAACACATGACGCTGCTCAATGGAATATAAACAGCTAACTAAATTGTGAATTTCCCTTACTACGGTATGCGGGGAACTAAACGTGAATCTCTTCCTAGAGAGGCGAATAAACGTAAATGTGACAAATTAACTAAATATGATTCTCAAGTCTATCTTGAATGCAAAAAAAACAAAACACACTTCACCTCATCTGATCACCACATACGTGAAATTAATGCATCTCCAAAAGAAAGCGAATGCTGGCTCCTTGCCAAAAATGCGACTCTATATGAATGCGACACCCCCCTCCTCTCAAGCATCAGTTGATATGTTATCTGAAGAAAATGTCCTCTGTCAGGTTTACAGGAGAATCCTCATCTTAATCCAACCTTACATTAATCCAATCACACCCCAAATAGAACTGCTTATTAGCGCTGAGTACTGTACTTCCACTAAAACAATGCATGCGCGCTGGCTCGTGTCGGCCTTTGATGCAGTTGCAAAGAACAAAGACACTGTGTTGTGTGGGTGGCGTCTTTCTGGACTTGCAGGTGTGATCGGTGATGACATAAGTGAGTAGAACTCTTGTCTTGACCTCAGCAGGGACAATTCACAGGATGTAATTAGTGTTTGAATGATATTGTTTATATACTTGTTACAAGAGCTGCTCAATAAACAGTGATGTGGAAAACATAGTTGTTTGTTTTCAGGGTATGTCTAAGTTGGTATTTCTGCTATCCAAAATGTCTTATTGTTGATATAAATGCGATGTTTAATAATGCGAGCCAAGACCACTCGCATTTTTCGCATTTAATTCACGCTCGCGTTTATTTCAAGATTTACAGTACATCATTAAAGGCAAACTGTAGTTTCACCATGAGTTATATCCAATATCAACAGCTCACTTCAGGCAACAGTTTCCTGTACAGTAACATCTGGGGAGGAACAAGCAACTCACATGACATGATGTTCTCCTCGAACCTCGCCCGAAAGTCCGCTACTCCTCCGTATCTGTTCCTCATCCCATCATCCACGAAGATGAAGTGGGTGTGGTCAGCATTGAGATGGACGGGCTGACCGTGGAGGATGGTGTTGCTGGTCCTGTAGTGGGCGTTGAACTTACCCTGGTGTAAGATACACATAGTTATAAAACAATGTTATCACGGTTATATATCAGCCCTACTTTCAGCATTGATGACCATTCAAAAGAAGAAGAAGAAATTTGTACAAAGCTCACATTCCTGAGGCAAGGGAGTTAAATGACTCTTACAAGTCCAGTTTCCACTCTTGCCGAACTCGGCTGAAATGGCTGGGCTTGATCATAGTGCCATGTGCCGATTACAATTTATGCCCTTTCTATGCCCCTCCTATTGTCCAATCAGATTCAACCTCTCATATCACTTGCATTTGATTCAAACAAAATGGCCGCACCTTGTCAAGATGATCTGATCGATGATAAAGATATATGTTGTAATAAAACAAAGATTTGAAACATATCTGTCAACGCCCAGTTGACGGTACACACTTTTTGCAAATCCTGCAGTCGACCGAAATCTGCATGTTGAAATCCATGTTGTTTATGAACCGGATGTTGATTTAGTTACGCAATTTTGAATGGACTATGCATAAACGCATTAGTCCAGCCATAATATAACTCCATTATTGCAGCCTAGTTCGTCAAAGGAGGAAACTGGACTTTTACAGTCGGTTGCCTCTGAAAGATGTATATAGCTTAGTCAGCAATATTTCATCCCTATCCTACTAGTTATCAGGTAATAACAACTAAACCAGTGACCTTAGAGTGATCAGACAATATAATCAGCATAATACTGTGACATACCGTCAGCTCTTGAGATATAGGTACCTATTCTGCCCCGGAATCTACAATATTTTGTGACATTATTTTCCTGAAAGTTACAAAACATATCCTTACCCTTCCATCTGAACTTTCCAGGAAGTTCCTGCCCTTCACATAGCCCCATGGGGCTATACCGATACAGCGCAGTACGTGGGTCATCCTGTCATTGTCCCACTGGAAGGTTTGGCCCTCATGGACTGCCTGGCCCACAGCTTTCATCACCCCCATGTTGAACCCCGACGTGATCAGCCATGCAGATGTGGTCTTGGCAGCCTAAGATAGAAATAGTTAAATAAATAAAATAATAAGAAAATAAGAAAGAAAAAAACCCATTAATTTAATTAAATTAAAAATTAAAAAATAAGTAAAATAAAATAAAATTTAAAGAATAAAAACAATTTTTTTAAAATATTAAAAATGAAATAAAATAAAATAATTAAATAGAATAATAAAATAAAATGTGACTAGAAGACACAATTCCATGCACATGTGTATTCAAATTACATTCACAAGTCCCTAGGGAGGATAGTTTGTCAGTGAGTGGGCGACACCAGTAATGGGCTTCACAAATGTGTATCCATGTGGACATATAAACCCAGACCTCCTGGGTGACGGGTGAATGCTTTATCCACAAGGCTGAAGCACCAGTCAGCATGAAACATGACAATCAGCGACAGAAGTGGACTGACCCAAAGCTATTACAAAAGGTCATGAAACATGACACTCAGTCAGAAGTGGACTGACCCAAGGCCTTTACAATAGTGAGTGAGTATAGTTTTACGCCACTTTTAGCAATATTCCAGCAAAATCACAGCGGCGGACACCAAAATTTGGCTTCACACATTGTACCCATGTGGGAAATCAAACTTGGGTCGTTGGCATAACAAGCGAACGCTTTAACCACTAGGCTACCCAACTGTCCCCAATAGCTCATGAAACATGATACTTAAATCTATATGTTACCTAGTTATTTCAATATGTTCCACAATTAGATGGTAGGATAACCTAGTGGTTAAAATCCCAATCGGACATTTGCATTTAGGCCACGCCCCCTTCAAATAGCGTATTTTAGTACGACTTTTCACACACATTACAAGTTTACGTATTCATAATATGATGAATTATGAATTATTTCAATTTAAATTGTTTAAGTCACCGGACAATTAATAACAAATAATATCATTTTAGATTTACATGGAAAACATACGTTTGTTTCTGTTATAATAACGATCTGTTAACGTAGTGAACGGTCTAATTAATATTCATGAGTTATATTCATGAGTCTGCTCAAGTGTACGTGTTGTAACATTTGGATCGAGACTATTATCCCATATTTGGTTATCACGTGCCCTCACGGGAAAAGTGTTTTTTTAAACTAAAGATTTTTTTAAAAACAAGACAGATAATTTAATCACAAATACTTAAATATCGTTGATAGCAGTAGTTATTTGAATATGTTTTTCATCTGTACTTAATTATTGACCATAAAAAAATTGGATATCGATCGTCCGAGAAAGCAAAATGGCGGTCAATCAAGATTCAATATACGACTAGCTCCTGAAAACAATAAAATCTGCAAATCCTCATTGTATGTCAACCAAGTGAAAGTCATTAGCCACGACTTACAAAATGATCGTCCAGACTTTGAGGGTTTGGCAGATCTGCTCGACTGATCTGCATCGGTCGACTGGCTGTCGTCACGCTTTCGCTTCTTGTCTGAGGTTATGTATCGTTGCATTGTGAGGATAATGAGGTACATCGATGATGCAAGGTATTAATGTACAGTTGTAAACACCTTTCACTCAAATTAACAAGATGTTCTCAGTAATTAATCCTCGATTAATCAGTGTCAGCTCAGTTTATTGCCTATTACAGTGATTGACCGATTGGACTATCATGTAGGTACGATGTATTTACAGCAATCAAAACAAACAAAGCTTGTCAGTGTAGTTAATCTTCATTGTGTTGCAACTGCAGACAGAAACTGCTCAGTCCTAACTGTTGATCATGTCCGGTCAAAATTTAAGAATGTCCGGTAAGCAATATTTTAAAACGGACATTTGAGATTCCCAATCGGACATGTCCGGCGCATATGACGGTTTCCGGACCCCTGGGTTACAGCCTTTTGCTCAATATGCCCAGGTTCGATTCCCTACAAGGATGCAAAGTCGGAAGACCATCTTTAGTCTTCCCCACAGTGATATTTTTGGAATGTTCGGTAATTGGTTACAATGACTGCAACATGATAGCATGTAAAGCTCATCTACCTTTATAAGACCACTGTTAAATGTGTCCCGCATTCTACCATCCAGTTTGAAGTTCTTGGCGCCGCCTATGACGGAGATGACAAGTTTCGGTGGAACTGGTTCCAGTATTCTCCAATACTTCAGCATCATCTCCAGGACATGCTTCTCAGAATCTGTGGAAGCCACTCGGATGTACTGTAACAGAACAAGATGTATACTCATTAACAACAACAACAACAAGAACAACAACAATAGGCCTATCTTTATTGCGCTATATTCCACAGTCCATAGTATATATAACAAGTCTTTGCATAGTCCAATCAAAATCGCGTAACAAAATCAACATTCGGTTCATAAACTACTGTGCAGATTTCGGTCAATCGCAGAATTTGCAATGCATGTGTACCATCAAGCAAGCGTCAAGAGATATTTTCCAAATCTTTTCATGTTTTTAATCAAGGTGCTCATATGATTTGATGCACTTAGCAAAGTAAGACCTTTTCATAACAATATGATCTTGATTATCACTCAGATTATGTTGACTGGGCGCCGCCATTTTGTTTGAAGAAAATGCAAGTGATATGAGAGGCGGAATCTGATTGGACAATAGGAGGGACAAAGAAGGGACATAACTTGTACTAGCCACTGATGGCGCTACGATCGAGCCCAGAAATTTCAGCCGAGTTCGGCAAGGATGGAAACTAGATCTTCGCAGTCAGTTAACTCCCTTGCCTTAGGAAGGTGCACAGTCACATGCTCAAAGAGCTACACTATAACAACAATTATTTAACCATGTTAACAGCACCTGTAATATTTTGGAAATTAGGGGCCAAAGTTCAACGCAACATTTGCTGCCCTGAATATCCAGACTCCCAGTATCAGAATAAAGGAATAAATATTGCTGTCAGCAGCATCAAACAGTATCAGGACATGCACAACTATGTAGAACAATGTTTCCTGACCTAAACCTTCTTTCAGCGGATTTGAAGCAGTTTAGACACTGTGTATGAATACAACACCAGAGTGAACCGCCCCAATTATCATAGTGCTAAATGATCTGAATGCAATGAAAAGTAGTTCCTGCTTGGATACATACTTATCGGATTGTGATAACAAGTTTATCAGACTGGTTTATTACATCGATTACACAATCTATTACATGATAAAACAAGCATGAAATACTCACATCCCCCGCCAATATGACATGTCGGGTTGTGTGCAATGTAAATGGCCTGATTGCAGCACTAAACAAAGTTATTACTGGTGTTGTTTTTCCATCTGCAGTTTATGATAGAACATGTAACTGAATTTGTAATGAGTAAGGATGAGACATATGGACGAACAACTTCTTTATTACAATTAGGAGTGATGGTTGCAGTGAAGGTTCTGACACCGTTATCAAGCAAGTGAAGTACAGAGTATGGTTGACAAGAATATATAGTGTTTATACAGTTGAGTAGGTTTAAGATCAGTCTCACAGTTGTATTTGTAATGAGTTGTGTTTCTGCATGAAGTTAGTCAGTGAATGCAACAACTGTGTCCATGACACTTTTGGAGGAATATACACTCAAGCCATGCAGAACTTACCAACAAGAAAGGAAATGTATTCAATACTGTGAGATGACATTATGTGCCAAGTTTGGTGAAGAAATATAGTACGGTTTTCAAGATCTGCTCCGGAAACGAGGACTACCGCCATTTTCAGTCTAAATCAAAGTCGTTGCCATGGAAACTCAAAAGATAAAAAAAAAATAAATCCCAAAGTTTCAAAAGGCACCAGTTCACCACTAGACCTATCTATGTGCCAAGTGTGGTGAAGAAATATAGTACGGTTTTCAAGATCTGCTCCGGAAACGAGGACTACCGCAATTTCTGTCTAAATCAAAGTCGTTGCCATGGAAACTCGAAAAAAAATATTTTAAAATCCCAAACTATCAAAAGGCACCAGTTCACAACTAGATCTATCTATGTGCCAAGTTTGGTGAAGAAATATGGTAGGGTTTTCAAGATCAGCTCCGGGAACGAGGACTTCCGCCATTTTCAGTCTAAATCAAAGTCGTTGCCATTGAAACTCAATAAATATTTTTTTTAGAAAACCCAAACTATCAAAAGGCACCAGTTCACCACTAGACCTATCTATGTGCCAAGTTTGGTGAAGAAATATTGTTCGGTTTTAAAGATCTGCTCCGGAAACGAAATGTGACGGACGTACGGAAGGATGGAAGGACGGACGGACGGCACCCATTCCTATATCCCCCTTCCACTTCGTGGCGGGGGATAATAAATCCCACTGGATCTGAAAACGATTCCTCATAATCTTGTAACTTATTCACGCCACCTGATAAATTATCAAAATAACATGGCCTTATTTTCATGAGGAAATATATTTAAAATGGTTAAGCTCAAGATACAGCATAAATTATCACAGTTTTACCTTGGCAGGCTTCATGCCTCCAATCTGTTCAATGTCAAACGAAATCTTTCCGAAAGCGTTGGTTGTAAAAGTTTGAATAGCTTTGTCTGCATTCCAGGCCACCTTCGGCATGTCTGCCGGAGGCTTCGCTCGTTCATTCTTTACTATATCCGCATATTCTGAAAACAGGAAAAACAGTTTATGCGTCCAAAATATCAACCAAACGATTTGATTATATATTGGCTGTTGAACAGTTCCTAGTGCCCTAAGGCTCTTGGATAGCTGGAAAGACGAGTTTTAATTTTGTATCAAAACCAAAAAAAAAATTCCAATAACACCAGACAAAGTAGTTTTTGTTCTCCATACTTGTCTAATACTCAACATGCTTAAGTACATGTACCGGTATGTACCCAAAATATGGTACACAAGTCACCCTTTTATCACAGATTATGGTCATGTGCCGACATCAGAGATCTATCTGGACCTGCTCAGTGCGTGCGTGCGTGAGTGAGTGCGCGAGTGAGTGAGTGAGTGAGTGACGGTACTTGAACAGTATTTCAGTTATACATGTACCACAGTACGTCTGTTTGATGTGTGAGGCAAGCCCAAAGGAAACCTACAGGCACAGACAAGATGCTGACAAAAGAACAAACTAATCAGGGCAAATCTGTACTTCAACTCACAGTCCCAGGTTTCTGCCATGTCTAAGGGGTAGAAAATAACTCTACACAGAGGATTGCAGTGTCATAGACGACTGCGCCACCCATGCCCCATCATAGGGGGATATCGAGGTAAATGCACTGATAAGAGTGCACCAACAATAATAGCTTGCTCAACTTCTCAGTAGTGTATGAATTAGTTGCCAAAGTTCACTGGCCAGAAGGGCTTGTTAAGAAAAATGTGTTGAAAGGCCTCGTCATATCTTGCTACCACGACTTTTTGAATACAGCCTATATACTTCGTGTTAACCTACATGTATTGTGTGTTTTTGAGACCATTACGCTAAACAATCGTCAACCTCATTGACTGCTCGATACTATACGTTTGTCTGACGTTTATGGTGGTTCTTAGACTTTCACAGGTATTGCTAATAATGTATGTACATGCATATCAGACCCGTGAAGGTCCGGGGTAGAATAGGTATTCAGCAACCCTTTCTTGCCGTAAAAGGCGACTTTGCTTATCGTAAGAGGCAACTAACAGGATCGGGTGGTCAAGCTGGCTGACTTGGTTGATGCATGTCATCGTATACCAATTGTGTGGTTGGATGCTGATGATGTCAATCACTGGATTGTATGGTTCAGACACGATTATTTACAGACAGCTGTCATAAAGCTGAAATATTGTTGAGTGCGGCATTAAACAACAAACAAACAAACAAATATGCATACCAGTCATGATCAGTGTACAGCAAAAAATGTTTACTACTACGATATAAAAACAAAATGACAACAGACTTTGAGATTCAATGACGGATTAATTCGTAGAAATACAGAATTTTCATCAAGACAGTCAGGCCAACTTCATGGAAATGTTACTAGCCCAACTAAAAGTCGCTGGCATTTGGCTAGCAGGCAGCAAGTTATTTCGAACACTGGTTACAACTTACCTGCAGGTACAAGAAAGGATTGGGCAAACTCCAAGTGAGTGGTGGCCATGTTCTTCTGTCTCGTTGTTTTCCTCAAGCCAGCGTGGTTGTACAAGATTTCCCCACAGTGGCATCTGTGGTCAAGGTTTGACAATATCTATATTGGCATCTACCATTATCATGATCAGTAAAACAATATAGATGAGTAAACATTATTAGCCTGTCTAACTATACTGGGTAAAGAAAGTTCAGCAAATGTATTAACCTCGGATGTTGTACTGCCATCTTCCCGAGGCAAGGGAGATAACTGACTATGGGAGTTCAGTTTCAACCCTTGCCGAACTAGGCTGCAATTATGAAGTTCTATTTAGGCTGGACTAACGAGTCTATGCATAGTCCAATCAAAATCGCCTAACAAAATTGACATCCAGTTCGTAAACTGCTGTGCAGATTTCAGTTGATTGCAGGATTTGCAAAGCATGTGTACCATCAATTTAGCATTAACATATATTTTCCCAATCTTTTCATGATTTTAATCAAGGTGCTCACGTGATTTGATGCACTTCATGAAGTAAGACCCATTTTATTACAATAAAGATCTTGATTATCGATGAGATCGTCTTCACCGGGTGCTGCCATTTGTTTGAAGCAAATGCAAGTGACATGAAAGGTGGAATCTGATTGGTCAGTAGGAGGGGAATAGAAGCGACATATCTCGTTATAGCCCAGAAATTCCAGCCTAGTTCTGCAAGGGTTGAAAGTGGACTTTTACAGTTAGTTCAATCCCTTGCCTCGGGAAGATATTGGATGCAAAGATGATGGTCATGTAAATATGCTGGGTGCAATGGTTATGGACAGTTTGTGCACTGATGTTGGTTCCTAAATTGCTGCAAACTTTCATGCCCGTGGTGTCCTGATTGCGTCACCGTTCATGTTGGCTTGGGGCGAGGTCTGTCGGTACCTTGTACAGTTTGCTGTTCACGTTACTTCAGACGCAATATGGTGCGGTAATGCACATTTATGTCTGAGCAGTACTCTTCCTGACGCTTGCTTACTTCAGACGGTTGTGTCAATGTTGGAAGGACTCAATGATTTTATGTGCATACAGACAACTTATGTGTGCAACACGTGAAACACTCGTTTATCCAGAAAGAATGTCAGGGTGTATCACACCAATACAACTGAAGACAAAAAAACTTGATAACACTATATCCTCAGAATATTATCAATATCGAATGTGTGATTATAAGAAATAAAGATCTACAGATATGCTAAACTTGTTTTGCACAGTATATATCATGCATATGGTTTTTAAATATATCATCTTTTGTATTATATTTCATCACCCAAACTCCTAAAAAATCTGAAACTGTTCCATCACAAGCCAAAACAAGTGTGTTTAACAGTGTGAGTGACCAGTCATCACTCAGCAAGAGTCTGTGCGACAGTGCCTTTTGAGTTAATGAGCTCGAACTTGGCTTTTAGCATAATTATCAGAATTTAGTGTCATTACATGGATTATCATTAGCTGAGCTTATTAGACTGAACAGAGATTTATTAGAACTAATTTTACACTTTGTCACCATATCATAAGCCTCATGATGATAACAGTCAGAGACTTTAGCCACTAGTCCATAGCCCAAGTCTTGTAAAATTCTGTTCGGTCCTGTAAGGTCAGTTGATAAATGTCCATATGTTAACAAAACAATATACGGTACTAAAAATGAGCCAAGTTCAGGCTCATAGATGCAAAGTTTTTTGGCACAGACCGCGATAAATACATAATAGCTTATAATAATTAAAAATTATTAACCTAACAACTAGTTTATGACCCCCTCAGTGCCATTGTACAAAACAGCTTAGCGCTAAGATTGTCGTAAGTCTATGTTAAAGTATGGGAGTTACAATCACCTTAACACTAAGATTGCTGTGTACAACGGCACCCTGGACACACGCAGCCCCCCAAACCCCCCTTCACAGAACACAGTCTACTGATCATGTTGCTTCCACTTACTTCAGATCTTTCACTATCTTCACCTTCTGGTCTGGTTTGGGCACAAACTGTTTGCATTCTTTCATGTGGAAATGTGCCTTGATAAATTCAGTCTGTTCCACCAACACCTGGAATAAAACTCATCCTGTTACCATGGTTACCAGAGTAGGACCTTTCTACACATTATAGACTACTCAGCCTCAAGTAAGGCCAAAAACCATGTTTCTTAGAATCTCCCTAAGGGACCGATATTCTGAAGGCGCACCTGTGAATTCTTTTTGAAATTAGATGTTGTACAAAATACTTAAAAATTGTTCACCATGCAACATGGTAAAAAACATGTTTTCTGTCGCGAAAAAGCTACAAGTCTGGAGGCAATGATAGGAGAAATATTCTGTCTTGAAAACAATACAGGTACTTACTTGCTCATAACCATCTTGGAGAGTCGATGTTCGTTTTGGAAGTCTAGGAAGTCCAATCCGTTTGCGAATGTCTGAGTATCTTGCATCTTCAAGAGTCACATAAGATGTCAAAGGTTCTGACGGCAGATCGGACATACGAGACTGGAGCCCCCCTCTGTAACCATGGAGATGCCCGGTCATGTCCTCGGAGGGGTAGATTCGACGTCCTGTCGACGCCATCTTGTTTTTGTGAGTTATCTGCCCTTAGGCCATCATGCTGTTTTAGTTTCAGTGGTATAACCAGTTATCTGTTGTACGGAGACAAGTATGATGTTACATAAGGGATTTTGCTGAAATCAAAGCATCTTTTATTATTCCAATTATCATTCTATTATAAATACTGTAAACCCATTTGCTACCATCAATTTGTCCTAAGCCTGGTTTCAAAGAGCTCAACACTCATAGGCGACCAATGAAGATTTTCTCTCAAGCAAGAAATATTTTGTGCTAAGATACAGACAGGGAAAAATAGCGGTGATTCTGTCACTTCAAACATGAAGCTATGGTTGTGTTTGTTTGTTTGTTGTTTAATGCAGCAATATTCCAGCAATATGATGGCAGTCTAAATAATCGAGACAGCAGACCAGACAATCCAGTGATTGACCTCACGAGTATCGATCTTTGAAGTTGGGATATGATGACATGCATCAACCAAGTAAGCGAGTCTGACCACCCGATCCCATTAGTCGCCTTTTACAGCAAGCATGGATTCCTGAAAACCTATTCTTCCCCAGATTTTCATGGGTCATATGGTAGTGAATGGGTGCAGGGAATTGAGACATAACACACAAGATAATCAAGGACAGAATCAAATGTGTAAAAGCTTGTAAAAGGATGAATGTCACAATGTAATGTGATATTTCATTTTCATAACAATAACAATAAAAAAAACAGTGAAATAAAGACAGAACATTTTTTTTCAAATAAACTGTGGAACTGAAAAATAATTATGACAATAAGACATCATCCAAAAAAAGTATGTATTGGTATATCTTATCACATGATTATTGGTTATATAGTTCAAGAGAAACAACACTCCAAGTTTGAAAGTATTGAAATATTGATCGACTTTTTCTTTGCGGATTCAAAACTTGCTTATCATAGACTATAATTTCAACTGGTTTGACGCTATTCTTGATGTGCTGCGAGAAGCGACACCTATCAGAGGATCCAAGAATGAGAAGCTGTATATCATAAGAAAGGATATATCATAAAGAGCTGCAGCCAAACTGTGTTTTTGTTGATGATTAATGCATACATGACTTGAAATGGTGAACCTGTCTGTCATCATCATATTATGCACAGTAAAACACTACATACTATCCCTTCAGAAAATGCAGGTAAACAAACAGGTGATAACAAACTTGGTCACAAAGAAATGTAAAACTTGAGATAAATTATCACTAGACATAATGATTTACCATATAGTCATATTTTCTGTTGTGCTAGGGGCTGTTTTATATGCAGAAAAAAAATTAGGGTGTGTATTTTCTCATAAACTTAGCTGGCAATAGCAATCAACTGTACACATATTTTCTATCAAAGTCTCTGTGATTCGGTTAGAAAATACCCATTAACATAACTTCAAAGACTTTTGATGCACTGGTTGGATGAATCGTATCTGAAACTATTATTTTATGAGAAATAATATATTCCAACATCAAGTTATTTTAGTTGCAGCTAAATAATAATAACCTTAAGCATAGCACTTTGGAACAACTGATTGCTTTTACCAGATACTTTTAGTTGTAAGGATATGGGTGTATTCTATCTGCTTAAGGGGGCACTGGTGGTCCAGTCGTCCAAGGCGCTGCAATTCGCTGTGCAGAGTTGCGCCCCTTGGGCACGCCAGAAACATGTGATTGTGGGTTTGAATCCCGTTTAGCCCCTATTATGTTTCTAGGTTTGTCAGCACTATACCCATGCTCATGGGTTTCACCAAAGTGGTAAACGTCTGAGACCTGCATCACTTCAGGCTTTCCTCCCACATTAAGCTGACACGCCGTGATATAACTGAAATACTGTTAAAAACGGCGTTAAACCCAGCTCACTCATTCTATCTGCTTTAGTAAACCTACATATATAAATACTCAATTTTGACAAATCCATTGTGCAAGATAACAGTGATTAATCAATCAATATATTAATATATTACCGTTTAATCCTTTGATCAATGTTCGATGGAAATTATGCATAATTTCACAAAGTTTCCTTCCGAATGCAAGGTAGGACTATGCAGTCTTCGACAGTAAATGAAAAGCCTAATTATCTATAATTTCGTGACAAATAAGAATAAACTGTTTGTGACTGTTCTTTTCTCAGTGAACAGTTGAGGTGGTGCTTTAGCCTACATTTAGTCAGGAAACAAAATAGGCCTAGTTCTGGTTCGGTCATTCCCTTTAACTAAATACGTACACACATATACATTGATTAGCATAAACGTATGACTACCTATATAGAATATAGCAAATACTGTCACCTTCAAATATGGACAACAGGTATAATGGTCTTCCTCACGGGGGGCTCCTGAGTTCGAAACGGAAGTTTACAATGCTGCCATGGCAAAGGCATGCGCATTCGAAATGAGCACCAACAGGAAGAATGTCACGTACCAAAACTAAATAAATTATGTCTAACCATTAAGCGACAATTACATATCATAAAGCAGTATATTTCAATAAAATAATATTAATTCAAGTGCCATGATAGATATTTATTTTAATAAGCGCATTTAAAACGGAATTCGAAAGCGACAAAAATAAACTCTTCGTACCTCAGCGCACCTGTTCAGATACACTTCCGGTTTTAGTTTAGACCGTTGGCGGGACATTCAGCAAATTGTCTCGGCTTAAAGCTATGTGTTTTTGTTTATGACACTATAGGTTTGTAATGATAATAAAGTAAATAATTACAGAAGATGTTAGAGCTGAAGAGGAAACGTTCATTTACTGATGACATATGCCGAGAAGTGCAATCGGTGAGATCGTTATACCTGAATTGAATATTTCATTATTTGGTCTTTTCTAGCCTTCAAGTCATCAGTCATGCCGGGGCAAATTCAAAATTGGCTACATCAGCTAAAATCAAATCTCAGTTATCAGCTGGTTATGATAATGTCACATTGTGCACGTTGGTGAAACACGCATCGAGAACAAAAAGCGGATATAGTCACTCCCTTGATCTGTCGTTTTACCTGTTTCCAGCTGGTAACAATACTTATATTAATACCTATAGGTATACTATATGGGCTCTGTATTATCTATCTTGGGTATAACGTATAACAAGATGCAAGTAGAAGTCTGTCAACTAGTAAACTTTAACGGGTGCAAAAAGGACCGCACATGAAGACATGAACGTGTCTTTGTGACCCAGATTATCGATTTCTTAGAAAACATTTTGAAAATAATGTACTCTTACTTTTCAATTTTTATTGACTTGATCTAGCATATAGAATTAAACACCTCAGATACTTGATGAAGTATGCACAACACATTGATATAGCTGTGCACCAAATGTGCATGAATAGCCTATATGTTCGAGTGAAAAAATTATTTTTCAACATGTTTAGCATGTTAGTGGAGACACCATTTCATGACCTTACCTTGATCAACTTGATCAAAACTTTAATGTTGAACCTGAATGAACAAGGTGTTAAAACCTGTTCAGGGATTACACTCAGAATGTTTTTATCTGTTTACTTAAGAGTAAACACTATCACAGAGACTTCATGAACTGGACTTGTTATCTGTAACCATGGTAACATGTCCATGACATGTTCATATTGTGTAAATGCACCTAATCTATATGAAAAAGTATTCATGACATGTCTGAAATATTTGACAATTAAGTAGATAATAAATCTTTGGCTGTGTATAAAACATGTATCGTGCATACCATTAACAGCTGGTAGTGTGTTGTTGTGAGATAATAAATGTATGATGATAATTGGAATTTATGATGTTTCTTAAACATATATAAAATATCTTATCTATTACATAAATGTTTGAAATAAAGAGGATGTAATCATGGTAATGTTACATCGTTCAACAGTTATATTCATGATCTATGTCTTTCATATTTTTGGCCATTTTCATGAATGAGGAGTGGGGTTGCTCTCAGAAGTGAAATGTATGACATACCTACCTTAAGTCTAATTGTGTAAAGGGGCGGTCGGGTAGCCTAGTGGTTAAAGAGTTCGCTCGTCACGCTGAAGACCCGGGTTCGATTCCCGACATGGGTACAATGTGTGAAGCCCATTTCTGGTGTCCCCTGCTGTGATATTGCTGGAATATTGCTAAAAGCGGCGTAAAACCCTATTCACTCACTCACTCACTCTAATTGTGTACCTGAAAGAACAATTAACGTACTGTCGGAAATGCTAGAAAACTGCTTTTTGCCTGTTAAAAAATGAATATAATTTTCCACAGACTGTTGTTATTGAAATATTGAATAACTACCGATCGCCCTACCTGTGGTTTGAAGTATTTCAGTCACAAGGAGTCCTATCGACAAGTTTACAGGAGACAAATTCAAACGAAAACAGGAAGTTCACATTTATTCAAAGTCCAATGATGGCAGTCTGAAACGGACTATAGAAATATGCGCACGTGCCTCCGTTAAAATGATAATAATGTAGTCTTCATAAAACATCTCCACACAAAAATCATTTTGAGAAAATTCTAGATGTGCATCTTCTAAAATTACAAAATGACACTGCGTTTTTTTTGTTAACATTGCTCCCATGATGCATGTTACATTACACTTGCATAACCATAACCAAGGTACACGATATTGAATCTGTACTTGGAAATGTGTACAAGTTCTTTACACTTTAGAGAGATAGAGGGAAACCATTTAGTAATTTAGATAGGGTGAATTACCGAACTGCCCAAGCTATGGTATTTTCAATTCATACCATCAAGTCTACGGTATGATAAGAAAACCAAACAGGTATAGGGGTGGTCTCAAAAACAAAACTGGGGTATAAAAGGATATTAGACAGCTTTGATACAGGGTGAGTAGGCGTATAGTGTACAAGCTTTATGAGCAGAAGTTAACCCTGACTTGTAGTAGAATTTGGGAGGAAATAAAGATACAATTAACGTTTCCCGGACTGCACTATTGCTCTCCAAGAGATGGAATTTTGATACACTGCTCGTGGCGATGACCAAGCACTTTTCAGGGGAAAGTATTCCATCCTGTCTATGAGGTCACATTATCTCCGAACCATTCATAACTATCACAGTCAGGGCGTCCAGATAATGAACCTTGGTGAATCATTCCACTGACTACATGTAGCTATTGGCAGATGGACAAAAAGCACCCATGGTACCATCAGGTAAAGGGAATCGTGTCATTGTTTTGCACGCTGCAACCCATGATATGGGGCTTATTGATGGATGTTTTTGAGGTGAAAAAGAAAACTGGTGATTTTCATAAGGAAATTATGGGAGGGGATGTGTTCATAGACCAGTTGGAACTTCAGCTATTGCCCATTTTAAACAACGCCAGTGTTATTGTCATGGATAACGCCAGTTAATATAACGTCCGGAAATCAGATACTGTCGCCCAAACCATGAGTAGTCTAAAGGCGACCATACAGGAATATATGACATTGGTCGACTTCAGACCATATGAAACGAAAGTTCATCTAATGGAGAAAATTCGGCTGAATAAGAAACCAGTAAAGTACAAGACAAATGTGCTGGCGACTCAACACAGTTACGTAAACTTATGTACGGCAGTCAGACATTGTGAGCTTAACCCTGTTGTGTCTATCTTGGCTAAATGTACAGGGTTCGTGGCAAGACATAACACAACATTCAAAAGTACAGATTCAATTACGTCATCAGCAGAGATAAATGCTACCTCAAGAAACCATCTGTAGAACAACAAATACTTCTGGATTCCAAAACCGTAACCTTCCATAGCTTCATAGCTCTTAAATAGTCCATCATGTTTCCAAGCAAATATAATGCAGTACATATCCTAAATTGCTACCTCATCAACGCATGTCAATTAAGTACAATAACATCAATATTTTGTGACCACCCCCAACTCGGGGACATTTGCACCTGGGAGACACCTCGGGACAGGTGTTAGATAATTACCTCAGGTTATAGGCCATTTCATACATGCATGACAACACACGAATGTTTTCTAAGTTTATCATCATTTTACCTGTAAAAGTACATTTTAAGGGTAATCACAGTGTCAGTTAGGACAGGCTAGAATAGCAGATTAGGGCAATTTGTGTTATTTTGATATATGCTCTTTTTATAGTCCTATGACTCGTATTTATTAAACGAAGCCAGAAAAGCAGTTTTCTAGCATTGCCAACAGTACTTTAAAATACTCAAAGGTGAATTTTGGACATGGATTGAAGATAAAAGTTGTGATTCCTTTGAATTTGTTTGAATCCGACATGTTATTGTCATTTGAAATCTGACCTGTCTGACTCATTTATTCTCCAACATGTCCACAGTCATTGTATAATTTACATTTTATTGTTTTTCAGGAGAAAAAACTGTGTTGTGGAATCTCAAACGAAATAACCACAATCTCACCAAACATCTCTGCACATGAGAACCAGGTTACAGCCTTAGACTTGTCCACAAGACCACGTGAAAGTTTCAGCCAAACACTGCCGCACATTCTTGAAAATTCCACAGACATTAGGGTATGCATTGTAAATGTATTCTGTAAACATATTAGTCATGCTTATGAAATTCTTAGATCATTTGTTTTGTTTCCAATTAGCATTTATTTACTTACTACTTTATACATTATTCTGTTTGTCTAGACGAGTTGTCTTGGAGATGTTTCAAATTATGGCCTTGAAAGGTTATGAAGGAAATATGTTCATTGCATGACCACCAGTTTTGATAAGACAAAAGTTCTGTCTTACCGGCATTATTTTATTGAAACTTAGAAGTAATGACTGACAATTCTAATCTGATCTCAAATTATACCTCAATGTCATGCAGTACTTGTCACAAACCAGTGTTATTAAGTTGAGATTTAGCATGTTTGTTTTATTGTCCCAAGATTCAAATACTATTGTAGCAAACCTCAAAGAGCCCTCGACGCCCTTTACTTTTTGAACAGTGAGTTCATAATCAGTACCTGTCAATATCTTGAACGTTTTGTTTTAAAGAGGGGGCATGGGTGGCCCAGTCGTCTAAGCCCCAGATTCGCTGTGCAGAGTTGCGTCCCTTGGGCACCCCAGAAACCTATGATTGTGGGTTCGAATCCCATTTCGCCCTGATTATGTTTCTAGGTTCGTCAGCACCATTGCTCGTGGGTTTCACCGAGGTGGTAGACGTCTTAAGACCTGCATCACTTCGGGCTTTCCTCCCACATTAAGCTGGCATGCCACGATATAACTGGAATACTGTTAAAAGCGGCGTTAAACCCAACTCACTCACTCACTTTGTTTTATAGATGAAGCAGACATGCACCGGTTGGACGACAATGGATGTTGACCATGCTGACCACTACAGTGTCGTATCTTCAAGTGTGCTGCCTCGATGTGCCAAATGTGCTGCTGGACAAGGGGTAGCTACACCTCACAGTTCCCTAAGGATCCTTCCAAACCTTGAAACAAACAAATGCTGCAAATCCGGAAATTGATGTGTTGCCCAATTGCCAAGAATGCTGTCCCCTAGTTTCAAATGGGTCTTGGAATTTATGGGAGAAGCCCTACCTTTGAAATCAAAAACAAATGACAACATCAGGAATATTTTGCTTGAAGCAGAGGGCAAGAGAACCAAGATTATTTGTTTAGCCTAATAATAGATTGTGCTACAGGACAGATTGGTTATAACATAGTCGTGTTAATGATAAATATTACTATCTTGAAACTGTAGAATGGAGTGCTCAAATCAACACACAACTTTTGAACTTTGCTCAGTTTTATTTTTATCTGATTTAACATGTTCCTGTCAAGTAATCTCTGTTTCACATATTTTCCAGGGCCACATTTCACATCTGTTGAGCTGATGCTGGCATTATTCTTAGGCAGCAGCCCTCAAGACTTGATTCACCAAGGGAGACAACTCTTGAAGACTTGGTGCAGTGTGATGCAAGATTGGAGTTACTGTTACCATGGTAATAGACGATGGTCATAGTCTTAACATTCCCTTGTTTCAACAGAGAATATGGACAAAGCAGTATCATATTAATATCAAAGTGCAGCTGCTATGTTTCCAGCTCTTTTAAGCTGTACTCTAGTCTCTAGGAAGATATTAAACTGGAACTTTCAAATGTATAACCACCTTGTGTTCACAATAATCATGATAATGATATAATTTGCAGATGAAAATAATAGATTGTAAATGTTTGTGTATTTATGTTAATTTTCAAAAGTGTAAGAAAGAAATTGTCAATAATTTATTTTCCTTACCAATGAGACTGAAAATTGTTTGTTTTTAAGAAACAACTCTGAATTGATCTGGTAACAATATTTTTTGCATGCTCAATTAAAATAAGATGTGTTGATATTCTTTAATGTTGGTACAAAGTAATCAATCAAATGGTAAGAGAAAAGGACTTTTTTTTAATTTATGAATTTGTACAACTTATTCAGTACTTAGTTAAAGGGGCGGTTGGGTAGCCTAGTGTTTAAAGCATTCGCTCGTCACGCGGAAGACCCAGGTTTGATTCCCCACATGGGTACAATGTGTGAAGCCCATTTCAGGTGTCCCCTGCTGTGATATTGCTGGAATATTGCTAAAAGCGGCGTAAAACCACACACTCACTCACTCACTCAGTACTTGTTAAAGGAGTACAGTCCTTTGTAGAAATTGTTAAGGCCACAAGCAGACCCCTCCTAGTCCGAGTTTACCTACAGTTTATTAGGAATTTGTGTTTGTGTGTTTGTCGGAGTAATGCTGATGGTGAAATGGTAGAGAAGGGCGACTGTGGCGACACACTACAGCTCATTTTGGTGCTGTAGTTTCAAAATTGTTTATGTGATCTCTGTGTTACGTATGTAGCAGTTTTATATATAAAATAAGTTAGTCACAGGCTGATATGACTCTGCTGAGGTTTTAATCAAGCAGTTGTTTTTTATGACATATTGGTACAGTTTTTGTCCTTAAGTAATATTAATGTGTATTTGCCACAGTGTATTTAACACACTAGAATCTGTTATTGGTGCTATAATACATGTAACTGTTTTACCTGTAAACATACTTGGAATTTCATGTTTTATTGAGTAATTTTCTCAGACCTGCTAAAAGGAAGTGTTTGTTTTTTCATGTTTCACAGTTTGTCATTTCAGCATCCAAATGTTGGCCATATTTTCCAACTGAAAGTAACATTCATCTCATGGAACTGTTGTTTTTTTGTGATAAGTTTGTTGACATTTATGAGGACATTTCTTTGCATTTATTCTTGGGAGTTTAGAAAAGTCTATATCTATGAAATTATTTCAGTTCGAAAGTATATGTCCTACCAGTGTGTAGGAGGAAAAGAAAGTACTGTACTTCTGATTATTAAAATGTATCTCAACATTCGGAAAGTTGTTGGTTTTGCACATTTGACAGATGCACTAATGTACAAAGCTTCCATGACAAATATGTTTTTTGTGGGTTTCACAAGTAAATAAGAAAAGTGTTTATTATCTGTTGACAATAATGAAATTCTCTTTAATTCACCGGAAAAGCAACATCCTTGTGAATAGTAGCAGAAGGATCGCAAACAAAATCTTTCTTCTACTGTGAATCACTCTTACCCAGGTACACATCGAGTGAGATCAGTGGTCGAAATAAGCCCCTGTCCGTAGGGTGGCCCAGTCGTCTAAGGCGCCGCGATTCGCTGTGCAGAGTTGCGTCCCTTGGGCACGCCAGAAACCTGTGATTGTGGGTTCGAATCCCGGTTCGCCCCAATTATGTTTCTAGGTTTGTCAGCACCATACCCGTGCTCGTGGGTTTCACCAAAGTGGTAAACGTCTGAGACCTGCATCACTTCGGGCTTTCCTCCCACATTAAGCTGACACGCCGTGATATAACTGGAATACTGTTAAAAGCGGCGTTAAACCCAACTCACTCACTCACTCACTCACTCACTCACTCAGGCCCGTAGTTTCAAGTTTATATTGTTTGATAGACATTACTTAGAATTTGACGATGACAAAGTAGACACAATTTATGGATAGTTTCAAGTTTGTATAGGGCCTTGTGGCCTACATGTTGATATATTTGTCACAATAAGCTGCAGTTTTGAAATGAGTGTCTGAAGAGTTTAGTCAGGGCCTGGAGCTTCTAAGGTCTGTGGGTCCTGATTAAGCCTGGCAATGTCTTTTTTTATTTCAAACACTGAATGTAATAGCTTGAACATTGTGGCATGAGCAAGCCTTGAGGTTTGTCTTGCAAGATCTCTGCAGCTTCAGCAGATGTGGCCAAAGGTGTCGGTAATATCTCATCAAGTGTGGCTTTGTTGTTCATTGTTATAAGAAGTCATCACTAGTCTAGTTTGATATGCTATCACTGTTCAAGGCTTATTTCTATACTGTTAATTCAATTATTGTCCCAGCCTGTGAAGATCCAGGGTAGAATACCGGTAGGTCTTCAGCAACCCATCCTTGCCGTAAGAGGCGACAAACGGGATCAGGTGGTCAGGCTCGCTGACTTGGTTGATGCATGTCATCGATCTCAATTGCATGGATCGATACTCATGATGTCAATCACTGGATTGTCTGGTCCAGACTCGATTGTTTAAGAGACAGCCCTCATATAGCCGGAATATTGCTGAGTGGGGCGTTTAACAACAAACAAACAAACAATAACTGAAGAATAAAGAACTTGTGTGTTTTCTGTTCACTGACACAAAGTGTTTTTATGTTGAGAGGTAGGAGACACCTCAATCTGTCACAATGTTTAATATCACAATGTCTCTGTTCCTGGTGTACTGTTTAGTGGTTTTGTCATGAATTGTAACATTATGTCCTGCGAGACAGCTTTAACAAGAGAATGCCTGTGGTGTAGTGGATAGAATGGAAGGTCCTGATACCATCCCCGAATGTGAAATGCCAAAAAACGTTTAAATTGATACTTGTTGTTACCCAGCCTTGGCTCTAAGTGATGATGATGAGTGGGGTATCAATATTAAACTGCTATATGGTATCTCGGCCTGCTGGCACGAGTCAGGCCTAGCGTGCTTGTAGCCTAGCATGCAAACGCACGCACATACGTCTCTAAATAAGTGCAATACTCTTGAATGCAGCGTTAAACCCCATTCCACCTCACCCCAACTTTAACAAAATATGCAGTATATATTTACCATAACACTGGTTGATTTTGAAAATAGTTATATTTCTATAATATGAAAACTTTTAACTGGTTGACCAGTGTGGTTTTTTTACAAACATAGGTAAATATTTCAAAGGTACAGAAAAGACATGGTTGCATCTCTCCGAACCTGGTATTTTTTTCAATTTTACCAGATATTTATTTGATTAAACTTGATTGAACTTAAATAAAGAAAATGTTTATGTTCTTGAAACAATGTATTTTTTGTGGCTGATAATTTCTTTTCTTTTTCATGTCTGAAGCGTTATTATTTTCCTGGAAGATATTATTTTCATAAAAAGCACACACACACACACACACACACACACACACACACACACACACACACACACACACACACCCCAACCCCCACCCCCAATAACAAAATATCAAATGTCTCCCTGAAAACTTGAGACTCAGTGTATGTCTAAGTTGGTATTTCTGCTATCAAAAATGTCTTATTGTTGATATAAATGCTATGTTTAATAATGCGAGTGGTCTTGCATTGTTCGCATTTCATTCATGCTGGCGTTAATATCAAGATTTACAGTATATTTACACCACTACAGCATGTCAACACATCTGACAACATACATCTTCATTGACAGATTATGCATTTATTTTGTCATGTATTCAGTATAACTTGTGTGGCTGCTTTCAGTGAACTTGAACTAAATTTTATGATAAACAAACTTATGGTCTTATAGGAAGGAAATCGGTACGTGAATACTGAGTTTAGTCCTTGAATTTTATACAGACGCGCATGATGCATGATGCCAGTCATTTTTCCATTGTAGGTAAGAACAGATTTATTTTGTTCTCAAGACTTTTCACTTTCTTTCCTGATCAGTGCTTCAACATTTATATAGTGTTTTTATTTGTTTTTGTTAATAATAAAGGATAAAATAAAATGATTTTGTTTTGTAAGATGCTTTCAAATATTTTCTTGGGGAAACTCAAAGCACTCACTCGCTCACATGCAGACGTACAGGAAACTTACATTAAACTGTTGGAGAAGAATACATGGGAACCGTCAGAAGTCAAATCCGACTCAAGGAGTGTCCGTACGTCTTGTGATCTAGTGAGTTGAGTACGCCCGTTGAACAGAATAACAGTTCTATCGCGGCATGTCAGCATAAAGGCTGAAGTAAGCACGAAGTGATTCAAGTGATTCAGTACGGTGACCACTTTAGTAAAACCCATGAGCATGGGTGTGTTTGTCAAAGGTATGGTAATGGTGCTGACACATCTAGAAACGTTCACGGCAAGCCGGAATTCGAGCCAACAATCAGTTTTCCGGCACGAAAATGGAGCGACAACTCTCCGCAGCGAATTGCGGTGCATTTGGCCACTGGGATATCCGTGTCCCCTCTTGGTATAGTACTCTGTATAACACTTAACAGTTATGTATGTCAGTCCTGTAGAGAGCCGTGAAGATCCGTGTTAGGACTGGTCTTTAGCAACCATTTCTTGTCGCACGAGGCGGTCAGGCTCGCTGACTTATCTGATGCATGTCATCGTGTCCCAGTTCCGTAGATCGATGCTCATGATGTCAATCACTGGATTGTCTGGTCCAGACTCGATTATTCACAGACCGCTGTCACACGGCTGGAATACTGCAGAGCGTAAAACAAAAGTCAGACAGTCCTGCATCCTCCCGAGTTTAACTGGACTTTTATAGTCGGTTAATGCCCTTGCTTCGCGAAGATGACGGTACTGTAGATCGGAGTGACCACAGGGTCACCCCATCCAGCGTGCAGCCATACTCATCTCATCATGGCGGACATATAGTGACCCGGGAATAGGATAGGTCAATAAGTGTTATATCACCCTAATGGACCATTTGTCAGCTATAAATATCTGATTATCGCTAAATAGCATGTCGCGAGTGTAATCTGCCAGACATGGCCGACCAGCTCCGGGCCTTGGACAGATGCCAGATTGTCCATATACCAGAGTGAGTGAGTATAGTTTTACGCCGCTTTTAGCAATATTCCAGCGATATCACGGCGGGGGACACCAGAAATGGGCTTCACACATTGTGCCCATGTCGGTAATCAAACCGGGTCTTCGGCGTGACGAGCGAACGCTTTAACCACTAGGCTACCCGACCGCCCCCATGCATATACCAGAGACCATATGCATGTAGTTGCACGATAGTTTTTTATAGAGCCTTCAATGCACACTCAACATGATATTTACTGAATATATGTCCAGTGATGATGCTTTCACATATAGCTGTAGAAGCTCATATCTGCCATTGGAAATCTTATTAATACGGCTTCTCGCTAAACCATCGCGTTCCCTCCTAAATATGTTTTTGCTCCTCTCGCTAAGAGTTCGTTCGCAGTGAATTCAATAGTATAGCGAGGGATCGTGAAGATTGTTGCGAGGCATTAATTGCCACAGCCTATCGAGGAAAGCTATAGAACAACAATATAGAAGTAGAAAGACCAATTTAATTAACTACGTTAAACAAGCAAGATTTACATTATTTAAACCACATATTCACCATCTCTGGCAGCACAAATATGTCTTAGACACTAGTAATATTTATGTTGTCCCAAAGGCTAGGATCTATAAAACGCCTTAGCCAACACAAGTACCACAGGTATAAACACCAGTCACCAGTCACTCAATCATGATGATGGATGTGCAAGCTGTGGTGGTCGAGAGGGGCGACCATAGGCGGGTCGGGTTATAGGCTCTGTGACTATGTGGATTGCCATTCGTCACCACTCGCCCCTTTCCGTAACCTGCTTGTCCCGGAATAACACGACATCGCCAATGTTTGGATTGCAGGTTATATTCGCTCATAATATCAATCACTGGGTTGTCAAGTCAAGGGTCGTTTATGAGACTCCCTCATAAAGCTAGAATATTGCTGAGTGCGAGTCCTAACAATAAAACAACAGGCAAACGGGCCATTCGTCACCACTCGCATTATATATTGGAAAGTTTAAGAATGGGAGTTGCGACCGTCCGAATACCCTGACATCGTTGAAGAACGGCATTGATTTATTTTGTTTTTGTATGATATGAACATGTGAGTCTGTGTCTAATTTTTGTATCTAGAGTTCTGCTCGAGGGGTCTAAAGGCTACATTGTATCTGCGTATCTGTGTTACCTGGCCGACGTAGCTTTATGGACCAAAGGTTGCACTTAGTAGGATATCATGAAATAGGAGAAAAACTACAATGGTCAAAGTTCTCCGCATTGATATTGCCGAGATATTGCTGAGAGCGACGTGAAGCCAAACGCACTCATCTCCACTCACACCACGTCACTCACCCATTCAACCACGCACCCATTCAACCACCCACTTGACCTCAGTCAGTCAATCAATCAATTAAAGTTTTAAAGGACAACACACAGAAATGCCCGTTTGCCATTCCGGGACAAGCCGATTGTTGCAAGTTACGGAAACATGCGAGTGTTGACGAATGGCCCGTTTGCCTGTCGTTTTATTGTTAAGCACCGCACTAAGCAATATTCTAGCTTTATGAGGGAGTCTCATAAACGACCCTTGACTTGACAACCCAGTGATTGATAGTATGAGCAAATATAACTTGCAATCCAAACATTGACGATGTCGTGTTATTCCGTGACAAGCAGGTTAC